CAAGGACTGGTGCGAAAATGGAAGATATCGGTCCACTCCTGCTGGTATATCGGATACAAAGGGTCACATTTTGAATATCCATGAGGCCCATAAAACACGAAATTAACATACAATTCCATTCAGACTTGGTACATTTCAATATTTCTATCAACACAAAATCTGCTATACAGATCGGACCCATCCTTCTGTTACCTCCCCCACAGAGGGTCCCGTTCTCTTCAAATTATAGACACCACAATAATTTTATTAATCCAAGGTCTGGTGTGAAAATGGGATATATCGGTCCACTCCCTCTGATAACTCCACCACAAAGGGTCAAAATTTTGAATATCACACATCTCAATATTTCCATCAACACAATATCTGTTATAAAGATGGTAGAGATCGGTCCACTTCTTCTGATTCCTTCACCAAAAAGGGGTCAAAATTTTGAGAATCCATAAAACTTATTAACAGGAAGCGCAAATAACATCCGATTCCATTCAGACTTGACACAGATCAATATTTCTATCAACACAAGATCTGTTATAAAGATGGTAGATTTCTTCTGTAACGAAATTTTAGTAATTTACAAAATTTGTCGGTAAGTTAGCCATGAAATCAAAGTAGTCGCTAAGACCTACCAAATACCACTACTGGTACCTCACCCACAAAGGGTCACAGTTTTCAATACAGTTTTATTTGTCATAACTCGAGAAACAAGTGAGTGTTTCTTTACAATTTGCTATAACTAAATATTTCTCCCAACCAGAAACATGAGATCAATACGGAATTAATCAGATTTTTTGATTTCACATAAATTTGGATATAAATGTTCCATTTTCTGGTAATTTTGCCCATACCAATATTTTTATCTGTATTAGATGAACTGTGAAAATGAAATACTTTGGTCCGCTATATCTGGTACCTCACGCACATATTAACATTTTCTAAAAAATTAGCACATACCTCATTAAAGTGAAGGAAGTAGTCCAAACCTGACACGTCACAATATTTAAATCATATTGATTTAGGCCCTATACGAAATAGCCAATATTGGTCCATTCCTTCGGAACCTACTCCAATTGAATAATCATAACAGAAATCGAAATATATTCAAATAATCGAACCTTGGCTAAGGGTATACATCTGTCGGCATATGTCTATATTTAGTTTGACAATTGACCTCCTCTCTTAGAATTCCTCGTTGTGCGCAAAAAGGTTTAATGAAAAATTTTACCATCCAAATCACATTTGTTGCTAATCCACTTCAATTTTTAATTTTTTTTATTTATTTATTTATTTATATATTTTTCTTTTTTTTTTTTGTTAAATAAAGTTGTTGCCACCTAATGACCCTATGGTCCAATTTATTATATTTCATTGGCAAATTATTATTATTTAAATGTAAATACATATTTTCCGAGTCGTTTTTCTATGGACTGTCGCTAAAATTCTCTTTCGTGTCATTAACACATTCTTTGACAAATCCCAATGTCATCATTCGAAATTAAAACCAAAAAAAAAAATGGTATCATCTGTTTCACCTTTTGGCTAGCAAGTCAAGCAACCAGTCACCTATCATAAACGACAAAGAATTGTCATTTTTGTATTTTTTATTATCATTTTATTTGTCATATTTCATTTTAATAAGAAAAATGAGCAAACACCATATGTATATATATATGCGTGTAAGAAAATGCAAGCAATTTCGCCCGACACCAGATTGCCATGCGTCACTTTAATTTTGAAAAAAACAAAAATCATAAAATTTTTTGTGTTTTCTTTTTTTTTCTAAAACAATGTTTTGATTGTTAACATGTTTGTGTGATATGTGATTAGCGTGATTAAAAATAGTTGGGACAGTGAATATTTTTAGGCAAAATCAAACATATGTAGGTTGCCTGTTGTCTAATGATGTGCAAAAAATATAATTTTACATATACACACAGATATCTGTATATATGTACATATCTATGTATGTATGTATGTATTTTGTTTCAAAATATTATATAATATTTGACCACAAATGACAACAAGAACAAGAATTTTTGAAATTTAAGAAAATATAAAATGGAATACATTTTTGCAGAATGCCAAAAACAAATCTTTTGTAGACTTGTGCATGGGGATTATGAAAGTCTATAATTATACATATGTATGTATGAACGTTTGTATAAAATATGTATATATGTTTGTATTGGCAAAGGTAACCAAAAAATGGGTGGGTTTCAAAAACATACACTGACACGTGCACACATTCACACAAACACTCTCATCCGATGTGTATCAGAAGCGCCCCATTTTGAGTGCGTTCGTCTTTAGGTTTCTTCGCATTATTTCCATTTTTTTTTTTTTGTTATTTTTAAAACTAATTTATTCTGACAATTTGCTATGTTTACGAGTGTTTTCAGTCAATTATGGGACAAAATATTTATGCCAACAATTTTTGAGGGTACATTAAAGTCGGCCAATGAAAATCATCATCATCATCATCAACATCATATCTAAAATCTGCTTTGTTCCACATACATACATACATTTTTTGCACCCATGAAAATATGCAAGACAATTTTTATCACTCATTTATTTTTTTCCGAAAATATGAAATAGCTTATTTATGATTGGCCATACATCCATCCATCTATGCATCAATATTACATATGTATATGTACGTATGTAATTTGTCTAGCATAAAATTGAGGTGTTATTCTGTTTCACATCACATTCTAAAGATGACAATGACGATCATGCGGCCATTGTAAAATTGGAAACAAACAGAAAATTCTTTACAAGGTTACATTTGACACATGTTGTGTGACAAATATACGCCATTTCAGCAATGACCTAATCATGGCCAAGTTTTTTTTTTGTCTCAATTTGTGAGATTATTTTTAAGGCTAATGCTTAATCATTAGCCCTTGTGATGATTGGTCAATGTTACAAAGAAATGAGAAAAGTATGGTTGTATGCACAAAAGTGCCTTGTGAAATTTTGTTGCATACATACATGTACACTGGTGATCAAAACTAAATCAACTGAATTTGTACAGACACGAGGGTAACACCATTGCAATAAGTTAGAGTGGTCCTTTATCCGATTTTATTTTATATCTAGAAATTTTGCATACATTTCGCATTTGAAAAGCATCGAAAAACTAGAAACAAACTAGAAAGTAGACTTGCCCTCAGTATATATGGGATCAGTTAGGTCAGCGAAAAATTAACCTTAAAATTTTAGATTCGTTCTACCAGAACATTTTTTGCACAATGTGTTCATTATTTCTTGAATGAAATTTTCAAACAAATCTTTATACATCGCACTAAATTTTCAGCTGCACCAATTCGGTAAAATTTGATTGATATTCTAGTTGTTCCTTTATTGAAAAGGATAATCGACAAATGATTACTTTTTGAACCAAAAAGTCTTCAAAATCTTTCGTTTTAAAGTTTACCGCAGCCAAAATTAGTTAAGACCTTGCTTGGGCAATGGTTGCACATTCAATTTTTCGGACATTTTTTTTATACCCTCAGCCATATTGCTAGAGAAAGTATACAGGATGAGATAAAAAAAACTGCAACAAAGTCAAACGCCATAATTTTTAAATTTTTTTAAATGTTGAAAATAGCTTCAAATTTTAGAATAAGTTTAGATTTGTTCGAATTGGTCACCTTTGGCACGAATTATGGCCTTCAAACGGCCAATGAAACCGCTTTCTAAAATACTCCAGACACAATAGTCCAACGTATTGGTATCCGGAGAGTTTTGTGGTCATTGTGCACTGGAAATGAAGCGAGGAACCTCATATTCTTGGGTGGCATGTGCTGAGTGTGATGGTGCTGAGTCCTGTTGGAATGTCTAAGGTCTGCGGCCAAAATGTTTGTGCGCCCAAGGTTGTAATACACCCTCCAATATTCCGCATTTATTCTGATGCCACGGTCGATTAATACGAGTGGAGAGTGACCATCGGCTCCTATGGCGGCCCACACCATCACCATGGCCAGCGCTTGAGTTCTGGTGGCCAACCGAAGGTGCACATTTTCAGCTGACCTCTTTGGCAAGTAAACACTATTATTTTGTTTGTTTACAAACAACGAATGGGCAACGAATGCTATCTCATCGGAGAAAACCAAATTCGGCAACTCACCACCAAGCAAAGCAACTCTTTAGCTATTTTGAGTCTATTTTCTTTCTGTCATTTTTCAATATTTGCCGAATGGAATATTGCGGTATGTACAGCTCAAGAGCCATTTTTCGGCCATTGCAACGCGGGTCTCGATCAAGTCGCTTCTTTACTTTTCGAACCATTTCTGCTGATGTTGCTGTTTTCTTCCGTTCACTTCCTTGACGTCGGGCTACGCTACCAGACTCACTGTAACGAGCGATGGTACGAGACACAAAAGATTTATTCACATTTAAATGCTGGAGTGCTCTTACGATAGCCACCTGAGGTTTTTCAGCCAGATATCACGCTTGAATTCCATCACGAATAACTTTTTTCTTGGAAAATTTACCCTTCTAAACAATATAATGTGCTGTCACTGGAAAATTGTTAACAGCTGTCGGACGAGTGGCTTAGAAATGACAGCAGTCTGAAGTTGAAAATCGGAATAAGCATCCAAAATGTTTGCTAACGCAAAACCTGTCGGAAGGTGATAGATATCTGCCAACCCGTTCTGGTACCTCAACAATAAAGGACCACAATTTCCAATACTTATATCTGTCATAATTGCGAAACAAGTCGGCGATTCTATACAACTTGCTTACCTTAGCCAACAAATCAAAGTGGTTTGTATAAAACACACGTAAGTAGATCTATTTCAAGTCTTTAATATTTCTAAAATGCATGTCGAAGTATCTACCAACTTATAATCAACAAACGGGGTCAACACTGGAATTTTGGAAAAAAAAAAAAGAAAAAACTAGACTTACACTCTCAAACTCTTCCCTCAAACCCAAACTCCCTTCAAATACACAACATCTCTAAAACTCACCATTTGCCTTGATTCCTTTCTTTACAGAACGTCGCATCTCGGCCTTTCAGTTAGCTAGAATTGATTCCGCCGACGATGATGCCTCCTCTTCAGGCAGGGAGGACAGTTCACCTGAATCGCCCTATCAAACATCACAACAACCACCACAATTTGGCCCCTATCTCGGCGTCAATGGACACGGTCCGGTACCACATCAGGGACGTTCACGCACCAAAAGCAAAAAACCACGCAGTAAATCACTCCAGCCCCAATCCAATATTGTACCCTGGCGCAAAGCTTCTCGGCCCAGTCGTGGTCGGTCTCTCGACAAGTCACCCTTCTTGCCAGGCTGCAAGCCAGCCCCAGTCAAGTCATGGACTGAGGAAACCATCAACCTGAAACCAGCACCCATTGAGAAGAAGGTCATACCTAAAATGGAGGCTGCCAAGGTGGCTCTGAAGTCCATTAAAAATCAACGTGATCAGGGCCTACTGAGCCTTGGAGCCACTCTGGAGAAAATCATAGAGGGCAAGACTGAAAAGGAAGCCATTCCATGGATTACAATGCGCGATAAGTTGCGTCAAGTGGAAACTGTGCAAAAGCAATTGGAGAAATTCGATTTGGATGAAGTGTATCTGCGCGATCTGGAAATGCCCATTACCAACGATGTGGAGCAACCGCAACAGGCCACACAGGAACAGGTTCAACGTGATCGTGAAATTCTACGTCTCAAGAGCATGGAAAGCTTTGAGATCAACGAGGTAACCGAACAAATAGAACAACTTCTAGACAAACAAAAGCCCAAGAAGGGCGAAGATATTCCATGGCAGGAGATGCGCAAATATCTCAAAAAGGTACAGCGCGAACACAAGCAAATCGAAAAATTCAAAATCGAAGAGGTTGAGCTACACCATCTCACCGCCGAAGAGCTTTTGACACACACCGCTCAAAATGCCACTCAGGAACAAAGTTCCACGTGGTTAGAGGAGACCTCTAGGGCAGCTATACAGAAGTACGTACACAAGGAAGATGTCCAGAAATTCGTTGAAGTGGAGGATGTACAAAAACAACAATACATAACCACGGAGGACATTAACATTTTGAGCGTTGAGGAACGTGAAAAGTTGGAAAGGCAGCGTTTGTTGCGCGAGGAGCAGGCTTTGAACTGGCGCAATGCCCAGACAAGGCCAAAGGTTGAATCGATGACCTCGGTCGAAGAGACCATCAAGAAGCAGGTCGATGAACGCACCCGCATGAAGATACAACATCAGGTGTCCGAGGATCTGACACAGCAACAGCAGTTTGTCAGCGTTGAAGATTCGAAATTGATGAGAATCGAAGAGCACGAACACTTGCGCCAAACCCGTCTCACCAAGGAGGAACAAAGCATGAACTGGCGGCAACCCAGACAGCCACAACAATTCGTCCAAGTGGAGGACACTCAGATTCTCAACCTGCAAGAGCGTCAAGACACCGAGGAGCATTCCCTCCTGCAACCGGAACCAGTAATGTGGGAACGTGGAAAGAAGAAACCACAAATGCAACAACCTCAAGAACAACAACAACCTGGTGAGATTCAGAGAACCTATGAAGAGGTCCACGATGAGTTGGTTGAAGAGACGCCACAACCCAAACCGGAAGAACTCACACCGGTCATGTGGGAACGTGGAAAGAAGAAAACACTTGTTCAGCAACAACAACAACAGGTCGTGGAAATGCGTGAAACTCAACAACAAATTACCGAGGAGACGAAACAGGTAGTTGAAGAAACCAAACAGGTAACCAAGAAGCGCGTTATTCCCGCCCCACAACCCGCGGAGAAAATGGAACAGGTTGTCTTGAAACCAACACCAAGGCCCAAGCCAAAACCTGCACAAAAAGAAGAACTACAACTCAAGCCATTGAAACGTACTCAGGAACGCCCACAGCAAGTCGAGCCCGAACAACCCACCCAGGCCTATGAGGAAGCCATTGACGAGTTGCCCGAAGAAGAGAAGCCTCAACCTGTCGTGGAACAACCTCAACCCGTAATGTGGGAAAGAGGTAAGAAGAAACAGGCCACCAAAGTAGAGGAACAAGTTCTCGAGGAACAACCTCAGAAGAGCTATGAAGAAGCTGTTGATGAACTTCCTGAGGAACCGCAAACCAAACAACCTGAACAGCCACAACCGGTAATGTGGGAACGTGGCAAGAAAAAACAACAAAAGCTTGTTCCACAACAACCTGCCCAAGAGATGCCAACTCAGGCCTATGAAGAGACGGTTGATGGTCTGGTCGAGGAAGAGAAACCCGAGGTGGCTGAAGAAACTCTCCAGCCGGTAATGTGGGAACGCGGACAAAAGAAGAAGAAACAAGAGATAACACAAGTTACAGAAGTCACGGAAATAGCTGAGCAGAAGGTATTGGAACAGACCACTGTAGAAGAGATTAAGAAGAAGGCCGTATCCAAGGTCGTTGTTCAAGAGCAGAAGGTAGAAAAACTGGAACAGATTCAACTAAAACCCACACCCAGGCCCAAGCCCAAGGAACAACCCAAGAAGGAGGAAATTCAACTAAAACCAGTAAAACGCACTCAACCCAGCAAATCGCAAGAGGTTGAAGAAGTACAGCCCACAAAGGCCTACGAGGAAGCAGTTGATGAATTACCCGAAGAACCTCAACCACAGCCGGAAGAAGCTCCACAACCCGTACTGTGGGAACGTGGCAAGAAGGCCAAGAAACAAGAAGTCGCGGAAGTGATCGAACAAAAGGTAGTCGAAGAAGCTGTAGTGGAGGAAGTACTGAAGAAGAAGAAGAAGGTACGCAGCAAACCTCTAAAAACCGAAGAACAAGAAGTTGAGGAAGTTCCAGAGCAAGCCTATGAAGAAGCTGTTGATGATCTTCCCGAAGAACCAAAACAAGCAGTCGAAGAAGCGCCACAACCTGTTATGTGGGAGCGTGGCAAAAAGAAGAAGCAAGAACCCGTAACTCCTGTCGAAGTAACGGAAGTCACCGAAGAACAGAAGGTTATAGAAGAAACAAAGGTCGAAGAAGTCAAGAGAAAGAAGTCCATACCCAAGGTAGTGCAGAAGGAAGAGAGAATAGAACAGGTTCAACTGAAACCAACTCCGAGACCCAAGCCTAAGGAGCAACCCAAAAAGGAAGAGGTCGAACTAAAACCAGTTAAGCGCACTAAACCCGTCAAGACGGAGGAAATTCTGGAACAACCCGAAAAGGCTTACGAAGAGGCTGTCGACGAGTTGCCCGAAGAACCTAAGCCTGAACAACCAGAAGAGTTGAAACCAGTTGCCTGGGAAAGAGGCAAGAAACAAAAGAAGAAGCCCAAACAAGTAAAAGAAGAAGAGGCAGTGGAACAACCTGAACAGTCATATGAAGAGACCATTGATGAGTTGCCAGAAGAACCTCAACCACAGCCAGAGGAATTGAAACCAGTGGCCTGGGAAAGAGGCAAAAAGAAGAAGCCACAGAAACCTAAAGTACCCGAATCGAAAGAGGAAGTCGAACAAGTGGTTGAAGAAGTCAGTGATGTGCTTCCCGAAGAACCTAAGGTTGAAGAAGAGCAACCACAACCAGTTATGTGGGAAAGAGGCAAAAAGAAACCCAAGAAGCCTGTTGAGGAACAACCTCAACCTGAGGAGCCCAAAGTGGAAGAAGCACCCACGATTGCCGAAGAGGAAGAGGTTCAGGTTGAAAAGACAACCAAGGTTGTTAAAAAGAAGAAGGTTAAGAAACCCACTGAACCACAACCAGAAGAGCCGGAAGCTCCACAAGAAGACGAAGAAGAAGTAGAAGAAACAAAGATTGTAGACGAGCAGGAAGAACAAGAAGTTCAGGTAGAGGAAACAACCAAGACTGTTAAAAAGAAGAAGGTTAAGAAGCCTAAGGCCAAGAAGGAAATTACCGAAGAGACTGAAGACATTCCACAACCAGAGGAAGAAGAAGAAATTGAAGAAGTAGTCGAGGAGGTCGTCGAAAAACCACAAGAACCCAAACGCGTCAAGAAAATACAACCTCAAGAACCAGAAAAACCGGAACAAGTCCAACTTAAGCCTGTGGCAAGGAAACAATTGCCCAAACCCCAGGAAGAAAAGTTAGAAGAAGTTAAACTCAAGCCAACTAGAAAGTCAATTACCCAGACCGATAGCGCCGTTCCACAACCCGAAGAAGTGGAAGTTTCCGAACAACCTGAGGAAGAGGAAACCACAGTTGTGGAGGAACATGAAGAGGTTACCAAGAAGCGGGTCAAGAAGAAGAAACCCAAGAAGAAGGTCACCAAACCAGAAGAACAAGAAACTGTGGAAGAGGAAGAACAACCTCAGGAAGAAGAAGAGGAGGAGGAACAAGAACTTCCAGAAGAAGAGGCAATCGAAGAAGTTGCTGAACCCGAGGAAGTCAAACCCCAACCACAAGTTGTGGCCAAACCTGTGCCCCAGCAAGTTGAAGAGAAGTTGGAGGAAGTTAAGCTTAAGCCAGTCAGACGGCCCATCAAACAACTACCCCAAGAGGAAGCCATTGAGGAGGTACGCCTGAAGCCCGCCAAACGTTTGACTCCCAAACCAGAAGAACAGAAACTGGAAGAAGTTGAACTACAACATGTCGAAAGGTTCGAAGAACAGGTTATGGTTGAAGAAAAGAAGAAGGTTAAGAGAGTCAAGAAGCCCAAACACGAAGAGCTTCCTGAAATACCAGACGCTGAGCCGGTAGAATTGGAAAAGGCCGAACATATTGAGTTGGAGAAAGAACCTCAGGTGGAAGAGGCTCAACCTCAGGTACCATGGAAACGTGGCGAAAAGAAGAAGCCCATTGAACAGCCAATTGAAGAAAAACAATGGCCAAAGGGTAAAAGACGTCCACTGCCAGAGGAGAAACCAGAGGAGGTTACACTTAAACCTATACCTTCTAAACCCAAGGAGGAACCCAAGAAACCCGAAAAGGCTGTGCCAGCTCCCGAATTTGTTCCCGAAGAAAAGCAGCCTTCCGAGGAAAAGGAATTGGAAATTGAACCTGTTCCTGTCGTCGACGAAGTCGAGGAAGTAGAGAAGCCCACCAAAGAAAAGACCAAGAAGAAGAAGAAACCTAAGCTGCAAAAGGCAACGCCTTCAGTGGACGAGGTTTCGGAAGAAATAGCCGAACCATTTGCTGAACCCATTGCCGAGGAAGATCAAGTTGAGGAGGTACCGATCGAAGAAGTTAAGGAGGTGGCCATATCTGAAGAGATTTTGCCCGAAGAAGAAGTCGTACCCACCGAAGAGGCGCCCACAGACAAGCCTTCCGTGCACAAGGCTCACAAGAAACGCACAAAACGCCTGAAGGAGGTTTCCTTCGAGGAACAACCCACACTGCTGCAGGCCACTGTCATCGACACGGCCGAAGAAGAAGTCGTGCACGAGGAAGAAACCTCCCAGGAGATCTCGCAAAAGACTATCATGCTCAACAAAAAGACTGAAGAACCCCTACCCAAGTTTATTACCACTGAACAGCTGATAGAAGTTGACGTGGACGACGTCAAGCGCAACGTCGAAATGAAGATCACCTCAAATATCGTCAAGAAAGAGAAGCGCCGCATTGTTCTGGACGACAGTCAGCCGTTGCCCGAACTCGAACTCATTACCCAGAAACGAGTGCAGGAGGGCTTGGACAAGGTGGCCGACGAAGAAGTAATCGAGGATCAGCAGCTGACCCAAAACGACGAAGAGATCATCACCTCGGAGGTAATGGGAGAACGCCGCATTGTCAAGAAGAAGAAGAAGACTGTAAAACCGCCACGCATTACCGAGAAGCTTAGGCCGCGCATGGTGGTGCCCGAAGAACCCACAATTCTGGAGTGCAAAGTCGAGGGCATTCCCTTCCCTGAAATCAAGTGGTACTTCAACGATATCCTTCTGTTTGCCTGCGAGAAATACGAACTCAATGTGGTGGAAGACGTGGCCCAGCTCAAGATTGCCAAGGTTACTCCCAGTGATGTGGGAATATACACTTGCGAAGCCAAGAATGAGGCTGGGGTGGCTATAACGCGCACAAATGTCGCACTAGGTAAGTGGCACTTGCGATTGTGGACCCTCATGTAGAGATCCATGGTAAAGTAGCGCCCAAGTCATTCTAATTTTAGTTTTGAGAGAACCCCCTGTAGGTTTCTTTTGTTTACCTCATTTCATTCAAATTTTCACCTCGAACTCTTCTTATTCCATTTCATTTCTCTAATCAATTTTCACTTCACACTTTGGTACTACCCACAACAACAACAACAACTACAACAACCACAATATAGAAAAAGAACAAGGCATAGCTCCTCAATTCACAAAACCATTGAAGATTGAGTTCACCGAGGAGTCACCTGAACGCCTCAAAGTCAAGGTGACCTGCCAAGTTACGGGTAAGCCGCAGCCAGAAGTCAAATGGTATCACGGAGTGGAGGAAATACTGCCCAGCGAATCCGTGCAGATGTTCTACAATGAACAGACTGGCGATGTTGCCTTGGAAGTTATCAATCCGCCCCCCAACGAGGCTGTGGTATACTCGGTGCAAGCCATGAATCCATTCGGCCGGGCCGTGGGTAATGCCAACATCTTGAGTAAGGTGGATGAATTGGAGAAACCCAAGGAAATACTGAAGGCGCCCAATATTACGCCAATAAGTGCCAAGGTTGTGCCCCATGGTGGTACTCTTCTGTACGAAGCCAAATACGAGGGTACCCCTCGGCCACAAATTAAATGGTTCCGCAACGGGCGCATAATCGAGGAGAACGAAGATGTTACCATTGAAACCACGGAGACGACCACCATCATCAAGATTGTCAACATGACCCGCAAGCGTGCCGGCAAGTATGAGGTATCGGCCACCAATGAAGTGGGCGAAGCCAAGACTTCAGGCTCGGTGGTGGTATCCGACCAGGCTCCAGACAAAACCATTAAACCACCACACTTCATACAGCCGCTGGAGCCCAAGTTCTTTGCCGAAAATGAGGTGGCCATAATGGAGGCCGTTGTTGACTCCGAGCCACTGTCTTCGTTCCAATGGTTTATTAACAATGAGGCTGTTGTTAGCTCAAATGAGGTGCGCATTGTTTCCAAGGAGAACAAATCCACACTTCTGATAGAGGAGTTCAAGCCGAAATTCAAGGGACCCTACACATGTCGCGCCGAAAATGTTGGCGGCTCGGTAACCTCGACGGCAAGTGTTAAGCTGCTGGAGGAGGCACCTCAAGAGGTGGTCGAAGAATTCGAGTCGCCACGCTTTGTTGAAGAGCTCATCGAACCCGTGGAAGTAATGGATGGCGAGCGTCTACTGCTCACCTGTAAGGTAGTGGGTAAACCCACGCCCCGTGTAGCCTGGTATCACAATGAAGAAAAGGTGGTGGAGAACAAAGAGACACACGTTTCCCAAGATGCCGATGGCAAATGCCTTTTGGAAATTACCGAAGTATTCCCAGAAAATCAAGGCGTATACAAATGTATTGCCACAAATAAAATTGGCGAGTCCATAACCAAGACAACAGTTAGCATTCAAGGTACATTTTATACTCTGGACCCACACACACACACATGCACACACCCAACCATACATGCACACTAAAATACACTGAAAAAAAAAACGTTTGTGTTTTACCAAAAACAAAGAAACGACTTATACCTCTGTTTTTACGATTTAACACCCCCCTTCAAAGCAACATAACCTCAAGGAATGCTCTAAAAATATCCTCTGTCTTTGGTTATGTTCATTTTTACTAATATCCTCTGAACACAAGAAAAACAAAAAATACACAGTAAAATAATTTCAGCAACTTTCTGAATTGTTCAACTCTTTGCACAGCACTATCTGTTGTCTCTTTGTCTACTCCTCTCTAATTGTCCATGTCCAAGGATTTCCTTCTATCTACAGCATGTTTAATTTATTTTCTCATTCTTCATCTTTATCGATTCGTTTTTATTCTTTTTTATAAGTGTATTTTTCTCTTTTTCTTTTTTTTTTTTTTTTTTGATATTTGAACTGAAAATTAATATTTTTTAATTTTTTTGTTTCTCTTTTTCTTTTGTTTTGTTTCGTTATGAATAGCATTTGAATATATCCCCGATTCTGAAATGACTGGTTCAGAAGATGATCTTCTCGATAGGGTAAGTAAAATCGGTAGTTATATAAAAAAAAAAAAAACTTAGAATCAAAGAAACGAACTGGAAATTTGAAATGTTTCTTGTACGACACTATTGTCACGATTTATGTGAGATAGTATAAGATGAGGGAAAACATTTAAAGGCCAGTTTCCATACCCTGTTAGGATCATATGTAAAGTGATTTTTGGCATTTTAACGTGAACCTTTTTGTAGCAGATTTTTAGGCGCACCCAACAATTTTTAAACTTAAACGAAACGCTATACCATGGTAGAAGAATAAAGGCAGTCACATCGACACAGCTGCTGGGAAAATTAACTGTCAAATCAATTTTGGAATTGAGAAATCTGAATAAAAAAATATTGACATTTGTAAAAATTGTTGAAAGATGCACGTCATAACAACCTCCGATTGGCGTCGTATAAGAAAACATATACAAATCTTCTCGAGTTTGGGAAAACATTTTAAAATTTTTGACATATCAATGTTCCCAAGCATTGATTCACCTACCTGCATTCTTCTACCAAACACTATACTTTATAAATGTATATTGTCTAGCCATATGGCTAGAGAGGGTACACTTCATTTGATACGGCCAAAACGTGCCTCATCAAAATTACGGTTTTAGAACCTAGGTCCCTTCGTCCATCTGTGTGTCTGTCTGGCTGGTGCGTACGATAACTCTCGATTTGGTTCAAACTTTGTGCATCGCAATATCATTGTCAAACTTAGATCGAGTTCGGAGATGGGCAATATCGGTTCACTCCTTTTGGTACCTTCCCTCCAAAAGGTCAAAATTTAAAAAAAAATGTTTACAGCACAGAAGGGAAAAGAAAATCGGATTTTGCTCCAACTTTGCGAATCCTAATATTTGCATGAATGCTAGGTCATGTGCGAAAATGGACAATATCGGTTCACTCCATCAAGTACCTCCCCCAAAAATAGTCAATATTTTGAATAATTCTAACTCTTATAAAATGTAAGTGTCCGACTGTCTTCAAATTACAAACATCACAATAGGGTCAACGTTTTGAATAACAAAAACTATCATAAAATCCGAAATAAACACTCGGTTCTCTTCAAATTTCACACATCGCATTATTTCTATTAATACTATATCTGGTACCTTCCCCACAAAGGGTAAAAATTTGTAATATCCATGAAGCTCGTAAAACACGAAATTAACATCCGATTCCATTCAGACCCGGTACATCTCAATATTTCTATAAAAACACAAGATCTGTTATAAAGATTGCAGAAATGGGATAGTTTCGTCTGGCACCTTCCCCACACAGGGTTAGAGATTTTAAAAAACAAAACGGCCAAAGAAGGCGAAATAAGCCTCCAACTTTCTTCAAATTGCACACATACAAACATTTTTTCTAACCAACGGTCGGTCGTGAAGATGATCTGCGAACCCCTTTTGGTACCTCATCCACAAAGGATAACAATTTTCAATACTTTTATCTGGCATAACTTGCGAAACAAGTCAGCGATTCTTTACAAGTAAAGATTTCTCTCAACCAGAAACTTGGAATGAATATGGAATGTATGATTTCGCATAAAATTACATATAAGTGTTCGATTTTCTTGTAATTTTTCCCATACCCACATTTTTATCTGTATTAGGTGAAGTGTGAAAAGGGAACACTTCGGTCGACTGTATCTGGTACCTTACGTACATTTTAACATTTTCTAAAAATTATCACATACCTCATATAATGTGAAGGAAGTAACCAATATTGTCCAAACCTGGCATGTCACAATAATTATATCATATTTATTTAGGTCCGATACGAAATAAACAATATTGTCTAATTCCTTCGGAACCTACTCCACAGAGGGTCAACGATTTGAATAATCATAAGAGGAGTCAAATGCAAAAAGGGTATGCATTTTTATGGCATACTTTTGGACGCTTCCTAGATTTTTTAAATCTAAAAAGAAAAGCTTTGTAGTATAATAAAAATTAATATAGATTTACTATAAGCATAAAGTAATTGAAATGCAAGTTAATTTATGGTAATGTATGTATATTTTGTGGTATGCTAAGAAAATGGCAAGTATGAAATGTGAAAAAGACACTTTAAATATGACTCTAACATAATGTGTAACCTGAGCCTCAATTCTTGTTCTATGAAAATGTGAAATGAAAACTTTTATAAAGGAAAGAAATGTCAAATGAGAAATTTTTTAAAGAAAATATTTTTTATTTCATATTTTCATAGAACAAGAGTCCAGCCCCTGGTCTTTATGTAAGTCTTATCTTTTACAATTCCATTGATTTCAAAATTTTTGTCACTTAAATTTCATTATTTTTTCATAATATTCTCGAATGCAATTTCTTTTCCAATTTGCTCTAATCGTTGTTGTTCTTCTTTCCTCATATTTTTATCTAGTCTATCGATGAAGATAAACCACCGAAAATTATTAAGAAACTACCCGAAAAAATCGAACCCAAGGAGGGTGAATTAGCCAAACTGGAAGTCAAAGTTATTGGCAAGCCAAAGCCAAAAGTCAAATGGCTGCGGGACGACGAGGAGATATTCGCTTCCGAAGAATATCAAATCGAAAATTTCGAAGATGGCACCTCAGTGCTGGTTATCAATAATATTTATCCCGATGATGTGGGCACAATTAGTTTTGAGGCCTACAATCCATTGGGTGTGGCTGTGACAACTGCATTGATTTCGGTCGAAGGTATAAATGCAACAATTACATGTGTTTTGATTTTTTGTGTTTTCACAAAAAAAATGTGATTTAATTTTTTTGAATCTATAAATTTAAGTTTTATATTTTGTATAATAATGATTTTTTTGCAGCATTCCATCAGCAGGGAATATTTTACCTTTCAGTATATCTTTTCCCCTCCCGTGTATATAAATTCCCCTAATCCCCTAGATTTTTTAAACACAAACTTTAACACACATTTTACTGACACCATATTATGAATATATATAGATTTTTTACACTTGAAAATAATATTTTTTAAATATTTGATTTTTACGTTTTTTTTTTCAAATTTACTAATTACTATTTTTAAATTTTGCCTTTTAATAAAAACAAAAATCAGGCATCGTTGGATCGAAGGATTACCGCAAACCTGAATGGGTGACTCACATGGAGGAAATGCAACGGGCTCTGAAAGGTATGTTGAAAGTTGTTCAAAAAATTTAGCCTCCCCGGGCTAAATGTCTATAAATGTGTTTAAACCAAAGAATACATGTCCAATATCCTTTGTGATCAATAATTGTTATCCCTTTTTTGTGTATATGTGTTTTAATATGATTTCATTTTTTTACCAACAACTACAGTTTGTCTCTTCTACTTCTTCTTCTATGTGTCTTTCTCTTACACTCTCGGTCTCTATATAAAATATGATTTAATTATAATATACTGTTGTTGTCTATGTAATTGTCATTCTCTTTCTCTGGATGTCCTTAAAAACAAAGCCAGCATTTGTTTTGAATTTTGAAAGAAACAAAACAAACTGTGTCCCCCCACTGTACAGCTATGTACTATATGGCCCGTTTATTTTTGTCTTGTGCTCTCTATGCGCATTCCTCTCTCTCCCTCTCTCTATAAAAAATAAGGGTCTAAAGCTCTTGGCCTTTTCTCACCAAAATTAAGCACCTATAATGCTCCTTCTTTCTCTCTGAGTTTTAATGAAAATTAAACAATAAAAGAATTACTTGACAACTCCCTAGGCTCCCCCCTCCCCCGTAAAAAAGTATACGCCATTTAATTTTAATTATATATTTATAAAAAAATCTATTTTTTCGATATTTCTCAATAATTCGATAAATGATAATTTAAGTTATCATTTTGGTTTCCCACACCCAAAATTTATTAACAACATCATTTCGACGTTCCATTCAAAATTTATAGCAGATTATTCAAAATTTACTAACACACTCACAATCATGACCATATTGGTTTTTCTATGTGCTATTGTGGCTTTAAAATTTCCCATTACCCGCTAAAACCAATCAAAGCCAATTAAAGGAGTTTTAGAACCTTTATCCTCTGGGCTTGTTAAATGTTTAAGGCTTTCTTTTCACATTTCAAAAAATAAATGTTTATTCTTTAAGTTTTAAACTTCATTTAACACTGAAAACAGACAAACCTATTTTCTTTACAGTCATGAATGTAAAATATCAAGCGATGTGGAATTATATACATTATTATATAATTATATACAGTATTATAACGAGTATCCTAATATTCTCCCAAAAAATTTTGAAAGGACGTTAAGCCTAAAAAAATTTCTAACGTTAACATGACATAAATCTGCTAGAATATATCCAAATTAAGGAATAAATCCTAATAATGTGGGTTAATCCGGATTTTCCCTTTATTATATCGAAGAAAATTGCAAAACTAGTAGATTCTTGCAGGTAGTGGAACAGAGCACCGATTCCACATGCATTAGAGTCATATGCAAATAGGCATCTTCCACCATCATCTATAGCATTTTTATGGTATACTTTTAGACGCTTCCTAGATCTTTTTTAAATCTAAAAAGAAAAGCTTTATAGTATAATACAAATTAATATAGATTTACTTCAAGTATAGAATGATTGAAATGCAGGTTAATTTATGATAATGTATGGTATATAGGTTATGGAGTGGATGGTTACTTTTAACTTTATAAATTATACGGAGCTCCTTGTGGTATGCTAAGTAAATATCAAAGATGAAATGAGAAAAAGTCACTTTACATATGACTTTTTGTATCTAAACCCGCTATTACTTATATAGGCCTTGGTTTATAAGATATTCTCATTTGTTTACTTTTTATTATACCCTTTAGCATGTATAGTATGGAGGGTATATTAAGTTCGTTATTCCATTTGTAACTTATCGAAATAAAAATTTTAGACCTAACAAAGCGTAAAATTCTAAGACGATTTAGCCCTGTCCGTCCATCCGTCTATCTGTCTGTTGTAAATCAGTCAAAACGAATTAAGATAACAAGCTAAAATATTGCACAGATCAGTCTTTTGTGTGCAGGCAGATCAAGTTCGAAGATGGGCTATATCTGTTCATGATATCGTGTGGCCCCCATATGACGATACCTCCGATATTCGGTGTTTTTATGGCTTTTAGCACATTTTTCAACAGAATTGTCTGAAATTCTACAGGCAGGCCCACGTCTTCGCATAGCCCCTAATATAGTGGATATATTCGGTATTTTTAAGATTTTAATGGAATTTTTAACAAATTTTATTTTTTAAAAATATTCCAAAATCATCCCATATGGTGGGATGCTTTTTTGCTTGTACACATATTATACAGGGTGAGATAAAAAAACTGCAACAAAGTCAAGCATCATGACTTTTATTTTTTTTTTTTTTTAAATTTTATTAAAGGAAAGCAAAAAATGTCGGGGATAGCATCAAATTTAAGAATAAGTTTAGATTTGTTCGAATTGGTCACCTTTGGCACGAATTATGGCTTTCAAACGGCAAATGAAACCGTCACACGTTGCCCGAATGTTGCTCTGCGGAATTCTGACCTATTCCCGGCGAAGCGCTTGCTTGAGGTGATCGACACTTTGGTATTTTTTAGTGCCAACCTTGCTTTCCAAAATACTCCGGACACATCCGGAAATGTTGGTGGCCATTGTGCGCTGGAAATGAAGCAAGGAATCTCATTTTGTAACCATTCTTGGGTGGCGCATGGCTGAGTGCGATGATGCTGAGTCCTGTTGGAATATCCAAGGTCTGCGGCCAAAATGTTTGCGCGTCCAAGGCTTTAATACACCCTCCACAATATTTTCGTGATAATATTCGGCATTTATTCTGATGCCTTGGTCGATTAATACGAGCGAAGAGCAACCATCGGCTGAGTTCTGGTGGCCAACCGAAGGTGCACATTTTAAGCTGATCTCTTTGGCAAGTAAACGCGATCATTTTGTTTGTTTACAAACTGCTGGACAACGAATGTTTTCTCATCGGAGAAAACCAAACTCGGCAGTTCACTACTTTCGGCCAAGCGAAGTAACTCTTTAGTCTATTTTCTTTATGTTACGGTGTAAGTTCTTGCAGCTCATTTTTCAATATTTGCCGAATGGAATATAGCGATATGTTCAGCCATTTTTCGGCCACTGCGAAGCGGGTTTCGATCAAGTGGCTTCTTTTCTTTCCAAAGCATTTCTGCTGATGTTGCTGTTTTCTTCCGTCCACTTCCTTGACGTTGATCTACGCTACCAGTATCATGGTAACGAACGATGGTACGAGTCACAAAAGATATATCTCACATTCAAATGCTGGAGTGCTCTAACGATGGCCACTTGTAGTTTTTCAGCCTATAAAGCATTTAAAGAAATCACACTATCTCGCTTGAATTCCATCACGAATGACTTTTTCGATATTCGGTATTTTCTCGATATTCGGTATTTTGATGATTTTAGGCACAGGTTTCAATATAATTGTCTGAAATTCTACACAAGAAGTTCTTTGAAGAAGTTCGCATCGACACAGCTGCTGGTACAATGAACTGTCAAACCAATTTTGAAATTGAAAATTTTGAAAATAAAATTATTCAAATTCGTAAAAATTGTTGAAAAACTATTGGTTTCGTATAATGAAGCACATAAAAATCTACTTATATTTGAAAAAAAAAAAACAATATTCAGTATAAACAGTATTCTTCTACAATGAGTTACCACATTTAAATTCAAATTCATAAAATTTTATGGGACATCTTAAAGTATGCTATAAAAGTTTTAAAGATTACTATGGAAAAAGTCATATGTAAGACTCTAGCATAATGTGTAGTCTGGCATTTACTATTTAAACGCAAACGTCTTTTATTGAAAAAAAATAAACCCAGGACTTTTAAAATAATATCTAACAGAAGTGATATTTGGTATACGAGGTAGATATTTTAGTTTTACGAACCTCACATACACTAGATTTGACGCCACAAATTATGGAGCTGTATGCTTATACAGTGAGACAATCAACTAAAAATGTTGTAAACAGTGCTAACGCTTTAATAGGGTTTTCACTGATTTTTAACTACTTCTTGTTCAAGGAATTGCTCCGGAATAAATTTTTGAGTTCATATCCCTCATTTCCGCCCCTTTTTTAGTACTTTTTCGCCATTATTGCTGATTTTAGAATAACACCCTATTTTGCAGGGTAGAGAGTCCCAACTGAAATAATATTAAAAAAAAAAAACTTGTATATAATTCCACTTCAAGACGATATGTTACATTTATTTTCTTATAAAAACCATATATATCTATACAAACAAAAGAAACTATTCTCCGTCTCAATTACTCAAGAAAATCAGACACATATCAGAATACACCGACACCCGATATTCATGTAAGTACATTTTCTACGCTCAAATTCAACTGCCAACACAATCCCCAATTTCCACTGGAAAATGCCACACACACTGATGTACATATGTATGTGATTGAAAAGAATTTGCAATAATTGAAAATATTTTTTATTTATTTTTTATGCTTTTCTTTTCTAAAATTGCTTTTATAGCTGCTAAATGCTCGCCATCGCTTGTCAATGAAATGCACGATTGTCGTGCAGCAACTGGTGAAAAAGCTAAGTTCAAAGTACAGTTTGCAGGAAATCCAAAACCAGGTATTTTTCATTTGTTTATTGTCGAATAAAAAAAAACAAACACACGAAATGGCAACGAACAATCGAACACACACACACACTGATCTACCTCTTCGCACAACGACGACGAAGACATTCGGAAATATAGGCCTGCCATCATGGTTTAAATTTCAATTTTTTTAAAATATTTTATAGATATTCAATGGTATTTTGATAATAAACAACTTAGGGAATCGGACAAATATCACATGATCGTCGAAGAAACCGAAGCCTTCTTGGAAATTTCAAATGTTACTTACGAAGATATTGGCTTCTATACGTGTAAGCTAATCAATGAGATCGGCATGACCATGACTAGGGCCAAATTCGATATTTCCACAACATCGACAGCGGAGGAGACAAAAGTCACCACAGTCAAGGGCAAGGGTAAGGGCAAGAAGAAGGTGGTCAAGAAACTGGCACCGGTTGTAGTTGTAGCCCAGCCATATTGTTCTTCAACTGACAGTGAAGCGGAAACCGGTACCACCACCACACAGGTTGTGACTACCGTGGAAGAACCCCAACAGACTGAGGTCGAAACAACCATGGAAGTGATAAAGGTACGAAAACCAGTTTCCATTTTGGTAGAACAAAGTGGCAAATCTGAAGTAATGGAAGTCAAAGATCGCTCGGTGGCCGATGCCGAAGTGACAACCACGGTTGTCGAAGAGGAAACCGTCACAACCACCACCAGCACCTCAACAACACGCCAGACAACAACATCCATAGAAATAAGTGAAACCATCAAATCCATACGTTCGAAAATCACTTCCAAAACCATTACCATTGAAGATGTGCTGGAGATCAAACAACATCACGAAGTCAATACACTGCTGGAAACAATCAATGCCAGCTCCTTTGGCAGCATTGGGGAATCTGCCCTCCGCGACTTGGCCACAATTGGTCTACTTGTACGCCACGGCTGTACAATTATAGAGATTATCTATTTGTATGAACAGAATATTTTCATTGCCTTGCAAAAGCCCGAAGCCCAATCGGCCTTGGTGCAGCTGGTCGAACGTGAAGGTCACGAGGAGCTGATATCGGAAATATTGAGTGAGTCGTCGAGCGAAGAAGAGACAATATTGGCTGCTACCGTAGGTTTTAAGGCCTTCATACGCATGATTCAGACCTGTGAGATAACCATTGAGACTGTCATCAGGAAATTTGTGCGAGAGGATTTCATAAGCCAGGATTGGAAGATAGCCACAAAAGAGGTTTGGCGTTTAATGTTTTGTGTGTTCCGTTGTTATGCGTTTTAAAAAAGTTGATGATTTTTTTTTTTTTTTTTTTGTTTTTGCTTGTTGTTTCTTTGGGTATAGAAAAAAGTTGGACCATAGCTATTTTCAATTGAATATAGGATGTATTAAGACTACATTGAAACCTTTCATGTAGTAAACGTAGTCTAAATCAATTAAATCGCAATGACATAATGTTAGCAATATGTAGAGCATACTTTTAGGAGCCAAGTAAATAGGCTTTTGTTTCAACATCAAGTAAACGCCCTTAAATAGTATTATTTTAATAGGCATTTTTAATACTTTAGTAATGTAAATAGGAATATATTTTTGGCGGATTCGTATTTTTATATTTACATTAAAATATCTCAACTTTCACAATATCGCCAACCTTTTGTTCAGGGAAATGATAATTGCTAGAATTTGATTAAATATATAGGGCTCGCTGTGATCGAAAAAGTACGCATGTACCATGGTAGAAGAATACAGGTAGATGCATCAACGCTTGGGAACATTGATATTTCAAATTTTTTTTTTTCAAAAATAAGAAGATTTTTATATGTTTTTTTTTTTTATACTGCGCAAATCGGGGGTTAATATGATAAGCGTTTTTTAACTATTTTAAAGAATTTGAATAATTTTTTTTATTCAAAATTGGTTTTACAGTTCATTGTACCAGCAACTGTGTCGATGCATCTTCTTGTGTTCTTCTACCAAAGTATGTATTTATCACACGACTTCTGAGAAATTTGGCATTACGCATGTAAAAAACATTCCTCTGATAAAGCCTTAATCGCACATGATTACAGGAGGGTGGAGTATAATTTTAACAGAAGTATTTGCGATAGGCTACTTTAAAGAATGAACTCAGATTTTAAATGTTATTTTTTTAAGAATGTCCAAACGTTTTATGTTTTACTTCTTTAAATGTTTTTTGTTAATGCACACACACACACACCCACAAAATAAATATGTTAATAAGGGGAAAATGTTAATTTAAAACATACGTCGACTATGGTGAATAGTAATCGATTCCTCGATTCGGAAACATTCTGTAATGTTTTTTTACTCTTACATAAGACCTCCAATGTGATTTATAACACCATGCTAATATACATTTCTATTTGTTTTAAAAACATTATATGAAAAAGGGTTTAATTATTCCATTTTCGGTTTCATCGACTTTTAGTATTGAATTCTTTCGATTAACTTTTTGTCGATTTTTATTATTTCCATACACGTCATAAAGTATTCAAGCATTAGTTCTTATCTCCCACTGTTTTAATGAAGTTGGATCACAAGCTGACTGTCTCGGTTTAATTGACTTTGTTTGTGGTCAGCGGACAAATGAGAGAAATGAGATGCAACACTCGCAAGCAATCGATATTTAAGGAAAATGGCACTCATAACTGACAGTGTGTTTGCAACATAATACCATGTTCATATGGTACATTATTTGGTCTATATTCGTTGTTCATTAATTATTTAATTATGTAATATCTACTTAATTCCTCAAACAACAATTCTCTCAGCGAATAATAATTGTTATACCCTCCACCAGACATAGTATGAAGTTTATATTAAGTTCGTCATTGCGTTTGTAACTCATCGAAATAATATTTTTTGAACCCAACAAAGTATATATATCCTTGATCAGCGTAAAATTCTAAGACGATTTAGCCCTATCAGTCTGCTGTAATCACGCTAGAGTCTAAACGAATAAAGATAGGAAGCTAAAATGTTGTACCCATCTGTCTTCGATCCACGATATCGTATAGCCTCCATATAACGGTACCCCCGGTATTCGGTATAATGATGATTTTAACCTCATTTTTCAATGGCATTGTGCGAAATTCTACACAAGAAGTTCTCTGTGAGTACTTTCCCCCTTGAAAGAGAATTGTCTATATATGTAGGTCTCCGATGTCGTATAACCCTTATACAATTGTACCCCCCGATATTCGGTATTTTAATGATTTTAGCCACATTTTTCTATGACATTGCCTGAAATTCAACGCAAGGAGTTGCCTCTGAGTACTTTATCCCCTGAAAGAGAATTTTTTTATAAAGGTGCACGATATCGTATAGCCCCCATACAATGGTGTATATTGGGTATTTTGATGGTTTTAGCCACATTTTTCAATGGAATTGGCTAGAATTCCACAAGTTCTCTGTGAGTACTTTAACCCCTGAAAGAGAATTATCTATATAGGTCCACGATATCTTATATCCCCGATATTAATGTACCTCCCGATTTTCGGTATATTAATGATCTTGGCCACATTTTTTTATGGAATTGTCTCGCATTTTACACAAGAAGTTATCTGTGATAGAAATATCTGTATAGGTCTACGTTTTAGTATAGCACTCATAAAACGCTACCCCGAGATACAACCTATGACCGAAAATTGTACATGCACATGCACGTCTTAGTATAGCCCCCAATACAATGATACCTCCCTTTATTCGTTATAAAAATGATATTAGCGACATTATTCAACGTAATTGTTTCGAATTCCGTATGCTGCTTTTTTACTTATTTGTCCATTCTCAGAACTACGATGGTCATTCCTAATTATAAAAAGTAAAATTTGTTTAATTTTTTTTGTGTCGACAAAAATAATTTCTATAAGTGTCTCTCCAGTAGGTATTTCATGCACTGTGGTTTAAATACCCATAACTACCTAATTGTGGAAGCGAACAACGTGATTCAAATTGCAATGTGAACATGATATAAGGCTTACCAAAAAAAGCAATCCTGCCATCAATAGGCAAAACTATTCATCAATAAATCTGAAATCGATAACAACTTTAGTCGACTTTTGATTGGGAAGTTAAACCTGAAAAATTAAAATTCGACTTTCATGTTCCAATCAAAATGATTTTTTAAGAATTTCGATTTTTTCTCCTTATTAATAAGTGATTTTACCTTTTCTGAATGTGTGTATGCGTGTGTGTGAATGCATTTAGTTGTGTTCGTTCAATCCTTCACATAGATTTGTTTTTTGCATTTATAATGAAATTTTCAATTATTTTCTTGCCACACCCACAAACAAACAAATAAAATCGCACAAAACCATTTGTATAGAGGACTGTTGAGACCACACACGTCTTTGAAAGTCGAGAAGCTGTGACTCATATAAAAATTGGTAAGCAGTGCTGCTTTGTAGGCAAAAGCAATTTTTTTTTTCAATTTTGCAAAAAAAAAAAATTATTTATTATTTTTGTTTTTATTTATTTTTTTAATTGTATTTATTAAATATGGCATTTATTTATTTACATATTTTATGCGAATGACCAACAAACGCTTTAAAACCAAATGCTTGGCTGGCTTTTGATAACCACATTCTTATGCAAATCCCACATCAAATCAATCGACTAAACAAACAGAGGAAACAATCGTCGAGGAACGTACCATAATCGTCGATGAAGGTTTGGAAATAGAAGATTCAGAACCACTGTAGAAAAATATAAAAAAACCAACCCGCCAACCTTAAACTTAATCAAAATAATAATAATAATAATAATTAAAAAAAAATAATAATTAATCAAAAACATTATCAACAACAAGAACAACATGAAAACAAGCGCAACTATAAAACATTTATTTTTAATCTAAATTATGTAAATTTATACAACAAACCAGCCATGACAACAACATTTTCCAAATTACTACAACAAGAACAACAACTAAATGGCATTATACAAATGTATAACTTTCAAATAAAAACACTAATTTTGGTAAACAAACAAAAAAAACCCAAAATATTTTAACATTTTTTTTTTTAATTTTGGACTTCTGTCTTTTCCACTTTCACTCTACAAAACTTTTGTTTTTATCTAATACCAAATAAAAAATGCAATAATTTCTTACAACTATTTCCAGGCTCCATTGTATCCTCAGCGTTATAATCCCAATAGCCTTCAACTAATTACTAATTTCTTTTACATTTATTTATTAATTCTATTACAAAGCCAGCACAGTTAACCTGCTTTGATTTTCTTGCAAAAAGCTTAAATATTCTGTTATCATATAAGCCTGTCCCAGCGGTAACCCAGCAATGCTTTCTGATAATCAAGATGCCTTGCACAACTCTATCTAAACCTCCAAACCTGCTTCTTGATTGGGAGTCTCAGAGTAACTCTACAATCATAGCCAGTAAATTGCTTGCCGCAAAAGTCAATTATAGTTATATACAATAATCCAGGTAAGTTCCATTTTAGCCTGTAAAATAAATATTCTTCGAAAAAAATGCAAGAATTGTTCCCAACAAGCTACTGTTTTGCAGGGAGAACCATTGAAGTCTTACCAATTGTTTTAAATAATGAGAACGGAATCCAATCCCCCACTTCAATTGTCAATTCAAGTCTCTATCGTGGTCGACTGAAGCAATGTAAAGTGAGAATGGAATCCGACCGCTTGGTTAGGCTGTAGATTCAACTGTAGCTTTTATTTAAAAATACGCTCCTTAAGTACTACTGAAACTAATCGAACTTAACCTAATCGCAGTCACACAATTATTCTTACCTATTCTAATATTGAATGGAGAACAGTACAGGACTGCTTGTCAATTCATTGAAATGGTCTTGTACATGTACTGTGCGTGTGGGTCATAACCTTTATTATATCACACATTATCGTATGTGTCAGCGCACAAGATCACCGAATTGTTCACCTGTGATTTTTTATGACGGCTGGGAAATATGTAATCTTAGAATATTTATTGTTTATTGCTAGGTTTTTTTGCCAGCGCCTCAACTGCACTCAAAAGTATGTACAATTATTTTCAAATCCAAGTTGAGGGAATGGAAACTACTTCGCCTGGGTTGAAATTTTCAATAATCCCAACCGACTTTCAATAAAGTTTTCTTTTGAATTTTCGTCATCGTAGAAATTAAGTACATTCTGCCTCGGAAGTTTCGATTTATCGGCTACTGTCGAGAGACAGAGATCAGAGATCTTTTCAACTTGGTTGTCCCCACATTCCTCCTCAACTTCCAGCTGACTCAGCTCACCTTTCTTTGACATGCCCTTAATGATGGCCCCACTCAGTTGGTGGCATTATTCATTAAGTAGTCGCGGAGGCAAAAACCCCTATCTTTAAAATTTTCAATAATCCCAACCAATTTCCAATAAAGTTGAAAAAAAAAAACTTAAAAAAAAATTGTTCAGCGAAGTTTTCAGAAGTTTTCCTTAGCATCAGTGCCATTGGTTGCATTGGATGATGTTTGATATTGGATCATCCTAGAAATGAACAACATTCTACCTCGGAAGTTCCGGGATCCGCTGAATCAGAGATCTTTTCAACTTGTTTGTCTACACATTCCTCCTCAAGTTCGAGCTGATTCAGCTCACACTTCGTTGACTTGCCTGGAATGGTCCTTTACACTAGAACCGCTTGGTATGATGTCATCTATGAGGCCGAGATTAAGCACGCTGTGTACGTCCAGTTAGACTTTGGATGTCACGCTCCTGTCGCCCCCTTTCTTCACTTCGGTCCTTATTTGGGCAACGTTAACCATTTGAATATTTTGATCGTCATTTCCCCGAAGTATTACTTTCACTTGTAGCAGAAGCTGCAACAGGTTTCAAGGCAGCCACCATGAGATCGTTTGAACGCAATCGCTGGATGTGGACGCCATATGGCTTGAGAACACTCCAACACTTGCCGCCCGTTCTGGACTTTAAGGTGAGGCTAAATAAGCAGCTTGGCATCATGGCTAGACATATTAATGCCAAATTATAAGGGGAAACAATGGCAGGATTCGAGTGCGGCTCTGAAATCCCATTATGATCTGTCACAAAATATGCAATGCGAAGACTTCAAGCTGCATATGTATCCTCACCTTTACTCTTTTTATACCCTCCACCTTGGAAAGGAGGGTATATTGACTTTGTCAATCCGTATGTAACATCCCTAAATATTCGTCGTAGACCCTATAAAGTATATATATTCATAATCAGCATAAAATTCTAAGTGGATTGAACAATGTCCGTCTGTCTGTTGAAATCACGATGCAGGCCAAATTATTTGATGTAGAGCAGAATAATTTGTATTGTGTCAAGATCCTTGTATTGAAAATGAGATATATCAGTCCACGTTTTGGTATAGTCCTCATATCTACCCCATACCTCTCGATATTCGGTATTTTGATGGTTTTTGTCAAATTTTTTCACGGATTTGTCTAAAAATTGGAATTTGTTGGTCATAATAGGTTCTAGCTCCGTTGGCGAAACATTGTATGTATAGGTCCACGTTTTTACATATCCCTATATAGCGGTACCTCCCGAAATGCGGTATTTTGATGATTTTTGCCACATTTTCCCACGAATATGTCTAAAAATTGGTATTTGTGTGTCATAATTGGTTCTAATGTTTCCATTACCCTAAGGTGGTGGGTATTAAAAGTTCGGCCCGGCCGAACTTAATGTTTTTTACTTGTTTTACCTTTTCGGTTAATTATTTAAAGAAACCTCGCCCATCCGGTTTCGGAATACAGGTGAGAATACATAAAAAGCTTTTTCGACTTGCTTAAGTCGTCGGCTGGCTTTTTCGTATAGAAACAAAGGAGTTTTAGGGTAACTTAGTTCGATCTTGGCCCTACACTCCTTTGTTCTTTTCCAAAGAAGCCAGCCGATGACTTAAGCCAGTCAAAAAAAGTGTTTTATGTACGCTCACCTTTAGATTAGTTTCAATAGACTTTGGATGACATGGATTCCCTGTGATACAGTAACAACGGAAATTCCTGCAAAACAATAAAATAAATGAAAATGTTTGTCTGTTTCAAGCACGATCTCGCCCTCTATCTCTCTCTCTCTCCTCTGTCTTCTTCTTTATACGTCTCGGTCTGAAAACGATATAACACTGTAATTTCCGATTTCATCATTAACAGAGACATGATATTAGGTTATAGATAGAAAGTTACACGCATTTTCTTAACTCACCCCAAAAATGTTGACACCAAATAAACTCATTAACCACAAAAGATATCGTCCATTGTACAGTACTAAAGAAAACGCAAAACCCATCTGAAATGAAAAGAAAAAAAAGCAATTTAAGCAAAAAAAATGTAAATTTCAAAAATTTTTTGTTGTAACACTGAACATCTATGTCATGTTTTGTTTTGTTCTGTGACATTTCAAAATTGAGAACAAGAACAAAAATTAGTTATATATTTCGCTTACAAATCACAATTCACAGAAACAACATTAGTGGAACAACATGAACAGCAACAACAACAACAAATTATACAACAAGTGGAAGTTCAAGAACAGATACAACTACAACAACAACATAAACAAGTCCAATACATACAGGACACAATTATCACAGAACAGCAACAACAATTGGAGAAGAAAACGAAAAAGCAGAAAAAACTCAAAATCACAAAACAGGACACAAGAGGAGTGGTGGTCGTTCCAGACGATGCCAAGGAAGAGGAAGAAACCGCACAAGTATTGGAAACAGTTGAAGGCATTGCTTCGCCGATATTTGAAAAGCTTACACCGCACCTAACGTCCCAAGAGTCGGCGGAAACAACGGCTTTCAGCGAGTCGTCTCTTATGGCAACCGCAGATAAGCCCAAGACCGTCAAGGCCCGGGAATCGTTAATGTCGCAACAAAATATTGTGGTCCAAGAGCTCCACCAAACAATGGAAATCGAACAAGAAATCCAGAAATTCAAGCATTCCCAGGAAGTGGTTAGTGAATCTGTTGAGGAAGTAGAACTCAGGGCTCCGAGTGTGGTGGAACAAATGCCGGCAGAAGAGCCTAGCCAGTTGTCGCCGTTTAAAATGACCAAAACTAAGGTCAAACGTAGCAAGGACTTGAGTAAACGAAAGTCGCTGGTTGTTGAATCTCCTCTGGTGCAAGAAAGTCTAGAGGAGCACGTACCATCAAAAGAAACCGAACGTCATGCCGATGCTAACATTGTGCCCGTACAGGCCGCCCCAGAACAACATCAAATTGTGGTAACGGAAAGTATTCAGAAATTAGTTACAGACAAATTGGCACAGCCCGAAGATAGTCGCACCACAATGGTGATTAGCTCCAAGAGAGGTTTGGTTGTGGAGGAAATTATAAGTGCCGAAACCACGGAAAAAGAAGTCTCCTTGGAAAAAACACCAGCTTTGGAAACAACCCAAAGGCTGGTTTCTACGGAAACAAGTGTTGAAGTTGCGCAAGTTGAGGTCCACGACACCATTAAAGATCTCCACATCAGACCGGAGCAACCACAAGAAAAATCCCAAACCTCATTTGTAGAACACAAATCTTACGAGTCTCAGCAACCATTTGCTGTCGAAGTTGAGGAAGAATATGTAGACCAAACAGGCAAGCCAAATAAATTGACAGCCAACGAAGTGGTCAAAGATGTCTCAACATCTTTGGAAATTAGGGACACCGAGCCCATGGAATCCCTTCAAGACATGTCCAGTAAGAAATCAGATCTGTCCCAAAAGGCAACGGACAAACTAGTGTTTGTGGAAGGTTTTCAAACCACTCAAGCCGATTTACAGAGTCCCTTGGATGAATTAAGGGCAACATTCCCGACTGGACAAGGCAAACAGGCCGAAATGCGACTACAGGAATTAACTCATCTAGTCGAAAAAGAGGTATTTATTGAAGAAGCTAAACCCCAAGATTTACATGTACCACATGCATTAGTGGCAAGGGCTGACCTGCAAGGAGAACTGCCCCATTTGGTAAGTCACGAGGTCACCACAACTCTGATCAGTGAAAAGAGTCAAGAGTTAATAGTACCCGAAGTAGACATGAGGGCCGCACCCAAACAAACTTTGGGTGGAGCCCTTACAACAGTAGGCGAAACACAACATGAGCAAATTTTGGACACCGTAGTGGAACATGGCTTTGAACTTCCTGCACTGCAAAAAGGCAAGGCCAATGTGGAGGGTACCACAGTAGTGGCCGATGTGCTACAAGTTTTAACTCAAGAAAAAGAAACAACACTGGAAACCACTGAGCCCAAGCTTTTGAGTCCCCTTGAGGCCTACGTCATGGAAAATGTCAGCGCTTTAACTATTTCATCTCAGCAAACTGTCGAAAAAGAAGAAACCCTCAAGCCCTTCGAAACGCCAAAGCTGCAAAAGGCTGGCGAGCATTCAACATTGCACGACTTGAAGGCACCCAATGTTGAATTGGTACAAACTGAAATGACCACCAAACCGTTGGAATTCCAACCATCCGAGCCAATCCAGGCTCAAAGACATGTAGACGCCACACATGCAAGCCTTACTTACGCCACTACTATGCTGGAGTCCGATACTGCAATGCCAGCTATTGACAAGGCAAAAGAAATCAAAATCCAACCCAGCATTGCGGAGAATTCTGTGAATTTGGAAATTTATGAAATAAACATCTCAGAAAGCTTAGCTGGACAGCCCGGATTGGAACAGCCTCTTGCCCACCGAGCATCCGTACAACAAAATGAACAAAAACTAAAATATGTGGAAACTTTGGAATCGATGATTTTAGAGACATCTGAGGCTTCGCACATGAATGTGGAATATGAAAAGCCCACCGCAACACAGTATCTTGCCCCACAGCATGCTGTGCAAGAGATGGTCCAAACTATAATGGATTTGCCTGGCCACATGCCAGACATTAAGGGGCCAGAAATGCAACAACCTCAGGGGAACATTGAGGTTACACACGCCTTGGACACCATGGAAATACCGGTGCACGACAAGGAAAGTATACTCCATATACCAGAACAACCTTCAATCAGGGAAGCTACGTTGGGCGCCACAAAACTCTTGCAAATCGCCGAAACATTTACCGCTCAAACTGTAGAAAATTCGCAACGTCTTGTTCCTCATGAATCGAACGAACAAACGGCTTCAGCCACTGTAGACAGTGAAATCATACCAGCCCTTAGTAGCGAAATGCAAGATTTAGAGTCAGTAGCTGCCTACGACAGTAGTGCTCCTCTAAAATCCATGGCCATAAGTAATATTTCTCTACAGGAATATCATGGCGCCTTGGATGTGGCAGAAGTAAATGTCAGCGACAAGGAAGTGCTGAAGGCCGACATGAAAATACCCCATGAAACAATGGCAGAAACTAGACTCACGTCTGAACTTTTCAAATCCGTTCAAGTCAAAAAGGAACTAATATTTGAAGTTCCGGAAAAATTCGATGGAATACCCTCCTTGGAAACCCAAGGCCAACATATTGGAATTGAGAAGCTACAGGAAATTTCTATTAACTCTGTAAATTTCTATGAAAGAGAGGAGGATTTAAGTGCAAAGGAAATGCAAGCACCACAAGAGGCTCAAGTGGTTCTCAAACCGCAATCACAGTTAGCCCTGTCTCAGAAGGAAGAAGTCCTGGAAACTTCCGATGACTACAAGCCCCAAGGAATTAGCCATGACTCTGCCCAGCTCATCGTACAAGAGGGCCATCTAAAGTTGCCCCTCAAAGCGGGAATTCTGCAACAAGACTCCACCTCAGCATTGGAGCCATTTAAAACGACAGTTGTACACGCTAAATTAAGCAGTGATATTTTGAGGGAGACCACAACGGAACAAACATTGGTATTAGAAAGCACCACGTCGAAAGAGCACGGTGAAAAACAAAAGGAGGAACACCTGACGACGACATTACATGAAAGTCCAAGACATGCCTTTGAAGAAACCAGCGATCAAATTATGGAGCTCGAAGCCAAGCTAAATCTTGCCACATGGACAAAGGAAAAAGTTGCTCAATCCTCTATAACGGATACCTTTAATTTACCTTTGTCGTCAAAGCCTAAAATATTGGAAAGCATTGCAGATATAAATGAGGTGGAGGAAGAGAAACGAACAGCCAAGCAAACAAGTGATGAACGATCTCTGCTTCTGGGCATGGTGGACAGACCAGAAGTCCTTGAAAGCGTGGGCGACATTGCTGACGAAACTATACCACAAACTTCCGAGGCCAAAGTCCAACATGTCTTCGATCAAGCCATTGTAGTGGATGCTTGTGAGGCAGCAGAATCGGAAGGCGTTTTAGAAACTGAGAAGCCAGCTCTCCTTTCCACATCTAAAGCGTCGAGTGTTCAACAACTAATTCTGCCACTGGTGGAGGAGATAAAAACTCAAGAAGCCACTCAAGATGCTGCTGTCGTGGCACTTAGCACCATCACAGCAACATCAAATATTGAGGGATCTCAAAAGGAAATTGTGGTGACCGAAACACTGTGTCTGGAAAAGTCTGAGAAATTAACAGAACCGAAGCAGAATATTGTCCAGGCAGCTAACACGAGTGTGGCGGAACACTTCAAAATCACACAAACCGAAACCTTACAAGATACGCTGCTCAAAGAGATGAGAATTATAGAAGATTTACCAAACGAGGAAAAACCAAAGACATTTATCGAAGGAATGTTCCGCGAAACCATTAGCACAAAACCTATGGCTTTCGAAGAGGCAACACATTTGGAAACGCCGCAAGTTTCCACAAACTTGGCTAAACCGCTGACACAGGATGCAGTGAATCAGTCTCTGATGCAGCAACTTGATACCGCAATGCACAAGGAAACTGAACTTCAACCATTCACAGAAGAAAAGTTACAGGCCAAGCCCAAACTACAGCCAACAAATGAGGAACTGGTAATAGAGGAAATAAAGACTTTGGAAGAAGTAGAGAAATTTGACACATCACCTGCTCCGGATCACAAGGCTCAAACTGCGTTTACGGACACTCCGACGAAAATTCAAACAATCAATTCAACTATTGTTTTGGAAAAAGAATCTCAAATGCCGTGTGAAATGCCAAGGACCGAACTGGTCTTGGGAGCTACAAGATCTCCAGAACAGCTGGAAAAAACGGTGTCCGAAGTTGTGACCTATGAAGAAGCAGTTCCAATCAAAGATATTCCAAAAGTGGACGAACAAATAGCCTTAATTTCAACAAATGAGACAACGCAGCAAATACCTCAAATATCGACAGAACACATTTTTAACAAAGAATCTCACATGGAACCCTTCCACATGGGACAAGAGAAGGCAGATGTAGTTCAGGACAAACTCAAAGCCTTAATAGCCGAAGAAAATATAGGCATCAGCACCATAACTGAATCGTACGACTTTAAGAAGCAAACAGGGGTTTATCCCAAAGTGGTGGAGGACAGTAGCAAACTTCAAGCTCAAACCGTTGAAGCCATCATTGCCTATGAAGATACGCCGAAGCTTGCATCCTTGCCCCAAATCTTCGAACAAGCCGTTAAAATAGACTCGGAAAACAAGAATTTGCTCCAAACCTCCACCGTTCAAATATACGAAAGTTTGGCAGATGAAAGTGGCGATTTTAAGCCTAAAACGGGTAGGACAACCTCATCCATTGCACTACCGGAACTGAAGGCCAGCATCACTGAACAAATCATAACAGACACCGGCATTGGTTCTGTACCACAGGAAGCTCCACAAAAGAGTCATACCCAACCAATCGAAACACCACTCAGCTCGGAAAATCTAACCACCCAAACGGTTACCGCATTCGAAAGCACACTAAAAATGTCCGAAACAGAAGACACAAAACCACACCAAGCTCACATTGCATTGGCTGAAACCACACACCAGCTGGCGACAAAACTAGACCTAACAACCAGCCAAGATGTAGCACAGATGGCATTGGAAACGCTACAATTACAGCAACCTCTTGAAAAAATCCACACACAGAGTATGTATCTCAATGAAACCGAAACAATTCCTACCGAAAATACACACGCACTCGAACCACCACAAACCCCAATGGCGCAGGAAGCCAAAGCAACTCCCATTACACCCAATCAAACATACAGCACAAGCACTGTAGTCGCCTACGACCAAACAGAAACCATAACAACACCCGAACTTCAGAACACCCAACCAAACACGAACAGACTTGAGGCCCACTGCGCAGCCCTCAACACCACACACGTCACTGGTGACACACTAACTCCCATTTCCGAACAATTGAAAACGACAACACACTCGGCCCGCACCAACATTGAACCCACACAACCAATGCACGAACTCTTCTCCCAACAATTGCTAGAGAAAGAAACACAGCTACCCGAAAGCACATTTCCTCAAAGCAAATCACTTATAGTTGGCTCCCAGCCAGAGCAGCTATTGCAAACCGCTATCACAAACACGGTTCACACTTCCACAGCCACGTCCAGAGACCACGAACTTCCACCAGAAAAGCCTTTAGCAAATACTGTTCTTAATATTGTAAACTTTTCAGAATATCTCACAGCAGATACCATACATTCTCATCCACTCACAGAAATTACAGAGTCACACGACGATGTCGATTCGTCATCGATCAAAACTCCCCAAACGCCATACACGGTAACTGAGCTTTTCGGTAAGTATATAGTCCCTAGAAAACATAGAGCGTAGTTGAAACATGGCGTAATACTTTTAAAGACCCCCAACATTCGAAACCAACAACAACAACAAAACACATAATACACAATTAATAAAGCAACAAAAACAACACGAACAACTTATAACCAAACTAACCCTCCTAACATTTTATTATACAGATACAACACAAACATCATCCCAACACACACCATCCGAACACACAGAAACACACGAAAAATCACAAGAACAAATAACAGAGCTTCCCGAAGAAATACGTGAAGTAGAAACAATAGCAGAGGACGGCAAACCACGGAAGAAGAAGATTCGCACCCGTGTAATCAAGAAGATCAGGGGTGGCAAACAGGAACTAACAAAGATTGAAACCGTCGAAGAGGACAATAAACCGACTGAAACTACTGTTACAATTGAAGAGAACACGGTTGATTCAACTGAAGATCTGGTACAAGAACTCCCCGAAGAAGTACGCGTCTTCGAAACAGTGTCTGAAGATGGCAAACCTAAAAAGAAAAAGATCCGCACTCGTGTGATCAAGAAGGTCAAGGGTGACAAGCAAGAAGTCACCAAGATCGAAACTGTCGAAGAAGATGACAAACAACCCAAAACCACAGTCACTGTCGAAGAGGTTCCAGTTGAGGAGAAACCTCAAGAAATCCAAGAACTCCCTGAGGAAGTACGTGTCATTGAGACAGTGTCCGAAGATGGCAAACCTAAAAAGAAAAAGATCCGCACTCGTGTGATCAAGAAGGTCAAGGGTGACAAGCAAGAAGTCACCAAGATCGAAACTGTCGAAGAAGATGACAAACAACCCAAAACCACAGTCACTGTCGAAGAGGTTCCTGTTGAGGAGAAACCTCAAGAAATCCAAGAACTCCCTGAGGAAGTACGTGTCATTGAGACAGTGTCCGAAGATGGCAAACCCAAGAAGAAGAAGATCCGCACTCGTGTGATCAAGAAGGTCAAGGGTGACAAGCAAGAAGTCACCAAGATCGAGACTGTCGAAGAAGATGACAAACAACCCGAAACCACAGTCACAGTCGAAGAGGTTCCAGTTGAGGAGAAACCTCAAGAAATCCAAGAACTCCCTGAGGAGGTACATGTCATTGAGACAGTGTCCGAAGATGGCAAACCCAAGAAGAAGAAGATCCGCACTCGTGTGATCAAGAAGGTCAAGGGTGACAAGCAAGAAGTCACCAAGATCGAGACTGTCGAAGAAGATGACAAACAACCCGAAACCACAGTCACAGTCGAAGAGGTTCCAGTTGAGGAGAAACCTCAAGAAATCCAAGAACTCCCTGAGGAGGTACATGTCATTGAGACAGTGTCCGAAGATGGTAAACCCAAGAAGAAAAAGATCCGCACTCGTGTGATCAAGAAGGTCAAGGGTGACAAGCAAGAAGTCACCAAGATCGAAACTGTCGAAGAAGATGAAAAGCAACCTGAAACCACAGTCACCGTCGAAGAGGTTCCAGTTGAGGAGAAACCTAAAGAAGTCCAAGAGTATCCTGAAGAAGTACGTGTCATTGAGACAGTGTCCGAAGATGGCAAACCCAAGAAGAAGAAGATCCGCACTCGTGTGATCAAGAAGGTCAAGGGTGACAAGCAAGAAGTCACCAAGATCGAAACTGTCGAAGAAGATGACAAGCAACCTGAAACCACAGTCACTGTCGAAGAGGTTCCAGTTGAGGAGAAACCTAAAGAAGTCCAAGAATATCCTGAAGAAGTACGCGTCATTGAGACAGTGTCCGAAGATGGCAAACCCAAGAAGAAGAAGATCCGCACTCGTGTGATCAAGAAGGTCAAGGGTGACAAGCAAGAAGTCACCAAGATCGAGACTGTCGAAGAAGATGACAAACAACCCGAAACCACAGTCACAGTCGAAGAGGTTCCAGTTGAGGAGAAACCTCAAGAAGTCCAAGAACTTCCTGAAGAAGTACGTGTCATTGAGACAGTGTCCGAAGATGGCAAACCCAAGAAGAAGAAGATCCGCACTCGTGTGATCAAGAAAGTCAAGGGTGACAAGCAAGAAGTCACGAAGATCGAGACTGTCGAAGAAGATGACAAGAAACCTGAAACCACAGTCACTGTCGAAGAGGTTCCAGTTGAGGAGAAGCCTGAGGAAGTCCAAGAGCTTCCTGAAGAAGTACGCGTCATTGAGACAGTGTCCGAAGATGGTAAACCCAAGAAAAAGAAGATCCGCACTCGTGTGATCAAGAAGGTCAAGGGTGATAAACAAGAAGTTACCAAGATCGAGACTGTCGAAGAAGATGACAAACAACCCGAAACAACTGTCACTGTCGAAGAGGTTCCAGTTGAAGAAAAACCTGAAGAAGTCCAAGAGCTTCCTGAAGAAGTACGTGTCATTGAGACAGTGTCCGAAGATGGTAAACCCAAGAAGAAGAAGATCCGCACTCGTGTGATCAAGAAGGTCAAGGGTGATAAACAAGAAGTCACCAGAATCGAGACCGTCGAAGAAGATGACAAGCACCCTGAAACCAAAGTCACTGTCGAAGAGGTTCCAGTTGAGGAGAAACCTCAAGAAGTCGAAGAACTTCCTGAAGAAGTACGTGTCATTGAGACAGTGTCCGAAGATGGTAAACCCAAGAAGAAGAAGATCCGCACTCGTGTGATCAAGAAGGTCAAGGGTGATAAACAAGAAGTCACCAAGATCGAAACTGTCGAAGAAGATGACAAACAACCTGAAACCACAGTCACTGTCGAGGAGGTTCCAGTTGAAGAGAAACCTGAAGAAGTCCAAGAGCTTCCTGAAGAAGTACGCGTCATTGAGACAGTGTCCGAAGATGGCAAACCCAAGAAAAGGAAAATCCGCACTCGTGTGATCAAAAAGGTCAAGGGTGACAAGCAAGAAGTCACCAAAATCGAAACTGTCGAGGAAGATGACAAACAACCCGAAACCACAGTCACTGTCGAGGAGGTTCCAGTTGAAGAGAAACCTGAAGAAGTCCAAGAGCTTCCTGAAGAAGTACGCGTCATTGAGACAGTGTCCGAAGATGGCAAACCCAAGAAGAAGAAGATCCGCACTCGTGTGATCAAAAAGGTCAAGGGTGACAAGCAAGAAGTCACCAAAATCGAAACTGTCGAGGAAGATGACAAACAACCCGAAACCACAGTCACTGTCGAGGAGGTTCCAGTTGAGGAGAAACCTAAAGAAGTCCAAGAGCTTCCTGAAGAGGTACGTGTCATTGAGACAGTGTCCGAAGATGGTAAACCCAAGAAGAAGAAGATCCGCACCCGTGTGATCAAGAAGGTCAAGGGTGATAAACAAGAAGTCACCAAAATCGAGACTGTCGAAGAAGATGACAAGCACCCTGAAACCACAGTCACTGTCGAAGAGGTTCCAGTTGAGGAGAAACCTCAAGAAGTCCAAGAACTTCCTGAAGAAGTACGTGTCATTGAGACAGTGTCCGAAGATGGTAACCCCAAGAAGAAGAAGATCCGCACTCGTGTGATCAAGAAGGTCAAGGGTAATAAACAAGAAGTCACCAAGATCGAGACTGTCGAAGAAGATGACAAACAACCCGAAACCACTGTCACTGTCGAAGAGGTTCCAGTTGAAGAGAAACCTGAAGAAGTCCAAGAGCTTCCTGAAGAAGTACGTGTCATTGAGACAGTGTCCGAAGATGGTAAGCCCAAGAAGAAGAAGATACGCACTCGTGTGATCAAGAAGGTCAAGGGTGACAAGCAAGAAGTCACCAAGATCGAGACTATCGAAGAAGATGACAAACAACCTGAAACCACAGTCACTGTGGAAGAGGTTCCAGTTGAGGAGAAACCTGAAGAAGTCCAAGAGCTTCCTGAAGAAGTACATGTCATTGAGACAGTGTCCGAAGATGGTAAACCCAAGAAGAAGAAGATCCGCACTCGTGTAATCAAGAAGGTCAAGGGTGATAAACAAGAAGTCACCAAGATCGAGACTGTCGAAGAAGATGACAAACAACCTGAAACCACAGTCACTGTCGAAGAGGTTCCAGTTGAGGAGATACCTGAAGAAGTCCAAGAGCTTCCTGAAGAAGTACGTGTCATTGAGACAGTGTCCGAAGATGGTAAACCCAAGAAGAAGAAGATCCGCACTCGTGTGATCAAGAAGGTCAAGGGTGATAAACAAGAAGTCACCAAGATAGAGACTGTCGAAGAAGATGACAAACAACCTGAAACCACAGTCACTGTGGAAGAGGTTCCAGTTGAGGAGAAACCTAAGGCAGTCCAAGAGCTTCATGAAGAAGTACGTGTCATTGAAACAGTGTCCGAAGATGGCAAACCCAAGAAGAAGAAGATCCGCACTCGTGTGATCAAGAAGGTCAAGGGTGACAAGCAAGAAGTCACCAAGATCGAGACTGTCGAAGAAGATGACAAGCAACCTGAAACCACAGTCACTGTAGAAGAGGTTCCAGTTGACGAGAAACCTGAAGAAGTCCAAGAGCTTCCTGAAGAAGTACGTGTCTTTGAAACAGTGTCCGAAGATGGCAAACCCAAGAAGAAGAAGATCCGCACTCGTGTGATCAAGAAGGTCAAGGGTGACAAGCAAGAAGTCACCAAGATCGAGACTGTCGAAGAAGATGACAAGCAACCTGAAACCACAGTCGCCGTCGAAGAGGTTCCAGTTGAGGAGAAACCTGAAGAAATCCACGAGCTTCCTGAAGAAGTACGTGTCATTGAGACAGTGTCCGAAGATGGTAAACCCAAGAAGAAGAAGATCCGCACTCGTGTGATCAAGAAGGTCAAGGGTGATAAACAAGAAGTCACCAAGATCGAGACTGTCGAAGAAGATAACAAGCAACCTGAAACCACAGTCACCGTCGAAGAGGTTCCAGTTGAGGAGAAACCTGAAGAAATCCACGAGCTTCCTGAAGAAGTACGTGTCATTGAGACAGTGTCCGAAGATGGTAAACCCAAGAAGAAGAAGATCCGCACTCGTGTGATCAAGAAGGTCAAGGGTGACAAGCAAGAAGTTACCAAGATCGAGACTGTCGAAGAAGATAACAAGCAACCTGAAACCACAGTCACCGTCGAAGAGGTTCCAGTTGAGGAGAAACCTGAAGAAATCCACGAGCTTCCTGAAGAAGTACGTGTCATTGAGACAGTGTCCGAAGATGGTAAACCCAAGAAGAAGAAGATCCGCACTCGTGTGATCAAGAAGGTCAAGGGTGACAAGCAAGAAGTTACCAAGATCGAGACTGTCGAAGAAGATAACAAGCAACCTGAAACCACAGTCACCGTCGAAGAGGTTCCAGTTGAGGAGAAACCTGAAGAAATCCAAGAGCTTCCTGAAGAAGTACGTGTCATTGAGGCAGTGTCCGAAGATGGTAAACCCAAGAAGAAGAAGATCCGCACTCGTGTGATCAAGAAGGTCAAGGGTGGCAAGCAAGAAGTTACCAAGATCGAGACTGTCGAAGAAGATAACAAGCAACCTGAAACCACAGTCACCGTCGAAGAGGTTCCAGTTGAGGAGAAACCTGAAGAAATCCACGAGCTTCCTGAAGAAGTACGTGTCATTGAGACAGTGTCCGAAGATGGTAAACCCAAGAAGAAGAAGATCCGCACTCGTGTGATCAAGAAGGTCAAGGGTGACAAGCAAGAAGTCACCAAGATCGAGACTGTCGAAGAAGATGATAAACAACCCGAAACTACAGTCACTGTCGAGGAACTTCCAGTTGAGGAGAAACCAGAAGAAGTCCAAGAACTTCCTGAAGAAGTACGTGTCATTGAGACAGTTTCCGAAGATGGTAAACCCAAGAAGAAGAAGATCCGCACTCGTGTGATTAAGAAGGTCAAGGGTGACAAGCAAGAAGTCACCAAGATCGAGACTGTCGAAGAAGATGACAAACAACCCGAAACTACAGTCACTGTCGAAGAACTTCCAGCTGAGGAGAAACCAGAAGAAGTCCAAGAACTTCCTGAAGAAGTACGTGTCATTGAGACAGTGTCCGAAGATGGTAAACCCAAGAAGAAGAAGATCCGCACTCGTGTGATCAAGAAGGTCAAGGGTGATAAACAAGAAGTCACCAAGATCGAGACTGTCGAAGAAGATAACAAGCAACCTGAAACCACAGTCACCGTTGAAGAGGTTCCATTTGAGGAGAAACCTGAAGAAATCCACGAGCTTCCTGAAGAAGTACGTGTCATTGAGACAGTGTCCGAAGATGGCAAACCCAAGAAGAAGAAGATCCGCACTCGTGTGATCAAGAAGGTCAAGGGTGACAAGCAAGAAGTTACCAAGATCGAAACTGTCGAGGAAGATAACAAGCAACCTGAAACCACAGTCACCGTCGAAGAGGTTCCAGTTGAGGAGAAACCTAAAGAAATCCACGAGCTTCCTGAAGAAGTACGTGTCATTGAGACAGTGTCCGAAGATGGTAAACCCAAGAAGAAGAAGATCCGCACTCGTGTGATCAAGAAGGTCAAGGGTGACAAGCAAGAAGTCACCAAGATCGAAACTGTCGAAGAAGATGACAAACAACCCGAAACTACAGTCACTGTGGAAGAGGTTCCAGTTGAGGAGAAACCTGAGGACGTGCAAGAGCTTCCTGAAGAAGTACGTGTCTTTGAAACAGTGTCCGAAGATGGCAAACCCAAGAAGAAGAAGATCCGCACTCGTGTGATCAAGAAGGTCAAGGGTGACAAGCAAGAAGTCACCAAGATCGAGACTGTCGAAGAAGATGACAAACAACCCGAAACTACAGTCACTGTCGAAGAACTTTCAGTTGAGGAGAAACCAGAAGAAGTCCAAGAACTTCCTGAAGAAGTACGTGTCATTGAGACAGTGTCCGAAGATGGTAAACCCAAGAAGAAGAAGATCCGCACTCGTGTGATCAAGAAGGTCAAGGGTGATAAACAAGAAGTCACCAAGATCGAGACTGTCGAAGAAGATAACAAGCAACCTGAAACCACAGTCACCGTCGAAGAGGTTCCATTTGAGGAGAAACCTGAAGAAGTCCACGAGCTTCCTGAAGAAGTACGTGTCATTGAGACAGTGTCCGAAGATGGCAAACCCAAGAAGAAGAAGATCCGCATTCGTGTGATCAAGAAGGTCAAGGGTGACAAGCAAGAAGTCACCAAGATCGAGACTGTCGAAGAAGATGACAAGCAACCCGAAACCACAGTCACTGTCGAGGAGGTTTCAGTTGAGGAGAAACCTGAAGAAGTCCAAGAGCTTCCTGAAGAAGTACGTGTCATTGAGACATTGTCCGAAGATGGCAAACCCAAGAAGAAGAAGATCCGCACTCGTGTGATCAAGAAGGTCAAGGGTGACAAGCAAGAAGTTACCAAGATCGAGACTGTCGAAGAAGATGACAAACAACCCGAAACTACAGTCACTGTGGAAGAGATTTCAGTTGAGGAGAAACCAGAAGAAGTCCAAGAGCTTCCTGAAGAAGTACGTGTCTTTGAAACAGTGTCCGAAGATGGCAAACCCAAGAAGAAGAAGATCCGCACTCGTGTGATCAAGAAGGTCAAGGGTGACAAGCAAGAAGTCACCAAGATCGAAACTGTCGAAGAAGATGACAAACAACCCGAAACTACAGTCACTGTGGAAGAGGTTCCAGTTGAGGAGAAACCTGAGGAAGTGCAAGAGCTTCCTGAAGAAGTACGTGTCATTGAGACAGTGTCCGAAGATGGTAAACCCAAGAAGAAGAAGATCCGCACTCGTGTGATCAAGAAGGTCAAGGGTGACAAGCAAGAAGTCATCAAGATCGAAACTGTCGAAGAAGATGACAAACAACCCGAAACTACAGTCACTGTCGAAGAACTTCCGGTTGAGGAGAAACCAGAAGAAGTCCAAGAACTTCCTGAAGAAGTACGTGTCATTGAGACAGTGTCCGAAGATGGCAAACCCAAGAAGAAGAAGATCCGCACTCGTGTGATCAAGAAGGTCAAGGGTGACAAGCAAGAAGTCACCAAGATCGAGACTGTCGAAGAAGATGACAAGCAACCCGAAACCACAGTCACTGTCGAGGAGGTTCCATTTGAGGAGAAACCTGAAGAAGTCCAAGAGCTTCCTGAAGAAGTACGTGTCATTGAGACAGTGTCCGAAGATGGTAAACCCAAGAAGAAGAAGATCCGCACTCGTGTGATCAAGAAGGTCAAGGGTGACAAGCAAGAAGTCACCAAGATCGAGACTGTCGAAGAAGATGACAAGCAACCCGAAACCACAGTCACTGTCGAGGAGGTTGCAGTTGAGGAGAAACCTGAAGAAGTTCAAGAGATTCCTGAGGAAGTACGTGTCATTGAGACAGTGTCGGAAGATGGCAAACCCAAGAAGAAGAAGATCCGCACTCGTGTGATCAAGAAGGTCAAGGGTGACAAGCAAGAAGTCACCAAGATCGAGACTGTCGAAGAAGATGACAAGCAACCCGAAACCACAGTCACTGTCGAGGAGGTTCCATTTGAGGAGAAACCTGAGGAAGTGCAAGAGCTTCCTGAAGAAGTACGTGTCATTGAGACATTGTCGGAAGATGGCAAACCCAAGAAGAAGAAGATCCGCACTCGTGTGATCAAGAAGGTCAAGGGTGACAAGCAAGAAGTCACCAAGATCGAAACTGTCGAAGAAGATGACAAACAACCCGAAACTACAGTCACTGTGGAAGAGGTTCCAGTTGAGGAGAAACCTGAGGAAGTGCAAGAGCTTCCTGAAGAAGTACGTGTCATTGAGACAGTGTCCGAAGATGGTAAACCCAAGAAGAAGAAGATCCGCACTCGTGTGATCAAGAAGGTCAAGGGTGACAAGCAAGAAGTCATCAAGATCGAAACTGTCGAAGAAGATGACAAACAACCCGAAACTACAGTCACTGTCGAAGAACTTCCGGTTGAGGAGAAACCAGAAGAAGTCCAAGAACTTCCTGAAGAAGTACGTGTCATTGAGACAGTGTCCGAAGATGGCAAACCCAAGAAGAAGAAGATCCGCACTCGTGTGATCAAGAAGGTCAAGGGTGACAAGCAAGAAGTCACCAAAATCGAAACTGTCGAGGAAGATGACAAGCAACCCGAAACCACAGTCACTGTCGAGGAGGTTCCATTTGAGGAGAAACCTGAAGAAGTCCAAGAGCTTCCTGAAGAAGTACGTGTCATTGAGACAGTGTCCGAAGATGGTAAACCCAAGAAGAAGAAGATCCGCACTCGTGTGATCAAGAAGGTCAAGGGTGACAAGCAAGAAGTCACCAAGATCGAGACTGTCGAAGAAGATGACAAGCAACCCGAAACCACAGTCACTGTCGAGGAGGTTGCAGTTGAGGAGAAACCTGAAGAAGTTCAAGAGATTCCTGAGGAAGTACGTGTCATTGAGACAGTGTCGGAAGATGGCAAACCCAAGAAGAAGAAGATCCGCACTCGTGTGATCAAGAAGGTCAAGGGTGACAAGCAAGAAGTCACCAAGATCGAGACTGTCGAAGAAGATGACAAGCAACCCGAAACCACAGTCACTGTCGAGGAGGTTCCATTTGAGGAGAAACCAGAAGAAGTCCAAGAGCTTCCTGAAGAAGTACGTGTCATTGAGACAGTGTCCGAAGATGGTAAACCCAAGAAGAAGAAGATCCGCACTCGTGTGATCAAGAAGGTCAAGGGTGACAAGCAAGAAGTCACCAAGATCGAGACTGTCGAAGAAGATGACAAGCAACCCGAAACCACAGTCACTGTCGAGGAGGTTCCAGTTGAGGAGAAACCTGAAGAAGTCCAAGAGCTTCCTGAAGAAGTACGTGTCATTGAGACAGTGTCCGAAGATGGCAAACCCAAGAAGAAGAAGATCCGCACTCGTGTGATCAAGAAGGTCAAGGGTGACAAGCAAGAAGTCACCAAGATCGAGACTGTCGAAGAAGATGACAAGCAACCCGAAACCACAGTCACTGTCGAAGAGGTTCCAGTTGAGGAGAAACCTGAAGAAGTCCAAGAGCTTCCTGAAGAAGTACGTGTCATTGAAACAGTGTCCGAAGATGGTAAACCCAAGAAGAAGAAGATCCGCACTCGTGTGATCAAGAAGGTCAAGGGTGACAAGCAAGAAGTCACCAAGATCGAAACTGTCGAAGAAGATGACAAACAACCCGAAACTACAGTCACTGTCGAAGAACTTCCAGTTGAGGAGAAACCAGAAGAAGTCCAAGAACTTCCTGAAGAAGTACGTGTCATTGAGACAGTGTCCGAAGATGGTAAACCCAAGAAGAAGAAGATCCGCACTCGTGTGATCAAGAAGGTCAAGGGTGACAAGCAAGAAGTTACCAAGATCGAGACTGTGGAAGAAGATGACAAGCAACCCGAAACCACAGTCACTGTCGAGGAGGTTCCAGTTGAGGAGAAACCTGAAGAAGTCCAAGAGCTTCCTGAAGAAGTACGTGTCATTGAGACAGTGTCCGAAGATGGGAAACCCAAGAAGAAGAAGATCCGCACTCGTGTGATCAAGAAGGTCAAGGGTGACAAGCAAGAAGTCACCAAGATCGAAACTGTCGAAGAAGATGACAAACAACCCGAAACTACAGTCACTGTCGAAGAACTTCCAGCTGAGGAGAAACCAGAAGAAGTCCAAGATCTTCCTGAAGAAGTACGTGTCATTGAGACAGTGTCCGAAGATGGTAAACCCAAGAAGAAGAAGATCCGCACTCGTGTGATCAAGAAGGTCAAGGGTGACAAGCAAGAAGTCACCAAGATCGAGACTGTCGAAGAAGATGATAAACAACCCGAAACCACAGTCACTGTCGAGGAGGTTCCAGTTGAGGAGAAACCTGAAGAAGTCCAAGAGCTTCCTGAAGAAGTACGTGTCATTGAGACAGTGTCGGAAGATGGCAAACCCAAGAAGAAGAAGATCCGCACTCGTGTGATCAAGAAGGTCAAGGGTGACAAGCAAGAAGTCACCAAGATCGAGACTGTCGAAGAAGATGACAAGCAACCCGAAACCACAGTCACTGTCGAAGAGGTTCCAGTTGAGGAGAAACCTGAAGAAGTCCAAGAGCTTCCTGAAGAAGTACGTGTCATTGAGACAGTGTCCGAAGATGGCAAACCCAAGAAGAAGAAGATCCGCACTCGTGTGATCAAGAAGGTCAAGGGTGACAAGCAAGAAGTTACCAAGATCGAGACTGTCGAAGAAGATGACAAGCAACCCGAAACCACAGTCACTGTCGAAGAGGTTCCAGTTGAGGAGAAACCTGAAGAAGTCCAAGAGCTTCCTGAAGAAGTACGTGTCATTGAGACAGTATCCGAAGATGGCAAACCTAAGAAGAAGAAGATCCGTACTCGTGTGATCAAGAAGGTCAAGGGCGACAAGCAAGAAGTCACCAAGATCGAGACTGTCGAAGAAGATGACAAGCAACCTGAAACCACAGTCACTGTCGAAGAGGTTGCAGTTGAGGAGAAACCTGAAGAAGTCCAAGAACTTCCTGAAGAAGTACGTGTCTTTGAAACAGTGTCCGAAGATGGCAAACCCAAGAAGAAGAAGATCCGCACTCGTGTGATCAAGAAGGTCAAGGGTGACAAGCAAGAAGTCACCAAGATCGAGACTGTCGAAGAAGATGACAAACAACCCGAAACTACAGTCACTGTGGAAGAGGTTCCAGTTGAGGAGAAACCTGAGGAAGTCCAAGAGCTTCCTGAAGAAGTACGTGTCTTTGAAACAGTGTCCGAAGATGGCAAACCAAAGAAGAAGAAGATCCGCACTCGTGTGATCAAGAAGGTCAAGGGTGACAAGCAAGAAGTCACCAAGATCGAGACTGTCGAAGAAGATGACAAGCAACCTGAAACCACAGTCACTGTCGAAGAGGTTCCAGTTGAGGAGAAACCTGAAGAAGTCCAAGAGCTTCCTGAGGAAGTACGTGTCTTTGAGACAGTGTCCGAAGATGGTAAACCCAAGAAGAAGAAGATCCGCACTCGTGTGATAAAGAAGGTCAAGGGTGACAAGCAAGAAGTTACCAAGATTGAGACTGTCGAAGAAGAAGACAAGAAACCCGAAACCACAGTCACTGTGGAAGAGGTTCCAGTTGAGGAGAAACCTGAGGAAGACCAAGAGCTTCCTGAGGAAGTACGTGTTATTGAGACAGTGTCAGAAGATGGTAAACCCAAGAAGAAGAAGATCCGCACTCGTGTAATCAAGAAGGTCAAGGGTGACAAGCAAGAAGTCACCAAGATCGAAACTGTCGAAGAAGATGACAAACAACCCGAAACTACAGTCACTGTCGAAGAGGTACCAGTTGAGGAGAAACCTGAAGAAGTTCAAGAGATTCCTGAGGAAGTACGTGTTATTGAGACTGTGTCTGAAGATGGAACACCTAAAAAGAAGAAGATCCGCACCCGTGTGATCAAGAAGGTGAAGGGTGATAAACAAGAAGTCACCAAGATCGAGACTGTCGAAGAAGATGACAAACAACCTAAATCCACAGTCACTGTGGAAGAGGTTCTAGTTGAGGAGAAACCTGAAGAAGTCCAAGAGCTTCCTGAGGAAGTACGTGTCATTGAGACAGTGTCCGAAGATGGGACACCGAAGAAGAAGAAGATCCGCACCCGTGTGATCAAGAAGGTGAAGGGTGATAAACAAGAAGTCACCAAGATCGAGACTGTCGAAGAAGATGACAAACAACCTGAAACCACAGTCACTGTGGAAGAGGTTCCAGTTGACGAGAAACCTGAAGAAGTCCAAGAGCTTCCTGAGGAAGTACGTGTCATTGAGACAGTGTCCGAAGATGGAACACCTAAGAAGAAGAAGATCCGCACTCGTGTGATCAAGAAGGTCAAGGGTGACAAGCAAGAAGTTACCAAGATCGAGACTGTCGAAGAAGATGACAAACAACCCGAAACCACAGTCACTGTCGAAGAGGTTCCAGTTGAGGAGAAACCTGAAGAAGTCCAAGAGCTTCCTGAGGAAGTACGTGTCATTGAGACAGTGTCCGAAGAGGGAACACCTAAGAAGAAGAAGATCCGCACTCGTGTGATCAAGAAGGTCAAGGGTGACAAGCAAGAACTTACCAAGATCGAGACTGTCGAAGAAGACGACAAACAACCCGAAACCACAGTCACTGTGGAAGAGGTTCCAGTTGAGGAGAAACCTGAAGAAGTCCAAGAGCTTCCTGAGGAAGTACGTGTCATTGAGACAGTGTCCCAAGATGGTAAACCTAAGAAGAAGAAGATCCGCACTCGCGTGATCAAGAAGGTCAAGGGTGACAAGCAAGAAGTTACCAAGATCGAGACTGTAGAAGAAGATGACAAACCACCTAAAACCACAGTCACTGTCGAAGAGGTTCCAGTTGAGGAGCAACCTGAAGAAGTCCAAGAGCTTCCTGAGGAAGTACGTGTCATTGAGACAGTGTCCGAAGATGGAACACCTAAGAAGAAGAAGATCCGCACTCGTGTGATCAAGAAGGTCAAGGGTGACAAGCAAGAAGTTACCAAGATCGAGACTGTCGAAGAAGATGACAAACAACCCGAAACCACAGTCACTGTCGAAGAGGTTCCAGTTGAGGAGAAACCTGAAGAAGTCCAAGAGCTTCCTGAGGAAGTACGTGTCATTGAGACAGTGTCCGAAGAGGGAACACCTAAGAAGAAGAAGATCCGCACTCGTGTGATCAAGAAGGTCAAGGGTGACAAGCAAGAACTTACCAAGATCGAGACTGTCGAAGAAGACGACAAACAACCCGAAACCACAGTCACTGTGGAAGAGGTTCCAGTTGAGGAGAAACCTGAAGAAGTCCAAGAGCTTCCTGAGGAAGTACGTGTCATTGAGACAGTGTCCCAAGATGGTAAACCTAAGAAGAAGAAGATCCGCACTCGCGTGATCAAGAAGGTCAAGGGTGACAAGCAAGAAGTTACCAAGATCGAGACTGTCGAAGAAGATGACAAACCACCCGAAACTACAGTCACTGTGGAAGAGGTTCCAGTTGAGGAGATACCTGAAGAAGTCCAAGAGCTTCCTGAGGAAGTACGTGTCATTGAGACAGTGTCCCAAGATGGCACACCTAAGAGGAAGAAGATCCGCACTCGTGTGATCAAGAAGGTCAAGGGTGACAAGCAAGAAGTTACCAAGATCGAGACTGTCGAAGAAGATGACAAACAACCTGAAACCACAGTCACTGTCGAAGAGGTTCCAGTTGAGGAGAAACTTGAAGAAGTCCAAGAGCTTCCTGAGGAAGTACGTGTCATTGAGACAGTGTCCGAAGATGGAACACCTAAGAAGAAGAAGATCCGCACTCGTGTGATCAAGAAGGTCAAGGGTGACAAGCAAGAAGTCACCAAGATCGAGACTGTCGAAGTAGATGACAAGCAACCTGAAACCACAGTGACTGTCGAAGAGGTTGCAGTTGAGGAGAAACCTGAAGAAGTCCAAGAGCTTCCTGAAGAAGTACGTGTCATTGAGACAGTGTCCAAAGATGGCACACCAAAGAAGAAGAAGATCCACACTCGTGTGATCAAGAAGGTCAAGGGTGACAAGCAAGAAGTTACTAAGATCGAGACTGTCGAAGAAGATGACAAACAACCCGAAACCACAGTCACTGTGGAAGAGGTTCCAGTTGAGGAGAAACCTGAAGAAGTCCAAGAGCTTCCTGAGGAAGTACGTGTCATTGAAACAGTGTCCGAAGATGGAACACCTAAGAAGAAGAAGATCCGCACTCGTGTGATCAAGAAGGTCAAGGGTGACAAGCAAGAAGTTACCAAGATCGAGACTGTCGAAGAAGATGACAAACAACCTGAAACCACAGTCACTGTCGAAGAGGTTCCAGTTGAGGAGAAACCTGAAGAAGTCCAAGAGCTTCCTGAGGAAGTACGTGTCATTGAGACAGTGTCCGAAGATGGAACACCTAAGAAGAAGAAGATCCGCACTCGTGTGATCAAGAAGGTCAAGGGTGACAAGCAAGAAGTTACCAAGATCGAGACTGTCGAAGAAGATGACAAACAACCTAAAACCACAGTCACTGTCGAAGAGGTTCCAGTTGAGGAGCAACCTGAAGAAGTCCAAGAGCTTCCTGAGGAAGTACGTGTCATTGAAACAGTGTCCGAAGATGGAACACCTAAGAAGAAGAAGATCCGCACTCGTGTGATCAAGAAGGTCAAGGGTGATAAACAAGAAGTTACCAAGATCGAGACTGTCGAAGAAGATGACAAACAACCTGAAACCACAGTCACTGTCGAAGAGGTTCCAGTTGAGGAAAGTCCTGAAGAAGTCGAAGAGCTTCCTGAGGAAGTACGTGTCATTGAGACAGTGTCCGAAGATGGAACACCTAAGAAGAAGAAGATCCGCACTCGTGTGATCAAGAAGGTCAAGGGTGACAAGCAAGAAGTTACCAAGATCGAGACTGTCGAAGAAGATGACAAACAACCTGAAACCACAGTCACTGTCGAAGAGGTTCCAGTTGAGGAGAAACCTGAAGAAGTCCAAGAGCTTCCTGAGGAAGTACGTGTCATTGAGACAGTGTCCGAAGATGGAACACCTAAGAAGAAGAAGATCCGCACACGTGTGATCAAGAAGGTCAAGGGTGACAAGCAAGAACTTACCAAGATCGAGACTGTCGAAGAAGATGACAAACAACCCGAAACCACAGTCACTGTGGAAGAGGTTCCAATTGAGGAGAAACCTGAAGAAGCCCAAGAGCTTCCTGAAGAAGTACGTGTCATTGAGACAGTGTCCCAAGATGGCACACCTAAGAAGAAGAAGATCCGCACTCGTGTGATCAAGAAGGTCAAGGGTGATAAACAAGAAGTCACCAAGATCGAGACTGTCGAAGAAGATGACAAACAACCCGAAACCACAGTCACTGTGGAAGAGGTTCCAATTGAAGAGAAACCTGAAGAAGTCCAAGAGCTTCCTGAGGAAGTACGTGTCATTGAGACAGTGTTAGAAGATGGAACACCTAAGAAGAAGAAGATCCGCACTCGTGTGATCAAGAAGGTCAAGGGTGACAAGCAAGAAGTCACCAAGATCGAGACTGTCGAAGAAGATGACAAACAACCCGAAACCACAGTCACTGTGGAAGAGGTTCCAATTGAGGAGAAACCTGAAGAAACCCAAGAGCTTCCTGAAGAAGTACGTGTCATTGAGACAGTGTCCCAAGATGGCACACCTAAGAAGAAGAAGATCCGCACTCGTGTGATCAAGAAGGTCAAGGGTGATAAACAAGAAGTCACCAAGATCGAGACTGTCGAAGAAGATGACAAGCACCCTGAAACCACAGTCACTGTCGAAGAGGTTCCATTTGAGGAGAAACCTCAAGAAGTCCAAGAACTTCCTGAAGAAGTACGTGTCATTGAGACAGTGTCCGAAGATGGTAAACCCAAGAAGAAGAAGATCCGCACTCGTGTGATCAAGAAGGTCAAGGGTGATAAACAAGAAGTCACCAAGATCGAGACTGTCGAAGAAGACGACAAACAACCTGAAACCACAGTCACTGTTGAAGAAGAGAAACCTAAAGAAGTTCAAGAACTCCCTGAAGAAGAACATGTCGTTGAAAGCATTTCAGAAGACGGAACTCCCAAGAAGAAGAAGATCCGTACAAAGACCACTAAAAAGGTTAGAGGTGACAAGGAAGAAACTACCACTGTGGAAACCGTTGAGGAAGAAGGTGAAAAGCCGGAAACTATTATTACTGTTGTGGAATCTTCTATTCCATCCGGTGATAATAAGCCGATTAAGCTCAAGCGCGTTATTCGCGTTAAACAGCCGGATGATGCAGAAACAATTGTGGAGTTACCAGAGCAGAAGGCTGTAATTATGTCCCAAAAAGAAGACGGCACACCTACTAAGACTGTTGTTAAAACTAAAGTGATCAAAAAATTGAAGGGAGATAAAATGGAAATTACGAAAATCAGAACTGTTGAGGAATTTGAAAAAGAACCTGTTACAACGGTCACTGTCGAAGACTTCATTGAGCCATTCCCAGAATTAGAGGAAGAAAAGGTTGAGCCCGTTTTGCAACTACCCGAGGAAACTATTACCGAAGACTACACTGACAAAGAAGGCACAACCAAAATACGCAAGATCAAGAAGAAAACTATTAAGAAGTCTCTTGGTGACAAGGACGAATTAACCGAAATTCAGATTGTTGAAGACGAAGGAGAAGAACCTAAGTATATTGTGACTGTTAAAGAAGTGGAGAAGGCCGACGTGCCGGATGAAAATGCTGTCGAATCATTAGAATTGCCCAAACTAGAAACCGTTTTTGAAACCGAATCTTCTGATGGCAAGAAAACAAAGAAAACCGTAAAAACCAGATCTTTCAAGAAACCGTTAGACAGTGAGACAGACGAACTGACGACAATACAAATAGTAGAAGACGACAAGGACGAGACTCCCGTTGCCACCGTCAACATTAAAGAAATATCCGCCGACGAATCGCCGACCGAATCAGTCCCGATTGTAGAGCTGCCTGAAGAGATTATTGAGTCACACGATATCGACGAGGATGACAAGCCCAAGAAGAAAACGACACGCAAGCGTACATTCAAGAAGGATGTATCGCCCGAACCCGAATACTACCAAATCCAAACAATAGAGGAGGAGGGCAAGGAACCCTACTCCCTCATACAGGTTGTAAGCGAAGGTGAACTTCACGACATTATCGATATCAGTCTTCTGGACGATGAAAAGACTCCGAAGACCGAAACGAAAATGCCAAAATCTAAGAAGCCCAAGGGTAAGAGCAACACAATTACACACTACACAATAACCAACAATAAATGCACTCACCTTGACACAACACATACACGCACACACACAATCACATCTGCATATTTCATCTTAACTTACACACTCGCTAGTTCGCACATATTTATGTAATCTACTTTTGGGTAACGAACTTTGATATTTTATGCCGCGCTTACTTTTTACCAATTCGAATGAGACGAACACAGTTTTGCTAACGTTTTACGTCTATTTTCCATACATTTGGACCACACCACCAAAAACAACAACAACATCAACGACACATATACACCTGCAACACAAAACCAACAAACAGAAGCTAAGCCGATACCACAACAAGAGAAGACTACGGACGAAAAGCCCGTTTTCATAACCACATTCAAATCAGTACAGAACGAAGACGGTGAAACTGTCATTGAAACAGAAAGTAAGAAGGTTACCCAAGAGGAGGGAGTGCTTGTTGAAGAAGTGCTCAGTGATACAGAACCGATCAAAGAACAAGACGAAGCAGCGCCATCACAACTCGAAATTGTCGAAGTCAGCGATGTAACAGGTAAATGTTTTCATTTTGTTATTCTCTTGTAGCCACCTTTTATGTTCATAGGGAAACGAAACGAAAGGACAGCAACAATTGACAGCCAATGAAATTTGGTTTTAAAATTAAATTAACAAAAAAACAATTGGTAGCCTTAAAAATGATATTTTCCATGTCCGAAAAACTAGTTCTTTCCAACCCCGACTCCGAGTCTTATTTGAATAAAAACTTTAGTTAGTTCTCTTAGAGACGTGTTAGAATTACACCATGCTCCCATTTAGAAATTTTCCTTTTCTTCTCTATGCACAGCATTCATGTGTTTGTATCTTCCTCTTCTTCTATATCTATAAAAGAGGAAAATGTTTGTTTGTAATAGATGGACTCGAAAACCACCGCACAGATTTTCTGAAAACTTCCAAGTACACTACAAAATTGTCTGAATGTAACATGTGCTATATACATTTTCGAAAATCCACCTGGAAGTGGAAATATAGCATCAGAATCGGTGGTGCCTTCCAAAAATTTAGATTTTATATGCACATATGTATTGATCGATTACAGTCTCCAAATTTGAAATGCGTAACCGAATGTGAAACAAAACTACATTTGCCAAATTATATTTAAATCAGTTCAGATTTGGATATAGCTCCGGCATGAGTGACTAAATTAGGTACAAAAATAAATTTGTCAAATTCAAGTTATATTCAAATCGGTTCAGATTAATCAGATATATATTACAACGTGCCAAATTTGGACTATATCGGTTACTTTCTTCACTTTATATGAGATATGTGATAACGTTTTGGAAAATGTTGAAATATGCGTGAGGCAACAGATATAGCTTTTCCAAACTTTATCTAATACAGATAAAAATATTGGTATGTGCAAAATTTGAAGGAAATCGAACATTTATGCCCAATTGTATGCGAAATCATCAATTTCGATAAATCACATATTCATATCAGATTTTTGGTTAAGAACAATATTTAGATATAGCAAGTTGTAAAGAATCACCTACTTGTTTCGCAAGTTACAACAGATATAAGTATTGCAAATTGTGACCCTTTGTGGGCGAAGTACCAGAAGGTGTTGTCAGATATACATATATCATCTTAACAACAGATCTAGTGTTAATAAAAATAATGGGATGTGTGAAATATGAAGAGAATCGGATGCTTATTTCGGATTTTAGAATCGTTTTGGTTATCCAAAACTTTGACCCTTCGTGGGGGAGGTACCAGAAGGAATGGTCCGATATCTACCATCTTTATAACAGATCTTGTGTTGATGGAAATATTGCGATGTGCCAAGTCTGAATGGAATCGGATATTAATTTCGTGTTTATGGGCTTCATGGATATTCAAAATGTTGACCCTTTGTGGGGTAGGTACCAGAAGGAGTGGACCGATATGTTCCATCTTCACACCAGACCTTGGATCAATAAAAAGGTTGTGATGTGTAATTTGAAGACAATTGGCCTCTTATATCGCATTTTATAAGAATTATAATTATTTAACCCTTTGTTGGGGAAGGTATTTGATGGAGTGGACCGTCCATTTTCGCACCTGACCTAGCACTGATGCAAATATTAGGATTTGCAGAGTTGGAGCAAAATTGGATTATGGATTAAAAATGTTAACATTTTTTGGGGGAGGTACCAGAAGGAGTGGACCGATATCGCCCATCTCCGAACTCGATCTAAGTTTAGTAATAATATTACGAAGTACCAAGTTTGAATCAAATCGGATACTCCCTTCGAGAGTTATCGTGCGCAACAGCTAGCCAGACAGACGGACATCGCTAAATCGACTCCAAATATCCTAAAATGGATTCGGTACAAAGAGATCTAAGGTCTAAAACCGTTAATTCGATGAGCAAATTTTGGCCTTATCAATTGATATATACCTTCTCTAGCCAGAATATAATAATTTTAAATTTCAAATAAATAACGAAACGTCGAATAAAAATGAAATAAAATCTCATTTTCATTTAAAAATAATCTAACCAAAAAAGCACGATAAAAACCAGTAATAAATAATTAAAATTGGTCGAAATCAAAATAGAACGACCTTTAATTATCCTCTACCATTTGGAAGGAAAAAATGAAACCATTATATGGGTACTACACGAAGACTTGGACCTACTTACGCTAGATCGTCTTAGAATTTTACGCTGATCCAGATCCAGTCTATTATGAATATTTCGAGGAGTTACAAATGGAATGATAAAGCTAATATATCCTCCATAGGATGGTGGAGGGTATAAAACGTCAAATGAAAAAGCATATGTGAACTAAATATTTTTCATTTCACATTGTCATGTTAAAAGAATCTAACCCCAGGACTTATTGATAAAAAGTATGAAAATCAATAATTTTGCTTTTAATTTAAAGCAGGATTTCAATGGGGGAGGTTAAAATACCTCCATGGAAAATATCATTTTTTGGCTATACATATATGTGTTTATTTGGACAAAATTTGTAAATATCTTACAAAGTGTAACAAGGGTGTCAAACAAACTACAAGCCAATTTATTCAAATTCAACGATACAAGTTCATACTTTCAATATTCCTACTTCAATATCATACTCTACGCATAAAGTGGAAAATTGCCGAAGACATAACATTTCGTGTAGGCGGAATGGAAAACATTCCAACAACAAATTATTTTCGTGATATTTTTTCTTTGTTTATATTAGCTGTTTAAAAAAAATTTACTAATTACAAATTCCCAATCCTGAGTAAGACAATTTTAGACATTTTTTTAGCATTTTTGTTGTCTATTAGAAATGGTGAATATACAGGGTGAGATAAAAAAAACTGCAACAAAGTCAAACGCATAATTTTTACATTTTTTTTTTTTAATTTTATTGAATGAAAGCAAAAAATGTCGGAAATAGCATCAAATTTTAGAATAAGTTTAGATTTGTTCGAATTTGGTCACCTTTGGCAGGAATTATTACCTTCAGATGCCCAATGAAACCGTCACACGCTACCCGAATGTTGCTCTGCGGTATTTTGGCCCATTCCCGGCGAAGCGCTTGCTTGAGGTGATCGACACTTTGTTATTTTTTAGTGCCTACCTTACTTCGAAAAAATACTCCTGACATAATAGTCCAACGGATTGATATCCGGAGATTTTGGTAGTCATTGTGCGCTGGAAATGAAGCGAGGAACCTCATTTTGTAACCATTCTTGGGTGGCGCGCGCTGAGTGCGTTGGTGCTGAGTCCTGTTGGAATGCCCAAGGTCTACGGCCAAATGTTTGCGTGCCCAAGGTCGCTTTAATACACCCTCCATAACATTTTCGCGATAATATTCGGCATTTATTCTGATGCCACGGTCGATTAATACAAGCGGAAAGCGACAATCGGCAGTTGGCGGCCCACACCATCACCATGGCCGGCGCTTGAGTTTTTGTGGCCAACCGAAGGTGCACATTTTCTGCTGACCTTTACAAACTGCTGGACAACGAATATTTTCTCATCGTAGAAAACCTAATTCGGTAGTTCACCACTTTCGGCCAAGCGAAGCAACTCTTTAGCTCTTTAGAGTCTATTTTCTTGCTGTTGCGGTGTAAGTTCTCGCACTTTTTGGAATTTCAATGGCTTTACCCCAAGCTCATTTTCCAATATTTGACGAATGGAATATTGAGATATGTTCAGCTCACAAGCCATTTTTCAAGCACTGCGATGCGGGTACTTTCCGCAACCATTTCTGCTGATGTTGCTGTTTTCTTCCGTCCACTTTCTTGACGTCGGGCTACGCTACCAGTAACACGGTTACGAGCGATGTTACGAGACACAAAAGTTTCATTTACATTTAAATGCTGGAGTGCTCTAACGATAGCTGGTTTTCCAACCAAATATAAAGAAATCATACTATCACCCTTGAATTCCATCACAAATAACATTTTTCTGGAAAATTCCCACCAAAATGCATTTGTACGCTTGTTAACAATATAATCAACTGTCACTGGAATAATTTTAACAGCTGTCGGACGAGTGGCTTAGAAATGACAGCAGTCTGAAGTTGGTTGCAGTTTTTTCATCTCACCATATATATATATACATATAGACATATATGTATATATATATATTGTTTTTCACATTGAAATTTAGCATGGGAAACAAAAATTGAAAATATAACTTAAATAATTCTCATTCCCAATATTATTACTCTCAATACACAAATCAATTTGGGATTTTTTCAATCGGATCTCAATATCTATGTTTATTCTTGAACAACGAAATCATTCCACTTTAACATAAGAAAAAAAAATGTCTAAAATTATATTTACTCGAAAACTTGTCTGAAATTGTCTCTAACCCAGTATTTCATAACTTGTGATCTTGAGAATCAAATATCTATGACACTTTGTATTCTCTTAAAGGGGAGATCATCAGTTCCCCGCCATTCAATATATATCTACAATACTAATCCTGTGTGTAGTATTTGATCTTTGATGTACTAACCGATTCCTCAATTCAATAAAATTTTATTCTTAAAATAAAAATTACTACTCACTTCAGTGTTGTTTTTACACCAACACAAAACCACAACACGCGCCTAAAAACATGCTATAGAAAACACATTTCAGTACACACAATTTACAACCACCCACACACACACACACAGGTCCCCCCATTTTATATATTAGAACTCCTACCAGAACATTTTGTGTGACTTTGTCTTTGTCCTAATTTAGTTTTAGTATTTATTGAACAAAACAGATGTAAAAAAACAACAAAAAAATCAAGTTTAAACGAAAACACAACAAATACAATATCAACAATATTTTTTGTAATTAGACCAAGAAAACAAAGCATACACTATTACCGAACCAGATGATGTTAGCGAAGACACACCACAGACAACACCCCTCACCAAACCAAAGACACCAAAAACCAAGAAACCCACCAAAACATTTGGTGTTATCGACGAGCAGCCAGAAATCGAACTGTTGCCCGAGGAAGTGGTGAAGATTGTAATGTCGCCTAGCGAAGAAGACAAGCAAGACGATGAGCAGCGACCGGAGAGTGTCGAAGAGAAAACGACCACGGTCAAGAAACGCAAGATTAAGAAAAAGCTTGGTGATCAGGAACAAATTATCGAGGTCATTACGACCCAAAAGCCCGGACAAGAGGAAGAGGTGACAGTAGTTGTAACCGAAGACGACAAGACAACCGAAGACCAGACCACTACCGAGGACTATAAGGTTAGGGTAACGGACGGACAGACAGTGACGAAGACCAAAGAAAAGAAAACAACAAAACGCAAAACGTCGGTGTCCAAGAAGAAGGTTAACAAAGACGATCTCTTCGAGTACATTGAGTTCCTGATTCAACAGGAGATACCCAAGACCGTGTTGCAAGAGTACAAACGTACCGAACTGGAGCAGCCTCAACAGGCCCGTCGCGATTCGTCAGTGGTGAAACCTCTCAAACTGGTACCCATGAAGATTGAAAAGGTTGAGCTCAAGAAATCTCGTCCCATTGAAATCACTTCAGTGGCTGAATTCCCACAAATGCTCAAACTCAAAGCACCCAAACAAAAACCGGCCGAAGTTAAGCCCAAAAAGGAGAAGGTTCCGTTCAAGACCAAAAAGCTCAAGAGTTGGATCAATTTCATACCTTACGCCCCGTACAATTTCAAGTTCACAATTACCGAACTGGATACAAAGCGTGGTCGCGGTGAACTCTCGCGAAACATTGAAGAGGCCCTGCTGCTGATCAAGAAGCGTCCAAAGACATTCAAACCGCTCGAATTCGAAGAGGAAGAACTGGAAAAGCCCTCGTTCTACGAAGAGGAGGAGATCAGCCAGCCCCAAGAAGAGCAGCCGCAACAAAAATATAAGCGGCCCAAGAAGCCCAAGAAAGAAACCGAACAACCTGAAGAACGTAAACTTAAACTTGGTAAGGGCAAAATACCCACCGAACCCGAGTTCAGCGAAGAAGTTGTTCTTAAACCCATTAGTGCCAAGAACGATGAAGAAGAAACGCCAACCGATACAGCCAACATTCCTGAAACTACCCGGCCCAAGAAAAAGAAATCAAAGAAACCCAGCGATCAGGACACCGGTCTGACGTTCATACCCCAAGAGTCTGAGGATAAACCAGAATCGGAAACAGAATCGATATCCGAAGTTCTGGAGGTAATTGAACACAAACCCGAAACAACTACCGAAGATCAACTCGACGGTGAAATCGCCAAGAGACCCATAACCAAAAAGAAACGTAAACTTGTGCAAAAAACCACCAATGCCGAACACGTTATTGAGATTGTCGAAACTCCGCTCGGCGATACCACCGATGAAAAGCTGTATGAAATCACCATTACCACAACCGAAGCCGAAGGTGTGGATCAACCGGAAAAAACGATAGTCAAGAAAAAGAAAAAGGTCAAGACCATGAAGCCACAAGAAATCGAAGAACTGATACAGGAGTTGCAAGAACAACCTGTCGACAAGACATTCGATGAACCCTGTTACGAGGTTTCTCTCAAGGAATTGCCAGCCGAAATCGTGAGCGAGGAAGATGAACGAAAGGTAACCCAAACCAAACGTAAGATCCGCCACAAAAAGGGTGATAAGGAAGAAATTATTGAAATAGTTGAAACCCAGCCCGACGACAAAGCCGAAGAACCTACGTACGAAGTTGTTGTAACAACAACTGAAGCAACCGCCCCCGAGGAGCAACCCGGCGAGGAGCAGCCTCCAACCAGGAGAAGAATAAAGAAAATGAAGAAACATGAGTTGGACGAATACATTCAACAACTCATTGAAGCAGAAATTCCCAAAACTGAATTGGAAAGATTTGAAAAGTTGGAATTCACCAAAACTCCGAAGAAGGTGAAGAAACCCAAAAAACAGGTCAAACAAGAAGAGCCCCAAACCGGCGAAGCTCATGAAATTGGTGTTTCTGAATTTGAACCGGTCGAAAAGAAGCCCAAAGAGAAGAAACCCAAGCGTGCACCCAAACCGGCTGAGGCAGTAGAGGTTACCGAAACGCCAGAAAGCTATGACGAACACTATATCAAGGTCAGCGACACTCAGCCAGAAGAAAGTGAACTTCTCGAACAGGAGACTGAACGTATTCCCATTGGTTTCAAGGAAACGACAGAGGAGAAGCCCCACCAACAAGAAGTTGTTGTTGAAGAAATCACCGAACAAACTGAGACTATTGTCCGAACGTCCGAAGATGGTAAGGTCGAGGAAAAGACCAAAACCAAACGCAAGATCAAGAAAAAGATCGGTGACAAGACCTACGAAATAACGGTTATCGATGAACAATCCGAAGACCAGCCTGAGGTGGAACTTACTGTAATAACCAAGGAATTCATGCCAGAGCAACCGGCTGAGACAAAGGAACCAGAGGAAGCTCCAAAGAAACCCAAGAAGATAAAGAAAACAATAAAGAAGGAAGAACTCGATGAATATTTGGTGCGTATTATCAATGAGCAGCCCGAAGCTTTTGAGTCCATTGAAGAAAAGTTGGCAGAGAAACCAAAATCGAAGAAGAAGAAGCCTCAAGAAGTGGATGAATCTATATTTGCCGTCAAGACCATTGTCGAAGACTTGCCCGAAGAGGAGCAGACAATTACTGAAGAAAAGCCCCATGACCAAGTTGAAAAGAAGGATAAAAAGCCAAAGACGCCCAAATCAAAGAAGGTTAAGATCTCTGAATCTATGGGCAAACAACCTGAAGATGTGACCGAAGAAGTTGGTCTTGTAGAAAGTGAGGAAAAACCGCAAGAAGAACAACCAAATGAAGACTTTACCATCGGCATATCCGAAGCAGAGCAGCCAAAACAGAAACCCAAATCAAAACGACCAAAGGCCAAGAAGCCCGAAGAGGTTATCGAAGAGTATACGGTGCGCATTGAAGAATTGCAGCCGGAAACCACCACCCACATAATTACCGATGAAAGGGGCGAGGAGGTCAAACAAACCATCACCAAAAAGAAACTCAAAAAGAAGGAGGGATCCAAGGAATATCTGATCGAAATTGTGGAATCCTATGTTGAAAACAAACCCGAGGCTGATGTTGAAATCATAACCACCGAATTGTTGACGGAAGACACCCCTGAAGACATGCCCACCGAGCCCATTAAGATTAAGAAGTTCAAAAAGAAGCCCAAGTCCCAAGACGATTATGATGCCTACATTCAAGAGCTAATAGAAAGAGAAATACCGAAGACAGAACTTGAAGAATACGAAGTTACCGAAGTGGAGGGCAAGCGTAAGAAGAAACCGAAAACGGTTAAAAAGCATCACAAAAAGACGACTGAAATTATTGATGGAGTTCCTGTAACGGTTCATGAATTCGACGTGAAAGAAGTCGTACCCCAAGAAGTGGAACAACCTGAAAAACCAGTTGAAGTAATTGAGGAGGAACAACCGGAGACACAAGAAACTCCCGATGACTTCCGATTTGCCATGAAGGAAGAAGAACCCCAAGATGCTGCCGCACCAGATGACATTGTGCAGGTGAAGGAAAGCAAACCGAAACCCAAGAAGACCAAACCCTCTAAAGTAAAGGTAACCGAAGAACGAGCTCCCGTGGAGGTCGAAGAACTTGACCAGATCACAGAAGTTGTGGAACAGCCCAACGAAGAAGGCGAAGCCAAAAAGAGAACTGTTACCAAACGCCGTGTGAAGACTAAAACGGGACCAGAAGAAAAACTCTTCGAAATTTCCCAAGTTGTTGAAGATGATCAGCCAACTGCTGAAATTACCATAGTGGAAATTACGGAATCTGAAGAGACTCCTGAAGAACTGCCCGAAGTTGTGATGAAACCGATTAAGAAGGTCAAGAAAATGCCCAAGGAACAAATTCAAGAATTTGTTGTCAAGGTAATCGAAGAATATGTAACGCCCACTGTATACGCTGTTGAAGAAGAACAACCAGTAACGGTCGCGGAGGTAGAACAACGTACGGAAACCGTAGAAGAACGCACCGAAACTGGCGAGGTCAAGAAGAAGACCGTCACTAAGCGCAAGGTGAAAACCAAGGCTGGACCCGAAGAAAAGGTCTTTGAAATTACAGAAATTACTCATGACGACCAACCCACCAGCGAAGTTACAATTGTCGAAATGGCCGAATCTATGCCCGAAGACAAACCAAAACCTAAGGACAAGAAACATGTTACAAAAACAAAACGTGTTCCCGTCGATGAAATACAAGAGTTTGTCATCAATGTCCTGGAAGAGTATGTCGCTCCCACAGTATTCGAGGAAGAAAAACCAGTTGAAGTTGAGGAAATCTCTCAAGTAACCGAAATTATCGAAGAACCTAAAGAGAGCGGTGAGGTCAAGAAGAAAACAGTTACCAAGCGCAAGATTAAAACTAAGTCAGGCCCAGAAGAAAAGATCTTTGAAATCTCCGAGGTAACCGAAGACGATAAGCCAAACGCTGAAGTAACCATTGTGGAAATTACCGAATCAGAGGTCACGCCTGAGGAAAAGATTGAAGAAATTAAGCCGGTGAAGAAGAGCAAAAAGGTGCCCAAGGAGCAAATCAAGGAGTTTGTTATTAACGTTATTGAAGAATACGTCACACCCACCGTCTTCGAAGTGGAAGAAGATGAAGAAGATGAGAAAGAAAAACCAGAGGTCAAGGTTGAAGAAATCTCCGAAATTACTGAAATTTTGGAACAACCCAAAGACAATGGAGAAGTAAAGAAGAAGACCGTCACCAAACGCAAGATAAAAACCAAAGCTGGTCCCGAAGAAAAGGTCTTCGAAATTTCCGAGGTAACTGAAGACGATAGGCCAAATGCCGAAGTGACCATTGTCGAAATTACTGAATCAGAGGTCAAACCTGTGGAACCGATTGAGGAAATTAAGCCGGTGAAGAAGAGCAAAAAGGTTCCCAAAGAACAAATCAAGGAGTTCATCATCAATGTTATTGAGGAATATGTAACGCCTACAGTCTTCGAAACGGATGAAGAAGAAAAACCAGAGGTCAAGGTTGAAGATATTTCCGAAACAACTGTAGTTCAAGAACAATCTACCGACAATGGGGAAATAAAGAAGAAGACCGTCACCAAACGCAAGATAAAAACCAAAGCTGGTGCCGAAGAAAAGGTCTTCGAAATTTCTGAAGTAATTGAGGACGATAAGCCAAATGCCGAAGTGACCATTGTCGAAATAGCCGAATCAGAGGTAAAACCCGTGGAAACGATTGAAGAAATTAAACCGGTGAAGAAGAGCAAAAAGGTTCCCAAAGAGCAAATCAAGGAGTTCATCATCAATGTTATTGAGGAATATGTAACGCCTACGCTCTTCGAAGAAGAAGAGGACAAACCAAAACCGAAACCCAAGAAATCCAAACCTACCAAGGTTCAGGAGACTGAAGCAGAGGAGCAAACACACGAAGAGAAGCCAGAAAAACGTAAACCCAAGGAAAAGAAACCAAAGGCTACCAAAGAGGAACCCACACAGCTCAAAGAATATTCGGTGCGTATTGAGGAACTGCAACCCGAGGTTATTACCCAAGACATTGTGGATGAAAACGGCGAAGAAGTCAAACAGGTTGTCACGAAGAGAAAACTCAAAAAGAAAGAGGGTGACAAGGAATACCTAATTGAAATTGTGGAATCGTATGTGGAAAACAAGCCTGAAACAGAAGTGGAAATTACTACCACCGAGCTGGTACCCGAAGAGCGCCCGGAAGAAGAGAAACCACAACCAGTTAAGGTAAAGAAGATCAAAAAGAAGACATCACCCCACGATGATCACGACGCCTACATTCAACAACTTATTGACCAGGAAATTTCCAAAACACAGCTGGAAGAGTTTGAGACCATGGAGTTCGAAAGCACACCAAAGACGAAACCAAAAACGGTTAAGAAACACCACAAGAAGACCACCAAAATAGTTGAAGGCGTTCCGGTGACAGTTCATGAGTTTGACATACAGGAACTAACACCACAGGAAGAAGAATACGTCGACAAACCCATAGAAGTGATTGAGGAAGACGTAGAGAAACCACAAGAGCAAATAGCTGAAGACTATGAGATTTCCTACAAGGAGGATCAAGATCGGCCAGAAGAAAAGCCTGTCACCGAAGATGTGGTTGAATTTAAAGAAGACAAACCCAGCAAACCTAAAAAGCCTAAGAAGCAAAAGGTTGACGTGAGGGAGGAGCAGCCGGTACTTGTTGAGGAACTGGAACAGGTCACTGTGACCGTTGAAGAAACCAATGACAAGGGCGAACTGAAACCAAAGACAATCACAAAACGCAAATTGAAGACGAAGACGGGTCCCGAAGAAAAGATCTTTGAAGTTTCCGAAGTCAAGGAAGAGGATCAGCCCACAAGCGAAGTGACAATCGTTGAAATCACTGAAATCGAAGAGGCTAACGAAGAACAGCCTGAACAACCAAAAGAAAAGAAGGTCGTTAAGAAGGTCAAGAGGGTTCCCAAGGAGCAATTGGAAGACTATATTGTGAATGTCATTGAAGAATATGTCCAACAAGAGCCGATTGAGAAAGAAGCAGCTCCCGAAGCTCCCACGGAAACAACTGAAGAAAAACCTGTTGAAAAGGCCAAGAAACCCAAAAAACAGAAGGTTGCCGTAAAAGAAGAGCCACAACCTGAGGTGGTGGAAAGCAAAGAACAAGAACAACCCGAAGAATCTGAGGTATTCGAAAAGAAACAACCTCAAACTCAAGAATCGTATGAAATTTCCATCGAAGAGGGACGGGCCGAACAAACCGTTGAAGAAAAGGATGTTCCCAAGAAACCAAAGAAGTCGAAATCTAAAATGCCTCAGAAGTCTGAGGACCATAAGTCGTATACCATTAAAATGTCTTCACTCGATGAGGCTCCCCAACCAGAGGAAGAAATCGAGGAAATTCCCACAATTAAAGAAATTCCCCAAGAGCCCTCACACGAAGAGTTGCCAATCTCCATTGTTGAGGTCGAACGTAAGGAAGAGGAGCATGAGGTTGTAAATGAAAAGGGTGAAGTTGAAAAGGAGAAAGTCACCAAACGTAAAATCAAGAAACAAGTGGGCGACAAGCAGGAGATCATCGAAATTGTGGAAACTCAGAAGGGCGACGAACAACCAGTGGCTGAGGTAACGGTCATAACATCAGAGGCCGAACCGGTTAAGGAAGCCGACAAACCCATCGAAGGTAAACCCTCCAAACCCAAGAAGACCAAAAAGGTCAAGAAGGACGATTTGGACGAATACATTAGGAAACTCATTGAACAGGATATACCTAAGACTGAGCTGGAGAAATACGAGAAGATAGAAATCGACGCTCCAGTCAAATTGAAAAAGAAACCAAAACAATTAGTGCGTGAGAAGCCCAAGACTGCCAAGCTTGAAGACAAGCCGCAAGAGGAGGCCGAAGAAGTCCGTGAAATTGCTATTGAGGAGGCCCAACCTAAAGAAAAGCCCGACGAGTATCCTGTACGTGTGGTGGAACTTGAAAGCCAAAAGGAAGAGGTTCAAATTGTTGACGATTCCGGTGACGTCAAGACCCAGAAGATAACTAAACGCAAAATTAAGAAACAGGTTGGCCCCAAGGAGGAGATTATTGAAATTGTTGAAAAACAAGTTGACGACGAAGAGCCTGTGGCGGAAATAACGGTAACGGCTGTCGAGCCAGAAACCGTTGAAGAAGAACAACCCAAGGAGGATCAACCCAAGAAGCCAAAGAAATCCAAGAAGATTCCCAAAGATGAGTTACAAGATTATATCCAGAAACTCATTGAAGAAGATATACCCAAGACGGAATTGGAAACCTATGAAAAGATTGACATCGAGAAACCAATAAAACTAAAGAAGAAACCCACACATAAAGTGAAGAAGACCGAAGAAGCACCGAAAGAAGAAGCAACCCCCGCTGTTGAAGAAGTTGAGCTGAGCGAAGAACAGCCCGAACAAAAGGAAACGCCTGAGGATATCTTTAAGGTAACGGTCGAGGTTAAGGAAGATGAAACTCCGGAAGTAGAGAAGCCTCTCGAAATGACTATTGAAGAAACCGATGTGAAGAAAGAAAAGAAAAAGAAACTAAAGGTCAAACCTGTAGAAGAGCAAAAACCACAACAACCCGAAGAACAGTCTGAGGAAGAGCAGAAGATTATTGTAGAGGAATCCACGCCACAGACAGACACAAGAGAATACGAAATTAAAGATGTGCCCGAAGAAGAAGTAAAACCCAAGGTCACTCCCAAGAAGCCCAAGGAAAAGAAACCCAAAGTCGAAGCAGAAAAACCTGACGAGAGTCCTCAATTTGAAATTGCTGTTAAGGAAACATCTCCGATCCCCGAAGAACCTGAACCCTTCAAGATCGAGGTGGTGGAAACACATACCGAAGAAGTTGAAAAGGTCAACGACGAGGGCATTGTGGAAAAACAAACCGTGACTAAACGCAAGATTAAACGCCAACAAGGTCCCAAAGAAGATATAATCGAAATTGTAGAGATCAAGACGGACGATCAACCCGAGGTTGAAGTCACCATTCTGGAATCTGAACCGCAAGAAGAGACGACAGAGGACAAACCTAGGACACCCAAAAAGAAGACCAAAAAGGTTAAAAAGGACGATCTCTACGACTATATACAAAAACTCATTGAACAGGATATACCCAAGACTGCATTGGAAAAATACGCTAAAATTGAGTTCGAACCTAGACCTAAAAATGCCACTGAGGATGATTATCCAATCGAAATGAAGGAGGAGCAACCCTCTGAAGAGGAAAAGCCCAAAAAGAAACCAAAGACCAAAAAACCCAAGGAATCGCCAGAACAACCTGAGCAACCTTCGGCCGAAATAAGAATTGTGGAAGAAGAGGTTGAAGAAAAACAACCCTTGCCCGTTGTCGAAGTGGTCGAGAGCGAACCGATTGAAGTGCATGTCGAAGAGGTGCCCGACGATCAGGGCAAACCCAAACAAAAGACCACTAAGAAACGTACCCTCACCAAAAAGGTTGACGACGAAAAAGACTCGACCATACACGTGGTCACCGTACACGAAGAGGACAGTAATGAGGTAACCCTCATCATTGACGAAGTGCCCATTGACGAGCCAGTTGTTGAGGAAACGGAACCGGTTCTTCCTTCTGAAGAACCCAAACCGGTCAAGAAACCGAAGAAGATCATTAAGAAGGTAAAGAAAGACGAAGTGGACGACTACATACAGAGACTGATTGACGAAGAAATACCCAAGACAACTCTTGAACAGTACGAAAAAATAGAAATGCCTGAAAAGACCAAACCGACAGACGAGACACCTCAGGACGACGTTAAAGAAAAGCCCAAAAAAGAGAAAAAGAAACCACTTAAACCTACTAAAGTTGAGGAGAAACCCGACGAGAAACCGGAAGAAGACACTTTACACGAATTTAGTATCACAGAAACAAAACACACAGAAACACAACCCACCACCACCACCGAAGAACAACCAAAACAGATCGAGGATCTGGAACAAACAGAAACACCCGAATCTCACAAGGTCACCACCACTGTCACAGAAGATATTGCACCCGATACTAAGACCACCACCAAACACAAAACCAAACCCAAAAAGCAAACAAGTAAGTGTTGTGGAAGGATACCTTCATATGCAACAGCTGCTAGCTGCCAACTTGTGTTGTTATCTTCCTCCTTCCTACCAAAAACTTTCCCAACTCTCCTAAAACCAAAAAAAAAAACGCTATGAAGAGAACCTGTACTCTCTGCTCTTGGATTCTATGTGTTATCCAAATCCAAAAATAAAATTGTCTTTTACCTTCTCTCTCTCTCTCACTATCTCTCCCCCTTTTTGTCTACATCTCTGAGTGTTGGAACATGCGTATTCTGCCGCTGCTGCGTTTTTCTAGCATTTTGTTATCACTTGTCTCCACCCTATTGTCTACGGTTATTGCTTATTTCCTCCTAAGCTCCCTTTCCAGTTGTAAGATTTGGGGCCCTATCTCAAGAAACACAGTAATTACACCACGCATAGCCCTAACTAAACGCTGATGCTTTGCTTTGACAGCCGATTTCAAACTTGTAAATACTTCGTTTGCTAGACGCTCTCTCGCTACTCTGCTGATATGCTAGAAGATCGTTACGACCGACACGCTGTATTTTTAATTTAACGACATAAGACCGTGCTCCAGTAAAGGAACCACTGTCTGAGAGCACTTGAGAAGCCTCTGGAACATAACCAAAATTTAATTTGAAAATTGAAAAAAAAAAATACTAACCTTACTAAATTGGCAAGGTAAATTAGTTATAGAATTTAATTATATAGAACATTCAGACACTATCGAGAATGTCAATAAACCAGGAGGACACCTGAAACGCAAACCTCCTGCTAAAATGAAGCTTAGGACAGAACAACTGCATTTTCGGCAAAGAAGCGAACTTGCTTTCCCCTCTCTTTGTACCACTCCTTTTCCACTATTTGTTTATCTCTTACAGTAACCCTTGCTCTCACTCTCTCTGTCTCTCACTGTCCACATTTACTCTCAATGTAAATAAGTTGTTCAAATCTCTTCCATTATTTTCTTTAAACACGCCAGCGCGTACGCCCCTACTGGCCTTTGCGAATTAACTCTGCTAATTTTGAAATTTGTTGTAAATTTAGGTGAAGCTCCAATTGTTCATCAAGACTATGCCATCAACGTTATTGAGGAGTTACCCGAAGAGAAGGAGGAGCCGGTCGAAGATGTGATACATCAAATCCGCACTATTGAGGAATACCCCGAAGATAAGGACGAATCACATCCCATCGAAGTTATTGAAGAGGTGGTTGAAGAAACAAAGGAGGACGAAACACCGGAAGATGCCGGCAAGCCGAAGAAGACCAAAAAGAAGGTTATACGCAAAAAGACCGAAGACCATGATGCCATTATTCAAAAACTCTTGGAACAAGAAATCGAAAAGACCGAACTGGAGAAGTTCGAAAAGATTGAATTTGAAAAGCCCAAGAAGATCAAGCCTGAAGCTGAATTATTGGAACCCATCAAAATCGTGCGCCGCGATCAAAAGCCCAAGAAGGTGGTCATAGTCGACGCCGCTGAGGTTCCGCAAATGATTAAATTGAAACCATCGAAACGCAAGGAACGCCCAGTTGAGGAGCAAACCGTACAACTTCCCGCCTTCAAGCTAAAGAGTCGCATGGTCATGGTTCAATATCCACCAGAGCTTCTGAAACCAGTGATAACGGAAATCGGTGCTGTCAAGGAAGTTGGTGAGCTATCGCGCAACATTGAAGAAGCCGAAGAACTACTGAAATTCAAGCCACGCAAGGTCAAAAAGTTGAAGAAGATCAAGGACGACCTGGAAAAGGTCGAATTGGAGAAATACGAAAAGTATGTCAGCAGCGAAGAAGAGCCGGAGGCCAAGGAACCCTACAAGAAACCCGAAAAGCCGTCCAAGGTGGAAGAAAAACCCGAAGAGGTTAAGCTTAAACTTGGCAAGGGCAAAAAGAAGCCACTGGAGGAGGAACAACCAGAATCTGTTAGTCTTAAGAAAATTCCACAAAAGCCCAAACCCGAAGAAGAAGTCTTGGAAGAAAAGACCATAAAGAAACACAAAGTAGTTGTGAAGGAGGAAGAACCTCAACCTGAAGAGCCCAAGTATGAAATGAAGCCACTTGAACCTCTTGAATTTGAGGACATTGAACACCCTAAGGAGGTACTGGAACCATTGGAATTCCCCGAAGCTCCCAAGAAGGACAAGAAGGTACCCAAAACCAAGCCCAAGTCGAAACCCAAGCCAAAGCCAGAACAAGAAATGAATGTCACTGAAATTGTGCCCGGCAAACCAAAGGAACCAGAAGAACAACCAGAGGAAGCGGTTAAATTCCGTATCCCAGAAAGTAAACCCGAAGAGGAACCCACAGCTGAGGTAAAATTAAAGCCTGTCAGGAAAGAGGAAGTGCCCGAAACTCCAGTCGAACTACCAGTAAAAATGGTTCCTGAGGAGCAGCCTAAAGAAAAATCACCATCGCCTGTTGTTGAAGTCAAGGAAGAGAAACCCAAAAAGCCCAAAACCAAGAAGGAAAAACCAAAGCAGGCAGAAGTTGTCGAAGAGAAACCGCAACCTGAGTTCGAGGTAGCCGTCCAGGAAGAAATTGTACAAGAGGAGAAGCCTATCGAAGAAAAGGTCGACAAAGTTAAAATCAAAAAGAAGGTGCCCAAAGAAAAACCTCAAGAGGAGGTTAAGGTTGTCGAAGAGGAGGTTGACCAGCCAAAGGAGCCCGAAGAAATTCCCACGGAATACAAGATAACCACCACTGTCATTGAGCCTGAAGAGGTTCCAGAGGCGTACAAGGTGCGTGTCGTAGATACCGACGAAAAACAAGTTACTGTCGAGGAACTGGTCGAGGAGAAGACTGTCATTCGCAGAAAGAAAGTTAAGCCAACTGTACCCGAAGAGTATGAATATACTGTTGAAGAACCTCAACCTGAGCCAGTTGTTGAAGAAGAACCTTCAGAAGAGGTAACCTTCGAAGTGAAGAAACCTGAACCTCAACCAATATCTGAAGAAGTAACCATTGTTGAAACTGTAGAACAGCCCAAGCAGGAAGAAACAGTTGAAGAACAGGTAGTTAAGAAGAAGAAACCAAAGAAGAAGGTTACTACAGAGGAGGAGGCCAATGTCGAGATTAAACACGAGGCACCTGAGGAGAAACCTATTGAGGAGGTCGTCGTTGAGGAACCAATTGAAGAAACGGTCGAAGAGCCAAAACCACAAGTTTATGATATAACTGTCAAGGAAACCGAAGCTGTGGAACCAGTTCCAGAAGTAGTTGAGGAGGTGGTCGAAGAAAAACCCAAACCCAAGCCAAAACCAAAGAAGGTAGCTGAAGTATTCCCCAGTTATGAAATCAAGACTATTGAAACAGAGGCCGAAAAACCAGTGGCTGTCGAAGAAGAACAACCCGAAGAAGTGCAGTTCTCTGTGAAACCCAAGAGACCGGTTGAACTCCATGAAGAGTTTGAAGCTTCCGTTTCATTAACCGAACCTAAACCCGTCGAGCAGATCGAAGTTGAAACGAAATTGAAGGCCAAGAAACCCAAGAAACCAAAGAAGGTAGAAGAGGAATCGACTCAATTGGAGGTAAAGATCACCGAAACAGAGGAGAAACCTGTCGAAGAGGAAATTGTGGAAGAAGAACCCAAACCGGTGGAAGTAATCGAACATAAACCGGTCGAGGAACAGCCACAAGAATTCAAGATAAAGGTATCCGAAGAACAGGTGGTTCAAGAAGAAGAAGAACCACAGGTTGTTGAGGTTGCCATTAAACCCAAAAAGGTTGTGGAGAAACCCGCGGAAGAACCAGATGCAGAATTTGTTCTCACCGAAAGCAAACCCATCGAAGAAGTTACCGAAGAAGCTCGCATCAAAACCAAGAAGACAAAGAAGAAGCCCAAGGAAGAAGCAGCAGCTGAGCTTAAGGTAACGGTTACCGAGGAAGCCCCTGTTGAGCAAGAGGAAGTGGTGGAAGAAGTTGCCGAAGTCACAACTATTGTTGAGGAGAAACCCGCGGAGAAGCCTAAAGAGTACAAATTTAAGGTTAAGGAGTCTCAAGTGCCGAAAGAAGAAAAGGTTGAGGAGATTCCCGAAGTGCCTAAGCCTCGTGAGAAGTCAGTACCTAAGGAAGAGGCTCCCGTGGAAGAAGTCAAGGTAGTTACCACAGTACCCACTGAAGAGCCTATTCAGGAAGAAACTAAAACGGTTAAAAAGAAGACGAAGAAGCCCAAAGAGGAAGTACCCAAAGAGCACGCCATTAAAGTGGTGGAAGAAGTCGTTCAGAAACCAGCCGAAGTTGTGGAAGAGCAACCCGTGGAAGAAGTTCCCGCAGAAGAAAAACCTGAAGAGCAATATCCTGAACACAAGGTAAAGATCCTCGAAGAAACCCCACAATTTATAACCGAAGAAGAGGAGCAACAGGAGGTGAAAGTAATCCGCAGAAAGAAACCAAAGGCTACAGAAGAGCCCGAAGAGCAGGTGGTCCTGGCACCTCAAAAGCCAGTCGAGGATGTCGAAGAAACTAAGATAGTTAAAAAGAAACCCAAAAAGCCTGTCGTCGAAGAAGCTCAAGCTGAACTCAAGGTCACTGTGGTCGAAGAATCCCCCGAAGAGAAGCCCGAGGTTGTAGAAATCGTCGAAGAAGAGGAGATTAAGGAGTTGCCCAAGGTCGAAGAGGTTATTGAAGAGTACCCCGAACACAAGGTTAGAATTATTGAAGAATCACCACAGTTTGTAACCGAAGAAGAGGAGCAGCAAGAGGTGAAAGTCATACGCAGAAAGAAACCGAAGGTCACTGAAGTACCCGAAGAACCCGAAGAGCAAGTGGTTCTTGCTCCTCAACAAAAACCAGTCGAGGATGTTGAGGAGACAACGGTCATTAAAAAGAAACCCAAAAAGCCTGTCATCGAAGAAGCGCAGGCTGAACTTAAGGTGACTGTAGTCGAAGAACAGCCCGACGAACAACCTCAAATTGTCGAAATCGTTGAAGAAGAGGAAATTAAAGAACTGCCCAAGGTCGAAGAAGTTGTTGAAGAGGCCCCAGTAACCTATGGATTCTCTGTGAAAGAAACTGAACCCGAAAAGGTCGACGAAACACCAGAGGAAGTTTTCCAATTGCCAAAGAAGAAGCCAAGCCTCAAAGAAGAGCCAGAGGAGCAGGTAACATTGGTAACCAAAAAACCTACTCAAGAAGTTTCCGAGGAGGTTAGCATTAAAAAGAAGACCAAGAAACCAAAGAAAACTGAAGAAGTGGCAGTGGAGCAAACCGTAAAGGTGGAGGAAGAAGTACCACAAACCGAGGAGGTTCATGTCATTGAAGAAGTGGAAGAAATCGAAGAAAAGCCTCAAGTGGTAGAAGAAGTGCCCAAAGTAGTTGAGATCACCGAAAGTGAAGTCAAGGAAGTGAAGCACAAGGAATACAAATTCGGTGTCATTGAAACTGAACCAGAAGAAGCTCCAAAGGAAGAGGTGGTCGAAGAAGAAGTTACAGTAGCCAAAAAGCCTAAAGTTCCTAAGCCAGAGGTTACAGAAGAACCTGAAGTGGAGGTTACATTAAAACCTCAACCCAAGGAAGAACAGGTGCCGGAAGAAACCGCTGTGGTTAAGAAGAAATCTAAACCCAAGCCTAAAGAGGAAGCTGCCGCCGAACTTAAGGTACAGGTAATTGAAGAAGTTGCTCCCGAGCCAGAGGTTGTTGAAGAAATTGAAGAGGTGGCAGTGGTTAAAAAGAAGCCCAAGAAACCCGTACAAGTGGAAGAAATTGACGAAGGAGATGTTGTACTCAAGAGACCAAAGGCCAAGACCGAAGAGGTAGAAGAGGAGGTAACACAGGTTACATTGAAACCCAAGAAGACACCCAAGGTCGAGGAAGAAGACTTTGCACTTGAAGTAAAATTGCCAATGGAAAAACCAATAGCCCAAGAAGAAACCTCGGAAGAGACTGTCCAACTTAAGAAGAAGAAGAAGCCTGTGAAACCGCTAGAGGAAGCTTCAGACGAACTCGTCATTAAAAAGGAAGCTGTTGTAGAAAGGCCGATAGAAATCGAAGAAGAGGAAATCATTGAAGAGGCCCTGGTGAAACGAAGAAAGCCATCCAAACCCTTCGAGCCTACGTACGAAGAGCATTCTGAGGAGGAAGTCAGCTTGGCCTTGAAGAAACCAAAACAGGTGGATGCTGGTGTCAGTGAAGAGGCAACCGTTGTTAAGAAGCGGCCAAAGAAACCTCCAACTCATGATGAGGCGGCCGCTGAGCTCCACATTGTACAGAAACCCGAAGTGGAAGAGGTGCAGGAGGAAGTGGAGGAAATCGATGAAGTTGTAATAAAACCCAAGTCCAAACCCAAGCCAAAGCCTCAACAAGTCACCGAAGAGGAAGAACAAGAATTCACAATTAAGAAGGAACCTAAGAAGAAGGAAGAAATTCCAGAATTCACTGGTGTAGAAACCGTCACCTTGCGTCCCAAGAAACCCAAGAAGACCACCGAAGAAGTTGATCAAGAATTCAATATTGCTTTGGATTCCTATGCCGAAGAAGAAATTTCCATGGGCAGCAAGATCAAGCTGAAGAAACCGATTAAGAAGACATACGGCGAGGAAGCGGGCGAGGCCAGCATTAAGATAATGAAGGACTACGACGATGGCAATGCTGTGATCATTGAAGAGATCCACGACGACACCGACATTGAGGAGGACATCTTCGACGAAGAAGCCGACGCGTATCAAGTCGAAGAACTGCCACTCGACGAAGTCGATATTAAGAGAAAGAAGAAGGTATCGTCCAAACCCAGATATTCCATCCACAACGAAGATGAAGAGCAGGTCTTGATTGGCTTTGCCCGTCCCAAGAGTGATTCGGTAACCTATGAAGAAGACACCTTCACGTTGAAGAAGAAAAAGAAGCTCGTCGCCCAGGTCTACAACGAAGGTGAGTATTCGATAATTGAATTGCAACTGTCTGGACCTCATTCTATTTTTAAACTTTCTTTCGAGAGTTTCAAACAAAAGAATTTAGCATCATCTCGATTCGCTTATATGATAACAGAATATTACAAAAGCAAAAATGAAAAGCCCAGGTAAAACTGTGTAACGACCTGTTCTGTGTATCTGACGCCCTCATCTGTCTAACATGTACATCTAAACGAGTCTTTTTCCAACATTTTTATGTTTTAATACGAACTCTTTTTGCTTCGAGTGTAGTTTAATAAGCCTCTTTGTTTTTCTCCATTTCGCAGAGGGAGCTTCTTTGAATATTACCCGTGTTATGGATGTCGATGGTAAGTGGTTAACCCCAAAATGTTTTCGAATGTATATTAATCCGTCTTTCCTTCCCCGCCTTAGAATCCGGTGAGGAGAATGTTATGTTCTCCATTTGCACCTACATTGCCGATACCGATGAGGCCATCAACCTGGTTGAAGGCGAAAAGGTCTATGTTATTGGTCGCCACAGTTCCGAATGGTGGTTTGTCAAGAAGAGCACAACCGAAGAAGAAGGCTGGGTACCAGCTCAATACCTCATGGAGCCCAACGAATATGTTCAATATGTGCAAAAGAAACTGCACGAGAAAATTGACAAGCTACCCGTATTTGAAAGTAAGTATTGTCGCGATAATGTCACACGGTGAATGTGTCGTCAGAGTGATTGTCCATGTGATGTTAACCTCTCTTCCCCATGTTTCTTTGTCATTTCCCCCCTCTCTCTGCTGCAAAAATAGGACCTGGACCCGAAGAGAAACCAATTGCGCCCAAGTTCATCCAACAGTTACAACCCATACACACACCGGAAGGTTACACCATTCAATTGGAGTGCAAGGTCGAGGGTGTGCCTCGTCCCCAGATCACATGGTTCCGAGAGACGGCCGTGATCAAACCATCACAGGACTTCCAAATATTCTACGACGATGACAATGTGGCTACCTTGGTCATAAGTCAGGTGTTTGCCGAAGATGCTGGCAAATACACTTGTGTTGCCAAAAACGTGGCCGGCTTCACGTCAACAACAACGGAGGTGACGGTAGAAACGGTTGTCTCCGAAAACGCCTCTGAACGCAAGAGCATCTCGCGAGAATCGTCCTTGGCCGACATTCTCGAAGGCATACCACCAACATTCTCACGTAAACCTAAGGCCCAATATGTGGACGAAGATTCGGATGTGGTCTTGGAATGCCGTCTGGTCGCTGTACCCGAACCGGATATTGTATGGACCTACAATGATGAGGAGATCGATTCGAAAGTCATCAAGAATGTTACCGTCGTTACGGAATCCGACATGCACATGTACTGTACCGTGGTGCACATTAAGAAGGTCAAGAAGTCACAAGAAGGTACCTATGAGGTCATTGCTACCAATCGGGAGGGCGAAGCCAGACTACCAATCAAACTAAAGGTGCGCACCAAGGACAAGGAAGCGCCCCACATTTTAGAACCGTTGCGCAATATGGTTATTCGTGAGGGTGAAAGCGTCGTCCTGACCACTCAGATTGTAGGCAACCCAGCTCCAAAGGTTACCTGGTACCGTAACGGCAAGCCTGTGAAGAAGGGTGACATTAAATCTGAAAATGGCGTTCACACCTTGACTTTGATTTCGCCCAAATGTGAAGAGGCTGGCGAATACACAGTTAAGGCTGAAAATCCTCTGGGAAGTGTAGAGACGACAGCCAACCTGACAATCGAAGGTATTGCCCTAGCGGCGAAGTTTTCATGTTTTTATGCTAAGAATGTGCTGCTTTTTACTCTTTATCGATTTGAATTCTAGGGGGCTACAATAATCCATGCATTTTATTCCATTATCATTACAGAACCACCCAGCGACAATGGAGAACCTCCATTCTTTGTTGAACGCTTCGAGGAGCAAATCGTTAAGCCCAAGAGCACCATACGCCTTGTGGCTAAGGTATCTGGCAACCCAGTACCCGAAGTCGCATGGCTCTTCAACAATAGTCCCCTGCAACCCGATGACCGGATACAGCAGCGCTATGATGGGGAAAACATTGAGTTGACCATAAAGAATGCCAACCCTGAGGTGGATTCGGGCGACTATAAATGTATTGCCAGCAATCCATTGGGTAAGACCTCACACGGTGCACGCGTTATCGTCGAAGTTGACAAGGTCACCTTCACCAAGAAACTTAAATCGAAGATCACCATTGAAGAAATCCAATCACTCACTCTTGAATGTGAAACCTCGCATGTGGTCGCCACTAAATGGTTCTTCAATGGCAAGGAGTTGAGCGGCATGGATCATCGTGTCGTTGTCGATGAGGGCAAGGTCCACAAACTGGTAATAAAGAATACCAATCTCAAGGATAGTGGTAAATATGTCTGCAAGGTCAAGAAATTGGAAACCGAGTCTACCGTCGAGGTATTGAAACGCAAGCCCGAATTCATTAAACCCCTCGAGGATTGTGAGATTACCGAGAAAGATACTGCCATTTTGGAAGTCGAAATCTCGATTGACCAACCCGAGGTGCAATGGTTCAAGGATGGTGAAAAAATCACACCAGAGAAGAAGAACATCGACTCGATCAAGGATGGCAAGGTGCATCGCTTAATTATACGCGATGCTACCAAGCACGATGCCGGCGAATACTCTTGCAAGTTTGAAGATCAAGTTTGCAAGTGTGAGGTTAAGGTCATTGAATTGCCGCCCGAAATTATTAAGCCATTGGAAGATGTAACGGTGACTGAAGGTGAAACGGCAACCTTTACCGTGGAATTGGATAAGGAGGATGCATTGGTTAAATGGTTCAAGGATGGCAAAGAGTTGCCACTCACTGAACGCATCCAAAGCTCCACAGATGGCAAGCACCAAACAATCACCATTAAGAAGGCCAAACCGAGTGACATGGGCGAATATTCGGTGCAAGTTGGTGAGCAAACATCGAAGGCCAAACTCACAGTTGAAGAACCATTGGTTGACTTTGTACTGCGCCTGCCCGATGTCACCTTGGCCACCAAGAATGCCGATGCTGAGTTCACAGTTGAATTGTCCAAGCCTGACGTAGAACTCACCTGGTTTAAGAAGGGCAAACCCATAAAACCAAATAAGAAACATGAGGTCTTTGTGGAAGGCACCGTTCGACGTCTGGTCATACACAATGCCGACGACGAAGATGCCGGAGAGATAAGCTGTCAAGCGGCCAATGTCACCTCCAACACTAAATTGTGTGTGGAAGAGGTCAAGACTGCACCCATCATCACTTCGGACAAGGATCAGACAATAAAGGTTAAGGAGAACGAAGATGTTACCTTCACCGTGAAATATACCGGTGTTCCACAGCCAGAAGCCGAATGGAGCACATCGAAGAAGGTCATTGTCAAATCCAAACGACATATACCAACCATCGATGAACAATCAGCCTCGCTGACCATTAAAAAGGTCGTCGAAGAGGACGAGGACAACTACACCCTCAAACTGGTCAATCCCGTGGGTGAAGCTGAGGCCAGTCTCCACTTGGTTATTATGCGTAAGTTTCGAAAAATAAAAATTGCAATTATTTTATTGAGATCAAAATTTGATATGTTTTTCTAAAGGCAAACCCAAGGCTCCTGGCACTCCACAAGCATTGGAAGTAATGCATGATTCCATTACCTTGTATTGGAAGGCACCCGAGGATGATGGTAATGCTGAAATTCAAGAATATATTTTGGAATACAAAGATGTCAAGACTGAAAAGTAAGTTGTTGGCTGAAAGCCAAACCTCTTTGAAAAGGATGCCTGTAACCACTTGTTTAACTTCAACTTACAGATGGACTGAGGTACGTAAAATTAAGGATACCACTTTCACGTTGAGCAAATTGATAGTGGACACTGAATATGTGTTCCGCACGATTGCCGTCAATGAAGTTGGTCCATCGCCACCCTCGCCCCTGTCACCACCCATACGTCTTATGGCCCAAGTTAAAAAGGAAAAGCCCACAGTCCAGGAACCGTTGCAAGACACAACCACAGAACTCAACAAAGAGGTTACACTTTCTTGTGTGTTTGGTGGTGTACCCGAACCCAAGGTGGTTTGGAAGAAGAATGGCAAGGTCATTGAAGAGACCACCACCACAACAACCGTGTATGAAAATCGCGTTGCCAAGTGCACCATTAAGAACACTACCCCCGAATCGGAAGCTGAATACACATGTGTGGCTACCAATGAAGTCGGCAGTGTGGAAACCTCTTGCCGCCTCATAATCAGAGAGAAGCCTTCCGTTGAAGTCGAAGACAAATATTTGGCACAGAAACTACGCACAAATACAAACTTAACCATTCCAGCCACAATTCGTGGTTATCCTCAACCCAAGATTACCTGGTACAAGGAGACCACGACAATTAAGAAGACCAAACGTCAAACCATTGAGACAACCGAAACTACAACCACACTAAGTGTGGAACAGTTGACACGTGAGGATTCAGGCCGTTATAAGGTTGTGGCCGAAAATGAGAGTGGCTCCAGCAGTGCTGAATGTGTAGTTCAAGTTATCGACAAGCCTAGCCGGCCCCAGACATTGGACATTAAGGAAACTAAGAAGGATTCCGTCAAACTGGAATGGACGCCGCCTGCAGATGATGGTGGTATGGAAATAACCAAATACATTCTGGAGAAATGTGAATTGCAAAAGAAGGTCTGGATGAAGGTGTCCGAATTCGAGAAGGACATAACGTCGCATACGGTACAAAAACTCTCCACAGATGTTGAATACCGTTTCAGAATAGTTGCCGTCAATCCAATCGGCGAATCTGAACCCACCGAAAGTGAGACTGTTATATTGACAAGGAAAGGTATGCAAGCACTCGCACTGCGACCAAAAGTTGAAACTCCCACTAAAATATGTTATCCTTATTTCAGAAAAACCATCACCACCCAGAAAACCCATTGATGTTTCGGGCATGAATGACACATCGTTTACATTGTCATGGGAAGTGCCTGAAAGCGATGGCGGTTCCAAGATTATTGAATACATTGTCGAAATCAAGGAATTCCAAGAGAAAGAATATAGACTATTTGGCAGTACAAATGGCAATACACCAAACATTCGCATAACAAACGTTATCAAGAACAAAGCCTACACGTTCAGAATATATGCCAAGAATGAAGTTGGCACGAGTGAGGCTCTTGAGACGGATGAAAAGATTGTGGTCCAACGTAAAATAAGTATGTACTGGAGTATTTATGTCCGCTTAGCTTTTGCATTTAACAAAATATGATTTGCTTCGAAGAGATAGTCTGAAGAAGGTTTTATACATTTTGAAACAATTTGGACAGGATCAAAACAAATGCAGCCCATAAGCTTAAATTTTCCTTCAATCTAGGTGACATTTAGCCAGAGATCTTTATAGAAACTTAATCTAATTCAATTAATGTATATCCATTTGTCCGTCTGACCCTCTGACTATGTGCATTTTACAGGCGACATTGCGACTTTATCCGACAAATAATATTTGTCGTGTGGGATACATTTTAACATATGCAGGCGAATTCATCTGATATGCCCGAAAAAAAATTGCCAAAAATTCACCTATAGATTCATTGCAAAACACATGGTAGAAGAATACAGGTAGACGCATTAACGCTTGGGAAAATTAATATGTCAATTTTTTTCAAAAACAAATAGATTTTTATATGTTTTTTGTACGACACCAATCGGAGGTTTTTATGATATCCATTTTTAAACAATTTTTTTAAAATTTGAATAATTTTTCATTCCAAATTTTCAATTTCAAAATTGGTTTGACAGAACCTTGTTCCAACAGCTGTGTCGATGCGACTACCTGTATTCTTCTGTCATGGCAAAACAATAGAAGTAGACTCATTTGCGCACTGAATTACTCGACCATGCCATTTTCATATCTCATATATTTACGTATGGCGAGTAGCATATTTTACAAAAAAAATAATAAATAATCAATTATTGAAGGCATACCTAGGCACGTAAAAACAGTTATATCTTCCATATCTTAGGAAGATGAATTTCATTTGATTTTGTCTTAATCTTAAACATATAAAAATAGAGATTTGAAACCCTTCGTCTTAAGAAAACATATTCTTTGCTGTAGTAGTCCCCGAATGACGTTTTATTTTAAGTTAGTCTTTAATGATCAAAACCTTCACAATACCTGATATATGGATTCTGCATAAAACGATCATAAATTTTCTGCAATGAAATTTAGGCTAATTCGACAGAAATTCGGGATGATAATATTCTACCAGTATTATTGTTGATCTTGGTTGCCCTAGCTGCCGCAAAATGTTGCTTTGAAAACAAATTCAAAATTCCAGCTCAGCTGATTACCAAATGGTCTGTCAATTAAATTTGAATTCGCTGCAACCGAAACAAACGACAATTTTTACTGTTGTGCAAAAATATTTATTTGGCCATTTTTTTAAGTGAAGTTTACACAGGTGTGTTCGAACCACTTCAACATGGAGCATGTGGTAAAATCCGGAAACAAATATAGATAATTGCCTATCGCTGTCCCAGAATACCGGCCCACACTGAAGCACATAAGTATTACTTCGAATTTAAGATGAGGGATTATGGCACTACGTTATTCCATTTCTTAAACGCAATATTGGGTTATCTTATTTATATTGTAAAAATAGAGTACAGATTTTCACAATTACTTGGTTTTTTTCTCGCAGCAGCGCATTGTAGAAGGATAAAGGTAGTCGCATCAACAAAGCTGCTGGGACAATGAACAGTCGAACCAATTTTACAATTGAAAATTTTGAATGAAAAATTATTCAATTTTTTAAAAATTGTAGAAAAATAAATATCATAACAAAGCCTCCGATTGGTGTCGTATAAGAATACTTATAAAAGTCTACTTTCTTGAAAAAAAAAAAAAATATTTGAAATGTCAATGTTCCTAAAAGTTGATGCATCTACCTGTATTCTTGTACCATGCAGCAGTGCTGTTTTATATACATTTTCCAATCTGGTTGTCAAAAAATTGACAACAAACATATTCGCCACAAAATTCTTTTGTATATGTGAAAATATTTATTTTCTCCTCAAGCATGAATTTTGACATTTCATCTGATAAAATAACAGCTGTTTTTAGATTAATTCGTTCGAAGGAAGACCTTATAATTGGGCCATGAACCATCAACCATTCATGATTTTCGTACCCTGTAAAAGGCGAGAAAATGAAAAAATATTTGGTCGGAAATAAATTTAAATTTCTTGCCAGCTGTATGCTCATATTTAAGGAAGAACCACAAAATTTATATTTGCTAATTTGTGGACTCAAATAAAAAAATGTTATCGTTTGATTGCATGAGGTTACCTTGGTAATTGTGCTATGCCATAGATTTTAGATATGCCCTCTATAACAGGGATATTTGGTCAAAAAAGATAACATAACATTGATGTAATTATATTGAAATCCTATGGCCGGTTATGACATCTTTCCGATAGGTAAAAAAATATGTTGTTGGACACATGAATCGTTTGTCGTTATATTACAAGTTTCATTTAAGTATGAACTGTCCGAAAAGCAAAAGGTCAGACCATCTTTCCTTTATCTTTAAGCGTAAAGTGTACTGAATTCATGTTGCCATATTTTATATTGATAGTATGGCAACAACAGCAAAATTTATTTAAATAAAAGAATGGATAACGCCGGTCGTTTATTTTATATTGAAGAACTGAATTATAAATTTATTTCACGAAATTAATTACAAATTTGTTTCGTTTATTATTTTTAAACGAAAATGAAGACGACTATTAGTTACTTTTGCGGATAGCTTGCCATATCTCTGTAAAAAATCACTTATTTTAACGGAAAGATGTAATAATGAAAACCCGATTTCCTAAAGTAAGGGATAACAAAAGTGGACTATAAAGAAAAGATATAAGAACGGGCCTATGGGAATTAACTTAATTAGAATTTATATTTTGCAACAAATTAAGAAGGCCCTCTATAATATACTTTCATGCATATACGCTTTGCTATTATTATTGATTTATTATTATTATTATTGTTTTTTTACACTAACTAACGCCTTGCCTGCCGCTAACCAAAATGCTTAAAAAAACACGCTTGCGCAGATGAAAACATCGGTATGTATGCAAAGGATTCAAGAGCCTGTCGTATCCATGAACAGTTTTATGACATTTCGATTTTTATTTTTGTAAACCTCCCACAGCTCCTCCTTCACCTCCTCGCAATCTCAGATGCCCAGATATAACAAATAGAAGTGTAACACTTGACTGGGAATCACCTGCGCACAATGGTGGTTCTGAAATAACCGGTAAGGCGAATTGTCACAATTTATGTCTTTTAGAAACGACACCATAATGTTGTCCCACTCCACTCCTTGCAGGTTATATTGTTGAAAAACGATCCGCCACATCAACCACTTGGGCACAAGTCATAAGTTTGGATGCAAATTGTTTCCAATACACTGTAGATAATTTGAAAGAGAAATCCGAATACTGGTTTAGAGTATCGGCTGAAAATGTTGCTGGTGTGGGTGCACCAGCGGTGACCGATATTGTAGCCTTGAAGACACATGCAAGTAAGTATTTTCACACACACATGCGCTTGCATATAGAATGTGTATGTGCAGGATTTGCAAATTCGGTTTTACTAACCTTTGTTCCTGTGTTTTGCCCCTATAGCCGTTCCATCACCACCCACAGCACCACTCGAGGCCAGAGTCATTGGTGCTAATACCCACGTCTTTGAATGGGGCATGCCCGAATCAGATGGTGGTGCGCCATTATTGGGCTATCACATTGCCATTCGAGATATGAAGAAGAGTATGTGGATTGAAGTGGGACGTGTACCAGCGGGTGTTTTGAGATTCCAAATTAAGGACATGCAAGAGAAGCACAATTATAAGATACGTATCTTTGCCAAGAATGAAATAGGTCTTAGTGAACCTTTGGAGTCCGAAGAACCATATCACGTCGAAACATCGGGTATGTATAACATTTTTCCAAAACTCCAAATTACAATACGCTATAGTTGCTCTATGGCGACGTTCTCTGCGAGTTTATACGGAAGGCAAGATAATATGATTTATGAATTTTTAGTCAACATAGCAATAGGTCTGACTGGTTACTTGTCCTACAGTCATTGTTCAACAACTTATAACTAGGTAGTTTTGTCATAGACAAATGAAAAAATAGAGAAAGGAATGCTCTCCGCCGCTTACCATAAAAAAAACGGGCCAGATGTAGTCGATGTCGTTTCAGGGGTATGAGTGAAAAAATATTGAAGTCACTCAAATTCTAACATGTTACAAATGTTCAAATGTAAAAAACACTGTAGGATATTTGTCAGTTGAAAATTGTTCCATAATTAAAGATAAGTGAAAATTACATCATGACATCGGAATAATCAAGTGAAATTCTTGAAAAACGATGAAATGTGTTTTCGAAGTCGACCACGTAAATCAGCCACCTACATAAAAAACAAAACTAACTTTCCGTTGGCAATATTTTCATTTGTCATTATTCTCTTTTGCCCAAAAACTGTGAAAAGTAAACATACGAAGTCACTGTAAATACTGACAAGCAATCAGCTGATTTATCAAAACGAAACAAACATTAAAAATGAGCCGAAAAACATAATAATTATGCTTATGATTTCCAAAATAAATTATTTTTAAATGTGAGAATACATAAAACGCTTTTTTGACTGGCTTAAGTCATCGGCTGGCTTTATCGGAAAATAATAAAGGAGCTAAGGACAAAAATCGAACTAAGTCACCCTAAAGCTCCTTTGTTCTTCTACGAAGAAGCCAGTCGATGACTTAAGACAGTCAAAAAAGTGTTTTAGGTATTCTCACTTTAATGGAGGAGAAGATGGCTCGCTTGTGATTGCGAGAAAAAAACTCTCATTGAAATAACTGTCAAAATGCCTCTCTGGAATCGTTATCTTTTGCAGCACATTTGTGTTAACAGTCGACTTCCAGTAAAAACATTGTCAACATTTTTTCAATTGTTATGTTGACCAGATACAACTAAAATTTGTCTCTGTGACGACAATCACAAAAACAATTTTAAAATCATCAAAGAAAAGCTCATTTTTTGTCTATTTTTTTTCTCCTCCTTAAACTGCCATCAGACGATAAGGATTTTACGTATGTGCTATCATTTTTATTATCCATTAGTATTTCCCGGTGCATGTCAAAATTGACATTTTACAAATGACTTGTAATTCTTGCTATCACACGCTTACATAAGGATTACTTTTTACACAAATTATATTTTCCCATGGTAGAAGAATACAGGTAGATGCATAAAAGCTTGGGAACATTGATACGTCAAAAAAAAATTTTTATGATTTGTTCCAGAACTGCAAGAATGTAAAAAATAAGTGGATTTTTACAAGCTTTCTTATACTACACCAATCGGAGCTTTCTATGAAATGCATTTTTCAAAAAATTTTATAAATTTTAATAATTTTTCATTAAAATTTTTCAATTTAAAAATTGGTTTAACAGTTCATTGCCCTAGCAGCTGCGTAGATGCAACTACCTGTATTATAGGTTAACTCATTTGCTAAATTGAATATGGCAACCCTTTTCTGATGAACTCGATCTTGGCATTTTTCAAATAAAATCTATGTCATATCTAAAATATTTTCGTATGACGAGTGGCAGATAATAAAAAATAATAAATGTTCTATTATTTTCGACGTTCCTTGGCACGTAAAAACAGTTTTACATTCCATATCTCAGGAATACCAAATTTATTTATCTGTTATTGGACTAAAACATATAAAGATTAATATTTCAAACCCTTTATCTTAGGGAAGCGTTTTGTTTTCATACTTTTCCTTTGGTTTGGTTTCATTCAACCAATCCATAATCAAGTCTTACATGACTTATCAGAGTTATATTTTAGTTTTCTCTTTTAAATAAATACGTTTTTCTTTAAGTATCTGGGGTTTTTTTATTAGAATCAGATATTTCACAATGGGTTATATTCTTACTTGACTTTTATGCCCTTTTAAAGGCGTGAAAATAACAAAATATTTGGTCTGAAATTATCAGCGTACGCCGATATTGAAGAAAGAATTACAAAATATAAATTTGTCAATAAATTGATAAAAATTGTTGAACAACGCGAATTATAATAACCTCCGAATGACGTCGTATAAGGAAACATATTAAAATCTACTTACATTAAAAAAAAACATTTAATTATTTTTGACATATCAATGCTCTCAAGCGTTGATGCATCTACCTGTATTCTCCTGCCATGGTAGGTACCATGATTTCAGTTTTGCAGTTCTAGAACAGACCAATGGTAAATTGGTAAAAAAATTCGTATAAAAAATCTAAAAATGTTGACATATCAATGTTCCCAAGAGTTGATGCATCTACATCCTTCTACCATGGTCCTTGTGTTTTCTTACCTAGTGTTTACGCAAGGCAAATTGTCATCAATCTGAGTACGAGAAGGGAAATCTTGTAGAGATGTCAGAACTCGATCCCAATGAAACTCATGGCAGAGACATGTTAATATAAAAACCACAATTACGGAAGCGGATAACAAATAAAAATTTGAAAAATCCAAAATTTTTGTTTCAAAATTCTATTCCATAGACCTTTCCGAAAATTTGCATATTACCTTAGCTGTTTAAATCAGTTAACATTGGTAACTAAGTTGTTATGATATCGTAACAACAGAGGTAATTTCACAGGGTTACCATATTTTCACTCTGTCTTGTCCTATCTTTACACTTCTATGTCTTTGCTTTTTCCTCTACGAAGAGGCCAACCGATGACTTAAGCCTGTCAAAAAAAGCGTTTTATGTATTTATTCTCACCTTTAGCCTTCAGCAGTTGTTATGCAAAGAATAAATTAAATGTTAAATAATAATAAATAAATGTTAAATTATCTTCTTATCAAATGTAATAATTTATTAATAATATTCCATTTCCCATCGTTCACATTTAGGTCACCCAGCGTTGCCCGAGGAGGAACGCACCGAAATGAGCTCATGCAATACATCATCGTGGTTACGTATGCATCATATGGTTGCAGATATCCATTCGTATGCCCGCCAGAAATTGTTGCGACATGACGAATACTTCTTCCGTATATGGGCTGAATTGCCAGGCAATAAGAGGCCACCATTGCAGAGAAGTAAATCCATAAGCACAGAACATAAAATGAAAATTAAAACAAAAAAACAATAAATAAATTCGAACCAATGTAAAAAAACCCGGACTGGAACTAAAATAGAAAAACCAAAAAAAAAAAAACAAGAAAAATGTTTATAAAAACAACAAAGAAACTGTACATTATACTGTCGCCAACGAAACTACTAATACAAAAGCGGAAAAACCAAACAACACTTGAAACAGATTAAAGAACTAAACAAAACAACTAATTTAAATGTAGCTTTAGAATTTTTCTACTTTAAAATTATATTACATAATTATTATTATTATTTTGATTTAGAGTTTAAGAAAACTGAAATAGAAATTTGTAAAAGTTGTGTAATGTGTTTTTTGTCAACACACAATCATGTTCTTTTGGCAGGAAAAACCATCACAGAAGACGAATAATCCCCAACAAATTAATATAAATAAAAAATACTTCTAAATAAACTGTTGCGTTCACGGTAGTTTTGGAAAAAGTAAATGCGAGCGAAGAATATTTTTTCCATAGCTTACTGGCAACGAAAACAGTTTCAAAAACCGAAAGACAGCGGGTGTTCATGAGAAGATCATTACACAATTTATAAAAACAATAATACCGTTAATTCAATATTGAAAAAAATTGTTAAATTCTCTTAATTCAAAAAGGTTTAACTTTTAGAAGCGATTTGTTAATTTTTTGTTAATTTACTTTATTTTCTTTCTTTTCTTTAATTTTAAACTGTGATAAATTTTCAAAAGAAATCACAAATACCCTGACAAAAAGTAAACGAAACTAGCTATCAACCAAAAAAAAAAAAAGAATAAAAAATAATTGTGTAACACAATGAATGTAAGAGAAATGTGCATTTTTTGGAAATTTACAATTTATTTAGCCATACACTTATTTGCAGAACCGATTGCCTAAACTAAAGGTGCGAATTGTTTATGTAAATCGCAATGTAATAAGTGTATGAACAATTATTTTGTTTGTGGAATGCATATTTCTAACTAAGACATAATATATATAAAATTAGAAATATAATTAAATATTTGCCTTACAATAATTTAATAAAACAAAATTTACCAAAATGTCATGCATAACTTATTTATTAAAACTTGTTTTGAAATGTTCAACGCAGATATTATAACATCGGGATAAAAGGCCACAACAGGCTCTTGTTTGGTAGACTTGCGAGATTAGACGAAAAAGTCCGAAAAATCCATCATCTTAAATAGAACAGGCAAAAAAGCTGTAAGATCGGCCGGGCCGAATTTTGAATACCCCCCATCATTGGGAACGAATTTGGCAATTTTCAAAAAAAAAAATTAAAACCGTTAAAAATTCTATTTTTTCAAATGCGAAACTAAAAAAAAATCTGGCGAATAATGTAGCAAAAGTCATCAAAATACCCAATATCGGGAGGTACATTTATATGGGGCTATACCAAGACGTGGACCTGCACAAACAATTCTTCGTCATAGGCCGTACTATCCATTACGAACTTAAAATAGCAAATTTGAAACAATTCCGGTGAATAATGACGCTAAAATCTATATGGGGCTATACGAAGACATGGACTTGCAAAGACAATTTTCTGTCCATTACGAACTTCAAAAACCAAATTTGAATCAATTCCGGTGAATAATATAGCTAAAATCAACAAAATACGGAATATCGGGAGGTACTGTTGTATGAGGGCTATACGAAGACGTGGACCTGCACAAAAAATTTTCTGTTATAGGCTGTAGTATCCAATACGAACTTCAAATACCAAATTTGAAACAATTCCGGTGAATATTGCCGCTAAAATCACCAAAATAGCGAAAACAGGGAGGTACTAATCTATGGGGGCTATACCAAACGTGGACCTATATGGCCCATTTCCAATACCAAAAGTACTGCACACATAATATACATTTGAGTAAAATTTTATCAACCTTCATTCTGAAGCTAGAGCGATTTCCACATCGTCATCGTTAAATCGATATAGAATTTTATGCTGATCAAGAATATATATACTTTGTGGGGTGTAAAATGTATATTTCGAAGTGTTACAAACGGAATGGCAAACTTAATATACCCACCATACTATGGTGGAGGGTATAATAAATAACATAGGCATTTACAGCGATAATAAGCATTATCGTGGTACATTTGCTCCATCCCAGATAAATACAAGGTGTCACAAAAGTAAACTTCCGATGTTTTTTGGCTGTAACTAAAACAAGATAAAAAGTATCAATCGGTTCTGCCGACAGACTAATACCCTCAGCATTGTTGTATTATTTAAATATATTTTGACTTCTGTTATGATTATTCAAACTGTTGACCCTCTGAGGCGTGAGGGAATGGGCCAATATTTCTATTTCGTATCGAACCTAAATAAATACGATATAAATATGGGATAACTTGGTAACAGGTTGGTAACATCCATCATTTTACATGACACATGTGATAATTATTAGAAAATATTAACATGTGTGTGAGGTACCAGATATAGTCGACCGAAGTATTCCATTTTCATGGATGTTAATTTCGCTTTTTATGAGCTTCGTGGATATTCAAAATTGTTTACCTTTATGTACCAGAAGGAGTGGACCGATATATCTCATCTTCACAACAGATCTTGTGTTAGTAGAAATAATGGGATGTGTGAAATATAAAGAGTACCTTATGCTTATTTCGCGTTTTATGACCTTCATGAATAATCAGACCTTGGGTTAATAAAAATATTGGGATGTGTGAAATTTGAAGACAATCGGACTCTTACATCATATTTTATAAAAGTTGTAATTACTCAAAATTTTAACCCTTTGTGGGGGAGGTACTGGATGGAGTGGACCGATAGGTTTACGTTGTCACAGTTCGATTTTGACCCAGCGCTCCTTTGTTCTTTTTCGAAGAAGCCAGCCGATGACTTAAGATTAGAATACATAAAACGCTTTTTTTGACTTAAGCCAGGCAAAAAAGAGTTTTATGTATTCTCATCTTTGAGCTAGTCAAAAAAGCGTTTTATGTATTCTCACCTTTAAGGTGTGGGTACATAAGCAGCTTGAAGTCTTCTAAAGGCGAAATGGTATCGAAAGTATAAATTTGAAAAAAAAAAAAAAAAAATGTAAATATATCACTGTACAACATAACCTCCTTTATTCTATCCCAATACCTTCTGCCTTGAAGTCAATTTTTGGTCTGTTTTACTACGATAACCGATTTTTCCTTTTATAGCATCAAAAAATAGTAGATTATTGCAGGTTCTGGGACATAGCAAATAAATGTAGGTATTATAACTTGATACCTAAGCCAGCTGGTTATAAACACAATTTAAGCCAAAATCAATTTGACAAATGTCTCTCCAGTTGAATTTGAATCAAGAACCTACATGTATGAACAAACGATTTATGATGCTATCAATTACGAATAGTGCCGTGTTATGCTAAGGTCACATGGCACGTGATTCGCTCTCTATTCCTTGCATGATAGAATGGAGAGGTAGAAAAGCTTCGTAAAACTACAGAAATACAGCCCTGAGGCTATGCCCACTTCCTGTCAAATTTGTTGTTTTCATTTATTCAATATTATTCCTCATTTTTAAATCAGTTAAACAGCGGGAAAATGAATGAAATGCAGGATTTTCTTTCAAAACTGTAAAACTGATGAATAGCTTTAATGCGCATCTCGCTATTTACGCATCTCCCAATCATTGATTTTGAAAATAAAACTTGCGAGGAGTCAGGCAGACTTAGAAAACAATTGTAATCAGCTAGTAGGTCAACCCTACCTTTTTATTGTACCATGATTCTTTGTTCGACCATTAATTAAGAAATATCTACTTAATTCCCCACACAAAATTTACAGAGCGAACAAACATTTTTGTTCTTCGTTCCATTCAAATCACTCTCAGAACTAAGATGAAATCTGTGCCATCCCTAACAAATGAGAGTATTTATCGAAAAAATAAATTTTGACATTTAAAAATTGAAAAAATTATTGAAATTTTGAAAAAAAATTGGGAAGACTGAAAATTATGAATGAAAACTACAATGCTGAATGACGTATGTATATTCAAACGAAAGTAAATTTTCTTTTCTCTCTCATCCGATGTACGCATTTTGTCCACGAGTTGAAATTTCCACAGAAAACTGGAAGCAAAATTGACAATATTTTCAAAATGTTTATATCGGCAGAAAATATGTTTGACAAGCAGAATTTAAAAATAGAAAAATACAAAAATATATTCAAAATGTCAATATGTACACAAAAAGTTGAAAACATGAATGAAAATTGTAAAATTAATGATACAATAAATCTTTGGGTGAAAAACAATAATTTCTTCTATTCATATTAATGCGAATTTCATGTTTTCATAAAAATTCCCATTAAAATCAACAACATTTTTGTAAAAATTAATTATTTTACTATGAATTGCGTATCGCGCCGTGTACCTAATAGCATGTTTCCATTGGAAGCCGAACAACGTTGTTCGCTCTCAGAATTAGGTACATGAATTAACCCGTTCATACGGCACGATTCGTAATTCATAGTAAAATAATTCATTTTTTCAAAAATTTTGTTTGTTGATTTTAATGGGAATTTATACTAATTTACATTAAATTCTCACTAATATGAGTAGAATAAATTATTGTTTTTCTCCCAAAGATTTATTTTATCATTAATTTTATAATTTTCATTCATGTTTTCAACGTTTTGTGTAAATGTTGACATTTTTAACATATTTTTGTATTTTTCTGTTTTTTAATTCTGCTGAAGAGACACTTGTCAAACATTTTTTCTGCCGATACAAAAATTTTGAAAATATTGCCTCTTTTGTTTCCAGTTTTCTGTGAAAATTTCAACTCGTGGACAAAATGCGTACCTCGGATGAGAGAGAAAACAAAATGTACTTTCGTTTGAATGTACATACGCTATTCAACATTGTAGTTTTCATTGATAATTTTCAGTCTTCCCAAAAATTATCAAAATTTCATTAAATTTTTCTATTTTCAATTTTTAAATGTCATAATTTATTTTTTCGATAAATGCTCTTATTTGTTAGGGATGGGACACATTTTTTCGTTGTTCTGAGAGTGATTTGATTTGAACAATGTACAAATATGAGTGTTCGCTCAGGAAATTTTGTGTGAAGAATTAAGTAGTTTTTTCATAGTTAAGGGTCAAACAACGAATAGAGAGCGAATCAAGTGCAGTGGAAACGCCACATAATTCTGAGAGCGAACAAAATGATTGAAAGTGCAATGAGAACATAGCATTAACGAAAGAACATGGTATAACCAATAACAAAAATCGATTATCAACAAATCGTAATCGGGCTGGATTTCACGACTAGTCGGGAGTCGACCTTTGTATCCCTAATGATATATATTTATCACGGTGCGGAATTAATTGTGTTATTTTTTTAACTTTTTATTGGCATAAAGTTTGCAAGTGAAAAGTAACCGGATATTACTAACGAAACAATTCAATGTATCAATGATGTGGCTCCAAATAAATGTTTATAGGCACAAACAAATTAATTGAAGTGTAAAATAGATTGCCAAACAAGTGAAGTATGAAGTAACGCGCCATTTTGGAATTACTGTGACTCTGTGATTAGGAAAACAACAAGGCCTAATATGTGCAAATGCATTGAATTAAAAATGTATTAATAACATGGATCAATAATTATTTTTTATTTTGCAATCTATTTTATTTAATACTTTGCAACTCTGTCCATATTGTGCATTGTTGTGGCGACGTCACGTCATTTGCTTATTTTGATATGGGACACATTTATTTGCAACACTGAATGCACATAGGCCATGTATGTACGTCTCTGACCGCTGTCTCATTTTTGTACAAAAAATTAAACAAGGATCAGAAAAGCAATGCAACATTTTGATTTTGGCTCAAGCAAGTGACAATGATGTCATTAAACAATAATATAAACAATATTGTCTTCATGGATAAGAATTACAAAACGAAGTGAAAAATAAACTACGTACGTTTATTTACATCTCTGTGTGCTCGCTTTAGGCTACCAACACTAAAATTACCCCTTTTACATTGTCATTTTGATTGAGCTTGATTCGATTTTTCGTTTTCCCATACAATCTTTTGGTAATTTTAGTTCTGACGTTCCTTGCTTGCCAAAGCAGAATATGATTCGTAGTGTGCGTCTGTGTATATGAAAGAAATTGTGATAATGAATTTAATTATCGCTAAGCAAAAACAACATGTTCCAGCAAAAAAATGTACGAAATAAAAAGCACCGTTTTTGATTAGGAGAATCGCTCGGAAGCAGTCAAAACAATAACAAAAAACAAATCAAGTCTACACAAACGGTCGGGAAAAAATCAAAGAAAGAAGCCTATTGGACGCGTTGTTGTGTATGTGTGTGTGCGCGTATTAGATTGTTGATAGTGTGGCCGGGTTGGTGGTGTCAAGAATCAAGAATACGCTGAACGGAACAATGAATACGGAGATGAACGGTGTGAGAATTATTTTTATTCATATGTTTTTTTCTACTGCTTCTTGGTGAACGTCGACGAGCAACACAACACAAATAGAAAAGAATAAATAAACCGACGTCAGACAATACGTCAAAATATTCGCTCACACCCGCACCGCTCTGTGCCGTATCGCTCCGTGCTCCTACACAACGTCGTGGTGGAGTCGTCGACGGACGAGAACGACTGAGAATTTGTTTTTTGCTGTATCACTGCCTTTACACGGTGACATTTTTTAACCATGCCATTTTTTTTTGTTGGTAAAAGGTGTAGAGAGACAAGGATAGAAGAAAAAATTGCACGATAAGCCACCGCACAGGGTTACATGCCATTTTCTTTGCATTTCTCTTTTTGCTTCTTCCAAAATTTTTATGATTTTGACATTTCATATCGTTTCTTTATTGTAATTTTTGATGCGTTTCTTTTATTGTGATTTGATGTTTTTAGTGATTGAATTGTTTAGTGAATTATATGAAAATTAATTGGAAGTATTAAAAAAGTAAAAAAAGAAAGTTAAAATAAAAGTTAATAATGCAATATTTAACACCTCAATAACTTTTTCCATCATTTCTTCTTTAGATTCACACATTTAATTTTAAATCACTTCTTTATAAATATCTGTTACAAACAATTAGCTCTATACGAAATACTGAATAAAATAAAATGTCAGAAAAAATGCCAAGCACTATTATCGTAAAATGCCACCGTGTAAAGGCGCGAAGATTTACGCAGAAATTTTAAAAGAGAATTGATAAAAATGCCAGCTAAAAATTGCACCGTGTAAAGACAGTGTATGTGTGTATTTTTGTTGGTTGGTATTTTTCATTACGGATTTTTCGTTTTGTGTTCCTCCTCCAACGAGACATGGCGAGAACTCTTTCTTTCTTCTTTCGTGCCATCGAATCTTATCAATAATTTCTCATTTTTTGATATATTACAAAGGTATTTTTAATTAAATTTGAACGAAATTAACGAAACTTGTATTAACCCAAGCAGCTTTATGCTGCTCTGGAAGCACCAAAAACATTTTTGCGGTCATCAAAAAGAATAATTAAACGGATCGTGCGAGTGTCTGTGATTGAAGAAAATTCAGCGTTGCGTCATCATTCTCGGTGGAATTAATGTTACTTGTCGGTTGTAGAATTAAAGGATAATCGCCTAGCCAGTAGCACAGCACCAAAAGAAACACATATCTTTGGCCAAATGGAATGTGGACTTCTTCATCCACTGTCACATTGTCCCTCAATTTTGGTATAACAACAATCGCAACTGCGTCATTTCATTGAAGATTCTGAAGAGACAAGAACAAAACAATATGTCTGTGCAACAATTTTGTTTACGTTGGAACAACCATCAACCAAACTTTATATCGGTCTGCTCATCACTACTACACAATGGCACACTGGTTGATGTGACATTAGCCGCTGAGGGAAGGCAATTGCAGGCACACAAAATCGTGCTCTCAGCGTGCAGTTCATATTTTCAGGTAAGTGTGTAATTCTATTCTGCCAATGTATTGAAAGTTATCACCATAAAAATCCTATTTTTCATAGACACTTGAGTACAGTTCCTTGGATCGAATGTGTGCATAGTGTAGGTTCTACCATCTAGTAGAAGCAAATCCTACTCCATATGGCACCTTTGCTTATTTGCAGATTGTTTGGAATCATTTACCATAGTTAAATATCGTTGTCTTGATCAAGTTTAGTTAATTTTATCCCGATTAAATGGTACTTTTCATTCGGAAATATAAATTTTTATATAGGGCTCATATTTGATCCTACAGTAGAATTTCTGTTGAACCAACGTCTCAGTATGTATCAGTTGATAACTGCTTCAAATACTTATCCTGACCATATGTAGGTGCTAGGTGGATCGAAAGTTATAGAAATAGTTTCCTTTTCAATTAATTGTATTCTGCCGTATGGGGTAAGTGGACCCATAGTCAGCACTTTTCATTTATTTTTTTTTATATTAATATTTTAGGAATAGTGTTGCCTTTAAGTTATTTCAAAATAAGTCAGGGTTTATACAGTTTTTGTTGTTGTAATATTACTAAAAATACGGCGGGAATATTATGTATTCGGCGAGAGCCACCAATCCTAGGCAGTTTCCTCGGCTTTAGTCTTATTAAAAAAAAAACTCCTAGGACAAATATTTTGTGAACACAAGTTCTTTAGAGAGAAACCTAAAAACAAAGGGTTTCTTAGGTAAACATAGTAATTTCATTAATAAGAAAATTTATTCGTCATGTCGAGTTTTTTTCTTCTTCAATAATATGTACGAATTACAAGTAATTTCAATAAAACGCAAATCTTCTAGCTCTGCAACTAAAATAGATTTAAAAGATTTTAATTTAAAATAATGTTCTGTCCGCCTAACCGATTTGCACCTTCTCTTAATTGGTTATATTTGGTTTCAGAAATTTTAAGGGTTTACTTTTAAGATATTACACAGGATGAAATAAAAAAACTGCAACAAAGTCAAACGCCATAATATTTACATTTTATTGAATGAAAGCAAAAATGTCGGAAAAAGCATCAAATTTTAGAATAAGTTTGGTCACCTTTGGCACGAATTATGACCTTCAAGCTGCCCGTCATCATCACCGGCATGGCCGGCGCTTGAGTTCTGGTGGTCAAGGAGCACATTTTCAGTTGACCTTTGGCAGTTTATTTGTTTACAAACTGCTGGACAACGAATGTTTTCTCATCGGAGAAAACCAAATTCGGCAGTTTACCACTTTCCGCCAAGCGGAGCAACTCTTTAACTCTTTTGAGTCTATTTTCTTTATGCTGCCGTGTAAGTTCTTGTACTTTTTGGAATTTCAATGGCTTTACCCTGAGCTCATTTTTCAATATTTGCACAATGGAATATTGCGATATGTTCAGCTCACGAGTCATTTTCGGCCACTGCGTCGTGAGTTTCGATCAAGTCGCTTCTTTACTTTTCGAACCATTTCTGCTGATGTTGCTGTTTTCTTCCGTCCACTTCCTTGACGTCGGGCTACGGTAACGGGCGATGGTCTCGTACCATTTTTTATATTCACATTTAAATGCTGGAGTGCTCTAACGATAGCCACTTGTGGGTTTCCAGCCAAATATAAAGAAATCACACTATCACGCTTGAATTCCATCACAAATAACTTTTTATACCCTACACCATAAGTTGGTCAGGGTATTATGTCTTTGTCGATTTATGCATGTCCCTCCATCTGTCCATGTATTTTTGTAAACAAAGTACAAATCGCATTTATTAGCCGATCCGGATGAAATTTTGCATAAATTATTTGTTTGGCCCAAGGACGAACCCTATTGAAATTGGAGATAATCGGTCAAAATTTAGATATAGTTCCCATATATATCTTCGTCCGATTTGCATTTTATTGTGCACCAAACGTGTTATAACAGACCGAATAGTATGGAATTTTGCACATACAACCAAATTAGGACTGAAAATAAGTATGCCAAATTTGAACGAAATCGGTTCAGATATAGCTATAGCTCCCATATATATTGTTCATCCGATTAGTTATTTTTGTGCTCCGCAGCCGTAATATGCACTCAGTAACAAACAATATTTGGGGAAATATATCAAATACAGCTCAGAAATACATTTGCTAAATTTTATTGAGATCGGTTCAGATTTACCTTTTATTGTGCACCAAACGTCTAATATTTGTCCAAATGGGATAGAATTTGGCACTTTTTGGGTCTATTTTACTTCTGTTGCGGTGCAAGTTCTTGCACTTTTTGGAATTTCAATGGCTTTACCCCGAGACCATTTTTCAATATTTGCCAAATGGAATATTGCGATTTGTTCAGCTAACGAGCCATTTTTCGGCCACTGCAACGCGAGTTTCGATCAAGTCGCTTCTTTACTTTTCGAACCATTTCTGCTGATGTTGCTGTTTTCTTCCGTCCACTTCCTTGACGTCGGGCTACGCTACCAGTATCACGGTAACGAGACACAAAAGATTTATTCACATTTAAATGCTGGAGTGTTCTAATGATAGTTACCTGCGGTTTCCCAGCCAAATATAAAGAAATCGCACTATCACGCTTGATTTCCATCACGAATAAGTTTTTTTTTCTTGAAAAATCTCACCAAAATGCTTTTGTACGCTTGCAAACATTAAAATGAGCTGTCACTGGAATAATTTTAACAGTTGTCAGAAGAGTGGCTTAGAAATGACAGCAGTCTGAAATTGGTTGCAGTTTTTTCATCTCACCCTGTATGTGGGTTCTGAAATTTGAAGGGTTTATTTTTAAGATATATATGTAATGCAGGCTAAAAAACGAAACTTTGGTACAATCCACTAGAAAAATTATTATTTTCCTAAAAAATCAACTCACACATTCAACCACAGGTTCGAGCCGCATAAATATGTATATTTTATTTAAATATGAACATTTTCTCCATTTGATCCCTCCCCAAAATGTAATAAAATCCATTCTTGGTTGCAAGCTGAATTGTCAGTGGCTTAACATTCATATACATTAAATGTCAACGAAGGATATTTATAAAATGTGTACCAATTGTATTCTTCAGAAACACATTAACGAGAAAGGAGGAAACGAATATTATATACATTCTGCACAATTCAAATTTTCATTAACACAGTTTTACCTTACCTCTGTAAAGTGAAGTTGGGACGTCACTTCCAACTCTTGACAAGTTGAAGGCTCGGACTACTTGTTCAAAAATGGTTTCGGAGTATGGCTTTATCCTAGTGTTTATTTCCTTTTTCGTCTTTGAAAAGCCTTGCTCGCCTTCAAGTGCAATTCCTTATTATATTAACTGTAGACCATGTTGAACACAATTGGTCACATTCGATATAAAGAAAATCATTCCCTGCATCCTTTTAGCTGTTAGAGTTTTTCCGCAAGGAAAGATTGACTGTGATATTAAAAACTCGCATCGAACAGTGTTGGCATGTTTGTTCGGGATACCATAGTATTTTGTTGTTGCAAAATGGTAAGGCTTAACCCCATTATTGTTGTTTTTATAAAAACAACGTTTGATTATTAGTTGAGAACGATAAAGTTTACCAGGAGTTACCGCCTGGCAGGAAATATCTAGATAATTCTTTAAAGTGGATGCGATTCGAAATATCGGAAGGCACAATCTACCGAGTGACCTGCAGGAATAATGTTACGAAATAGCAAAATGCAATTAAAACTTGAAACACACTTGAAAAAAAATATTCTTTGTATGCTACATGGAGTCTTATCAAGTGTAATGGAATTAGAGTTCTTGTGTGAATGTTTCCTTTTTTTATGTTATAGATATATTTAGTTATATCATCTGAATACTATTAAAGCTTTTCATAAGATAACGTTTTTTTTTCTTTTATTTTTAGACACTTTTCACTTCAAATCCATGCCAACATCCAATTGTTATTTTAAAGGATGTTCAGTACGATGACTTGAAGACAATGGTCGATTTTATGTACTATGGCGAGGTAAATGTATCGCAAGAGCAATTGCCGCATATATTAAAAACGGCAGAAATGCTCAAGATCAAAGGACTAGCGGAGATGCCCACCGATCCAGCCAATTTAACAAAATCCGAAAGCAAATCATCGAACGAAGCCCCAGAATTGGTTGGGGGTGGTGGTGGTGGCGGCAACAATGTGATTGGTGGAAGTGGCAGCAGTGGTGGTAATAGCAGTGGAGGTCTTGGCAGTACCAGCGGCACTGGTAGTGTCAGTGACTCCTTATGGGGTAGTACAGAATTTCAACAACACCAACAGCAACAACAACACCAGCAACAACAACAACAGCATCAGCAGCAACAACAACACCAACATCATCAGCAGCTTCAAGCACAAGCACAGCAGCAGCAACAACAGCAGCTGCAACATCACCATCAGCAGCAACAACAACAATTACACACACAGCTTCAAAATAGTCAAACCCAAACCTCACAACAACAACAGCAGCAACAACACCATCAACAATTAAGACGCACACCGTCACCACTAGGCGCGGGCGCCTCACCGGCAACCAGGCGAAAACGTTTACGAAAGTCGTCCAATAATGGTGCGTAGCGCGACAATCCAAAAATTATATACCGCATCCCCGTCCTCACATATATTTAACCCTTGATAAAACTCTTATTTTAGGCTCAGGTGAACGTACCAATTCCGAAGATCATAACACTTCACTGGATGCCGCCACCGCGGGTGGTTTAACGCTGTCACAAATGAGCCAAATGACATTTGGTAGTTCCGCTGCGAATAGCGCTCTTGGTGGTTTAGCAGCACATTCACTGCATACGGCAAAACTGCTTAAGGAGGCATCAAATAATGACTTGGAACATAACCCTCAAGACTCAGATAGTTTAGATGACACCCACGGCCATGTACATATGCAAATTGTAATTATCCGAAACATAACTTGAATAATACATTTGTGATTGACTCCCCTTATATACATATGTATTTTTAGAAACCCGAAGTGGATATCAGTGGCGTTCAACAATCGATGCCATTAGATATATCTGGTGCCACGACTCCATCTGAACACGATGCCCCTAATTCGCAATCTGCACATTCAGGTAAGTGTATTTGCAATACCTATCTAGTATTTGCTTTGTCTGTCTGAAATCACATCATTCTCTACTTTTAGTACTTGTTCACATCTATTATTTTTTGAAGCATGATAACATTCTAGACTTTGAGGGTTCTGATATAATGCACGCCCATTTGAAGCAATACGAATAATTTTTACTTTATGTCCAATGTTGAATGATAGGAAATGAAATTGTTTTATATTAATTTAATTATTTGAGGTTCGGTTTATATAAAAATTGGGTAAAAACAATTATTTCACTTTATGGTGAATTCGACGGCATTTCGACTTATTTATTATACCCTCAGCCATATGGCTATAGAGGGTATATATCATTTAATACGGCCAAAACGTGCCTTATCGAAATAACGGGTTTAGACCCTAGGTCTCTTTGGACCAAATCCGTTTCAGGACATTTTGAGTCGATCTAGCGATGTCCGTCCGTCTGTCTGGCTGGCTGGTTGGTGCGCACGATAACTGTCGAAGAGAGTATCCGATTTGGCCCAAAATTGGTAAATCGTATTATTATTATTAAACTTAGATCGAGTTCGGAGTTGGGTAATATCGATCCACTCCTTCTGGTACCTCCCCCGAACGATCGGACCATTCCTTCTGGTACCTCCCCACAATGGGACAAAATTTTAAATAGAAGTAACTCTCACAAGCTCTGGTGTGAAGATAGTAAATATCGATCCACTAATTCTGGTACCTCCCCCACAACGGGTCAAAATTTTGAATAACCATGAAGCTCATAAAACGCGAAAAGAGCATCCGATTATTAATTAACTCGGTACATCCCAATATTTTTATCAACAAAATATTAGGTATGAAGATGGATATATCGGAACACACATTCTGGTACCTTTCCCACAACTAATCGAAATTTTGAATACTTATGACTTTCGAAATTCTCTTCAAATTCTGGATGTGTAGTAAAGATGATGTATATCGGCCTACCCCTTCTGCTACCTCTCCCACAAAGAATCACATTTTTCAGTATTTATATCTCTCATAACTTAATGTACAATTCGGCGGCTCATTTAAAACTTGATCCATCTGCATATTTTTTAACAAGAGATATGGAATTTATCGGCTCACACCTCGTATCTACCCCGTAGCAGGTGAAATTTATAATTAACAATTATTCCAAAAAAATGGTAATAGACTTTCTTTGTTTCTGATTTTTTTGAAATTTTGTCATCCCAAAATATTATATAGTATAACATGGTACAATAATGAGGTAGAACAGTTTCGTAAAACTATAGAAATACACCCCTGAGGCTAATGCCATGTTTACGTTAGAACTTTTTGTAGGGTTAACCTACTTTGAGAGGATTTATTTGAAGTAAAAGTAATGGATATGACAATTTAAATCCAAATCCAGAGGGTTAACCCTATATAAACGTACTGTAAGCCCACTTGCTGTGAAATTACATTAAACAAGTTGTTTCCATTTATTATATATTTTTCCTCATTTTTAAATTGAGTTAAGTAGCGGCAAAAATGAATGAAATGCCTGGATTTTCTTTCAAAAATATGATCTAAACTGTTCGCTCTTTCAATTCCATGGCAAAACTCGCGAATAGCTTTACAGCCTGTTCCACGATCTCGAAAGAAAATTTGTGCGAACGAAGGCTACTCACTCACTTTCGTATAAGAATGCGTTCCACTAACTTTCGTTCTTTCTTTCGCATAGCCTTACGTGATTCAGTGTTGCTAAATATTTTTTTGGAAAAATTAATCGCGAAATAAGGCAAAAAAGCGCCAAATGTCTAATTTAAACGCGAAAAAGCAGCAGTGGCTCTGTCTCAACTGACATTTCAGTTGTAAACAAACAAATTGTAAATAAACAAACAAAATAAAAACTCTAGTGATTGTGTTCAAACTATTTGTGCTCTTAGAAAATAAAAAAAAGAATATTTCCGTAGCCCTATTTTTTATGGATGATGTGGAGGAGGTTCAAAATGTGCCACGGAGGCATTTAAGAGATGCTTCGAATTTATTTGAAGTACCTAACAACCAGTAAGTATGATTGTATTTTTACATTTTTGAAATAATAAAAAATAATAATAATAATTTTTTCAAGGTTTGTGGCCAATTTTCGTGTGTCGAAGGAAGTTTTCGGGCTCTTTTGGATAAGATGGAAGAGAAGTGGGTGCCCGGTTGCAGAACTACCCAAATCCGCCCCGATTTAAAACTTCTTCTGCTGCTTCCAAAAATTGGCACTCCTCTGGCGAACACAGGATTCTCCTCCATATACTAGTGCCCGCAGCTGTGTAGTTGATGATTTTTTCGTGCTGGAATTGAGAAAATAAAAAAATATATATTTGTTGTTCACATATTAAATTGCATTTTTTATTTTTACTTACATTTTTGTTTCCATTTTCAATCAAGCAATGTTTATGTTAAAACAATTTTCCTTAATTGTTATTATACGATAGCAAAAACACAAGTGACTGATTTTGACATTTGTGTTCGCATGCGTACGAAAGAAAAAAGATAGTGGAACGCAAAATTACACTGAAATGCTTACGTTTTCGTTCGCTTTGATTTTCGTGCAAATTTTCGTTCTGATGGATTTTAGTGGAACGGAAATCAGCTGTTTGTCGTGTAAAAGTTGTGCGAACGTGTTCTTTCGATATCGTGGAACTGGCTGTTAATGTGCATCCCGCAATTTAAGTTTCTTCCAATCATTAATTTTGAAAATATTTTGTTTTTGTTTTTCAAAACAATAAATACATACACAAAATTGGCAGAAGTCGGGCTCACTTAGAAAAAAATTTTAATCAGCTGTTAGCTCTACCCATGGTGGAACTAAGAAGGTAAAGTCATGTAATCATATGTTTACAATTTTTTTTTCAAATTTATACATTTGACAACATTTCATTGTCAAAATCTATATTCATAATTCCATTGTATACACACAAAACCAGAGATGGGAACTGTTTTTTATGCATTAAAATTTGAGAAGGTAAATTACAGAAAATGCAGAGCTGGGAATGCTAATTTGAAATTAGGTTACCTTTATTTTATTGTACCATGGCTCTACTTACCTTTTTATTGTACCATGTAGTATAGTATATTTAAATATTGATCCTTTAGTGTGTTTGAATATCGAAAAACACTTGTTTTATTAAAATATAAAAAGGTCGAAAAAAGAAAACAACGTAAATATGCATATTTTTTCAAATTTAGCTTGGTTACTAATCTGAAATAAATAAGACAGAGGTTATTGTTGTGTCTTCTTAAGAAGTGTTATGCAGAACGTTACAAAATGTCTGGAAATTATTGTTGTTTTTGTTTCGATGTTAATCGATCAAGACGATCGTAGATGTTTTCAAAATCAGACGGCAAAAAGAGTTTTATCGACATAGACTATTTTGGCAACTTTTTCCTGTTGCCCTGATTTTGTTGGAACCCATACCTAAACTACAGATTAAAATATTCACTACACTTGACTAATATACAGGTTGAAATAAAAAAACTGCAATAAAGTCAAACGCCATAATTTTTACATTTTATTGAATGAAAGCAAAAAATGTTGGAAATAGCATCAAATTTTAGAATAAGTTTAGAATTGTTTGAATTGGTCATATGTGGGGCGAATTATGGCCTTCAAACGGCCAATGAACGTCACACGTTGCCCGAATGTTGCTTTGCGGTATTTTGGCCCACTCCCGGCAAAGCGCTTGTTTGAAGTGATCGAAACTTTGTGTATTTTTTAGTGTCTGCGGTTAAAATGTTTGCGTGCCGAAGGTTTTAATACACCCTCCAGAATATATTCGGCATTTATTCTGATGCCATGGTCGATTATCACCATCACCATGGCCGGCGCCTAAGTTCTGGTGTCCAACCGAAGGTGCACATTTTTAGCTGACCTCTTTGACAAGTAAACACGATTACTTTCTTTGTTTACAAACTGCTGGACAACTTTCGCCCAAGCGAAGCAACTCTTTAGCTCTTTTGAGTCTATTTTCTTTCTGTTGCGGTGTAAGTTCTTGCACTTTTTGGAATTTCAATGACTGTACCCCGAACTCATTTTTCAATATTTGCGAATGGAATGTTGCGATATGTTCAGCTCACGAGCCATTTTCAGCCACTGCGACGCGGACTTCGATCAAGTCGATTCTTTACTTTTCGAACCACTTCTGCTGATGCCGTTTTCTTTCGTCCACTTCCTTGACGTCGGACTACGCTACCAGTATCACGGTAACGAACGATTGTACGAGTCACAAAAGATTTATTCACATTTAAATGCTGGAGTGCTTTAACGATAGCTACTTGTGGTTTTCCAGCCAAATATAAAGAAATCACACTATAACGCTTGAATTTCATCACGAATAACTTTTTTTTTGAAAATTCTCACCAAAATAATTTTGTTCGCTTGTAAACAATATAATGAGCTGTCACTGGAATAATTTTAACAGCTGTCGGACGAGAGGCTTAGAAATGACAGCAGTCGGAATTTGGTTGCAGTATTTTTCATCTCACCCTGTATATCTTTTCAATTTCAAATGCATAGTAATTTTTTAAAGCGTTGTACAAATTGAAAACCATTGTTATGATTTCATTATCCTTGTTATTGCATTTTAAAATATTTCACTGTAACTCTGTAGCTATTAAATGTCTCGCCTGTTAAAAACAAGAAATCAACTGCGACACGCTACATTAACATTTTCTCTTTTAAGTTATATTTTTATTATTGTTTAATCATATTTTCCAAAAAACCAAATGTTTTGTATACCAAATTAAAAACGTGAAATCTTATCCCTGCACTATTTAATTAATTTAATTTAGTGTCATTTTTTGTGTATATTATATGAATTGTTTTATTAAACATACATGTTCCAAGTGCAAAAAAAAAAAAAATAAAGAAAGAAAACGTGAATTACAAGTTCGCAACCTCCAAAAGATCTCGAAACCAACAATGTACAAAAGCAATAAACTTGGGAACAGGAGAGAGCTATTCATAGCACAGAGTCCTTAAAATCGTTTTTACTTTAAATATTTCAGTTAGTATTCTTATTTCCTTATTTTTCTTTTTGACTATTTAGTTTACAAGAAATTATATTCCAAATAAATTCTTCAAACTCTCTCTATTTCTTTAATAAAAGTAGAACAAGAAGAACATCTTCGTTCTTCTAATACTTTCCTATTTTTATAGTTAAATAAAAATCAAACAGTTGAGTTTATAATAAATTGGATTGCTAAAGTAGTTTTGCAAGTAAATTTAATTTGTTTACTATTACTAAAATTTTTTGGATGAAATGGCTCTCTATCATTTTTGTTGATGATGAAAAAACAAGTTTCTCACCACCAACTCTCTTCTCTCTCCCCTTCCCAGGTTTACAATGGACGGTTGTTGAACCAAGTTATTCACGCTTTTCGCTGCCATCCTGTCCCACCAATTTAATTGGCAATAGCAACAATCAAAATCCCAATGCCAACAATAACAACAGTTCAAGTAGCGAACAACACCAGCAACGTCAACAACAACAGCAGCAACAGCAAGACGCTGTGAATAGTCAACAACAGCAGCAGCAACAACATTTACAACAACTGCAGCAGTACCAGCAACAACATCAACAAAATTCGGCTTACTCTCCGCAAATAATAACGGTGAGTGGTGGTTACACAAATGCTGCAGTAGCAGCTGCTCAGAACATGTCACCACCCTCGCCCAACGATAGTAATATGGTTCAATCCGTCTATAGTCAGGGACCATCGCCATCTGCCTCGCCGGCAGCCAATAGTTCAGCAACGGGCAGTGGAAGTAATATGGCGGGAAATAATAATGCAAATAATAATGCCAATATAAAACGAAAACGATCAGTTAATCCACAAGGCGATGAGAATTTTATAAGGGCTCTGGAGGCAGTACGATCTGGTGGGATTGGCTTTTGCAAGGCAGCGCGCCTTTACGGTGTCAACAATAGGACACTATGGTTAGAGTATAAAAAACGCGGTTATCCCGTATCAAGGCCTAGCATAAAGTCGCGTGTTGTGAAACAGGAACCGAACCTTTCACCTTCTCCCCCTCCGCCCGATAATGTCCAAGATGATACCAATGAAAATTACGATCATATGGCCGCAGCAGTAGCTGCAGCCCAAACAGCTGCTCTCAACATGCAAATTCCACCAACATCGGATACACCCACACCTTCGTTAATGTGCGCGCCTCACCACACCGGCGCCACAGGTGGACCCACAGCCCACCCCACTATGGGAGTAATGAGTTTTCTAGACACCCGCCACATGGATTTTCCAGCCAGTTTACACTCGATGTCCCGCCAGCGTTACATTGATGCGACTGGAGCCGGAGGTGGTGCCAGCGCGGGTACTATCAATGTCAATCCAGCAGCTGCAATGAATCTACAGAGTATTAATTTTAACTCAATATAGAATTCAATGTCAACGTCTTCGGGACAATCTGCGACTATGGTGGCTACAGCTGAAGCATCATTACCAATTATACCAATGCATTTGCATCATCATACAGTGTCGGCAAGTGTTACAACGGCCGTTCCACCACCCACCCATGCAACACCATCTATATCTGTGTCCACAGCGGTATCATCAGCCACCTGCCTAACGAATACAGCAACGGCTGCAGCAATACTTCAAGCTAATGCCGCAACATGTGATAATCAAATAGCAACACCATCACACAATTTAATAGCACATACACATCCCCATTCAAATCATCCTCCTCCGCCGCCGCCAACCACAATATATGTACAAAATTATGCGACAGCCACACCGATAATAGTACATCCTACAGAAAATGCCACAACAACGTACATGGCTAAACTTACACCTTTACCACCGTCGTAGATTGTCTAAGCGTAGAGTTTATTTTTTAATTTGTTTTATTTTTCTAGAGAAATATATTCGATATTGAGTGCTACGGAATCAATTTAGCCTTGTTTAATGTGGAAAATAGCCAAATCTGAAAATATAGGGGGTGCCTGTATGCTATTTCATCATATTAATATAATCAACATCCAGTATTTTAAAAGTTTTTATGGACATATTTAAAGCGCCTTTTTAGAAAAATATTAATAGTCAGCAAAGTGTTTATTACCAAAGAAGTTGAATCGTGAATGAAAAAATTGTCTATGTTTTATTCTAATAGTACCTTTGAAAAATGATTCCGATGCAAATATGAAGTCAAAACTGAACAATGAAATTCAGTTTTCATGACTTAGCATGGATTTCTACAAGTGATCAGTAGACATATTTCAACTAAAATTTAATTTGGCTAATGGATCTTGATTCAATCAGCAAAAGAAATTTAAAGTTGTAGGGACTTTACATTTTTTCTTTTTTAGAACACTTAACGCAGAGTAAAGAAAATCACATTCCCTTCCTCACATATTGACTGATTTAATCCATTTTTGCAAAGGAAACCATTTGAGAAATTAAAAATAACACCAAAATACACAAAAGAAACATGTTAAACTCGTGATGTAGGCAGACATACCAGCATATGTTTTGTAAACAATTTACATAACGATCTTAAAATGCAAGCAATCCGAAAACAGAATGCATACGCTTGAAAAAAGATAATGGACATGATGTTACTACTTTTTTGTAGTTAAACATTTTGCTGAATTAACCTTACAATCCAAATAAGATTTGAATATAATTTGAAGTTGTCAT